GAACATTATCAGCTGTTTTCTTGTTGATCCATGAACAGACCGAAATGGCTTCCTTTACCGGTTCCATGTCCAGTTGCAGCATCATGTAGCTCTGGAAATCGTTGCCAAAGCTCAGAGCAGTGGCGGTACCGTGAGCCGAGGACTGCTCCACGGAGTAGGACAGGATCAGGAGTGTTAGATAAAACAGAAACATTCAGGCAGAGTCGAGAAATGAAAATGTCGAGAATGAGAAGGTTTCCTGGCCATAAGGAGATGTCTCCAGTCTCGTCAGCGTCACAGGGCGTCCGCTTACGTGCCCCATTGGATTTGCAGTGTCAGGGCTCCAAAACAAAAACTTTTTGACTAACTCTCAATCTGCCAACATCAAATCTTAACACTTTTATTATATTCTCAAATTCTTTTGTAGTCTTCATCTTCCTTAATATTGTTCATCAAAACGTTTCAGTTTACGTACATCGCTCATAATTTTAAAAGTTGTTTCATATTAAGCATGATAAAATTGAAATATACAGTAATATTTCAACACGTTCTAGCTCATTCTTTCGTGCCTACGATTCGAATAACAATAAAAATGACAATGACTAGCCGTATTATGATAGTCATTCCAGAGAAATAATTACTTGAGGTGTGGGCAGTAGTAGTAGTAACCTAAACCATTTTGATAGAGTAAACTATAGATTGAAGAACTGATGATAATTATAATTTAAGCTTAAGATAATTTACCAGAGTTGGTATAGTAAATTTGCTCTTTATCTGTATCACTAAACACTCAAAAGTGTGGCCAGTGTTAAATTGGGTGAGTTCAGGTTCATTAAACAACCACTTTAATCAATTATCATGGATCGAAAAACTTATACACATTCATTCAAACATGAACACAATATTATTGTAACATCATGTAAAGATAAATATAATGATAACAATACAAATCATCAGATCGATTATACCTATTGACTATTCCCGCAGACTACCTCTACACTATCATAAATGTCTAACCAAAGTGTTACACCACCAGATCTCTCATTATCTGGATTACCACGATCATTACAGACTGATGTTACTCTATCTACGAGCATTAACAGAAAATATCCTAAAATTGTCTCTATTTAACCAGTGTTCTTATGCACACCGATCTAACACTTCAGTCCAATTGCTAAAACATACATAGTTTAACAACTAAAACCTTGGTAGTGAGTCCCACTGTTCAATCAACAACTCAAAAGTCACCAACCATGTCACTCTGCAGTAGCTGTACCAACTTAGACGTAGCTCTGTTGACATTTGTCCATTGTACTCAAGATGCGTTGCAGTTGTCAGCTATCCACCATTCCACATCATACCACTAAACATCTCATCATGTAATAGCAGGAGACTATTACTTGTAAGTGAACATTGGTTAGATAAAATAACGAATACATAATACCTTACGAGATATATTTATTATATGGTACAAAATTCAGGGATTTTTGGAAAAAATGGGAAAAAATCCCCATATTTTTGTACTGAATTTCTGAAATTTCGTACTGAATTACTGAATTTCTGAAAAAAATCCCCATATTTTCGTTCCCCCATAATTTTGATCCCCGCTAATTATGATCCACATAAATATGTCTTGTAAGGTATATCATAAAATATCTTGGAATAGTCAATCTTCAATTAAAGTATCAATATCAGTAAATATCAGATATATAAATTCAATATAAGGGCAGGGGTATATATCAACAACCACTGCCAGGGCCCAGGGGGTAGGGGCGTGCAACGTTACGCCACTTTCTATGATCACCTTGCTTTGACTAAACGACAACTGAATCCCGTTACAGTTAAGTGTTGCTGTTCCTAGACTATACTTACAGCTTTTCTGGATTTGGCCTATAGATTAGTCCTCGGCCCTTGCTACCATGGTTCTATAGAACTGGTAGTGAGGACTAATCTTTAGAACAAATCCAGATAGAACTATAGAAGACAGTATAAAGTACCATTTAATTATATAAGGGTTCGTTCACATATTACGTAATCAATATTTTAGCAATTTTTACCCCCCTCCCCCCTTCCGTAATCAACTGTAATTAAGACCCAACCCCCCCCCCCCCCCCCCCCTCCTGACAGCAATATTACGTAATCATGGCCTGACCGTGAACGACCCCTAACTGCAATATTATAATGTTGAATTATAATTTAACATTAATATTGCAGTTATATAATTAGATGGTACTTTATACTGTCTTCTATAGTTCTATCGTAGTTCAATTCGGTTATCATAAAATTATGAAGATGAACATTCCCTGGCTCTACAGGCAACGTCACTGACATCTTCTCGTTTTTCTTAGATTATAGCTGTTCTGGATTTGTTCCAAAGATTAATTCTCCTCACTACCAGTTATAATTTGTATATAATTAAACAGTAACTGTTCTATTGTCTACATAATTTGTATAATTTGTATAATTTTCAGAGCTATAGGAGCTGACTTGTGCTCATGAGGGAACGTTTGCACTGTGTCTCGTGGATATTAAGATAAAGGTATATAATTAGTGTGTTACTGTTACCAGTAATATACAAATAAAATTAAAGCGTTTTTTATCGCCTTTTTTATACTTAGCGTATAAAATCTCGGGCTTACCACTCACACACTGTCCACTGAGTAACCCCATTGAGATGTGAAATAATTCGTTATTCAGCGTTATGTCACATTGTGTCTTGCATCGTTAGGTTTATTACATCAATCAAACGTAACGTACAATAAATCATTGATTATTTGTGAATGAATACTTGATGGGAACAATTGAGAGAAAACGACACATCTTATTAAACCAGCACATCGTATTAAACCAGCTGTTCACAGCAAAAATAGAAAGTATAATACTCACAGGAAACCTTACTGGCTGGGGCCTATCTCCGAAAGTAAAAGAGATAGAGACTTCCGGTTTTTTGCAAAATGTTCGTTTTGTAAATTTAAAGTTAGCTCCCCAGGACTCAGGAGCACAATTTGGAAAAACGTAAATTTTGAGTTATCCGGAAAAGTCTTATTTTGGGCCGAATAAAATAAAAGTTTGCAACTTTAACTTTGCAGATTCCTGTGCTCTGATTTGATGAATTGCGTCAGGCGTGCAACCAGTGTACTTAATGTCGCGCTCGAGCTCAAACCGGCTGTAAAAAAGAGCACCTCCAGCTAGCCCGCCAGCCAGCAATGTTTTCTGGGTATCTTAATGCATGACTGATGACGAAGTACCCAATTAGGGCTAGTACAAGCCAAACACAAGGATCTATCGCATGAGGATCATATACTTTTTAGCTTCCCAGTCGTTTAACTGATCTTCAGGTGACATTGAGTGACGCGATCAGCTCCACTCCTTGTCACATTAGCTTTTAAATTACAACCCAACTGATGAATCAAACTGCAAACACTATAAACTGTAGTTTAACGGAGAATTACGGCTCCTTTAAGTTTCCCAAAGTCGTGAAATTGAACCAAACATGAAGTGAAAGTCGTAAGTTCGGATCAAAGAACCCTGCTCCGCATGAGCTGCATGTTCGCAATCTATTAGTTATGGAATATGCTCTGATCTACCATTTTAATTTTGTTATTTGTGCTCAACTTTATCGAGTTTTATTACTCTATAGTTTCTAAATTCGGACTATATTTAATGTATAGTTAAACTAATATTTTCAATGTGGACACTGGACATATTGTTACTATTTCATTTTCAAGGATAGGGCTACATTCAAAATTTCGGTAATATAAAGATGTATACTGTTTAATCAAGTAATAATGTTGAACTAACGATAGACAATTTGACCATTATCATGGGTAGAGTGGACGGCTGCCAGGCCAGTGTCTCTCAGTCTTTCACAAACAAAAGGAAATGATATTAATTTGAATAACCGTCCGCGTCCTGCAAATGCAAAATGATACAGAGAATGAAATCGGTCGCTCACTTCTCCCATTCATTCACGGCTTACGAATTGTAATAAGTTTCGATTAATTGCATCAATCACATGCTGTAAAAATCTCTTTGGGTTGCTTTCGGATAGTATTTCGGGATAGTTGGTAGTTAGTGTCCAATTAGCTGATGTTCATTGAATCTTTATTGCCGAGTACAACTGCCTTCGGGTAGTTCTTCTTAATATATTACAATTGTAAATGAACTTTATACTCATTCAAGTTGGCATTAAATTCAAATATAATGCCATTTAACTGTCGTGGAAAAGCAAAATTTGTTCGAAATCACGAATGAGAAAAATTCTCACCTTTCCGTAAATTTGTGCATGTTGGTGTTTTATATATATTTTGATAGCATGCAAAGTTTCAAAAGATTTCAAAATGAACTTGGATCACAACGGGACTCCAAAGTTGACAGAAAATGGTGAAAATAGCAATTTTCAGTACAACAAGTTAAAAATTGTTAAAAAGGTCATTTAATCTTTGTAGAACTACATTAAAACCCTGATTTGCTATACCTCTCCCCTTTCCCCAAAATATTTGGGAACAGGTTCTGTAGCTTATTATCACCTGATACCGTGAAACAGGACCCTGATGTCTAGCAAGCTTGTCAGACTATATTATATGATAATACTCTTTAATTGGGTGCTTGACAATGATTACGCCTCATTGAGAACTAGTACTGTGCAGAAAGAAACAATGTTATCCAACTGGGACCCATGAATTAAAAGCTCGATTTACTGTATTGTGTTCCTTTTCCAAAATGTAAGGTAAATCGTGGTTTTACTGTACAATTCTTTTGGTAGCAAGGGGACAGTCTTGTGACAATGGAGACCCTGTTGTTTTGTATTTTTTTCTGACTATGAATGGCATTGCTACAACCTTGTACCATTGTACAACCTTGCTGTTTGACCTATAATTGAAGCTCACCCAAAAGCTGATCCCCAAACATTATGTATACTTTATAGTTTATAACACTCTGACCTTTAATCAAATAACCTTTTATTGATAACCTTATTCGTAAGGTTATCAATAATAAGTTTTTAACCCGAAACACCAAATAGATCAAGTCAATTAACAGTTAACCTCAAAACACCGGACTAGTGTCATGATAAAAGCTATTTATAATCGACAACTCAACGGAAAGTTTACACCAAAAGAACATAAACTTATTGGTGGTCTTGTTGAGGACAAATTTTTCACCCTCAAGAAATCATCTTACACATCAGTGAAGTAAGTTTTCATTGCAATCTCAATGCCGTTTCGGTTCTGGATTATCAACTTTGTGTTGTCTAGAAATCATCAAAAAATAGATTCGTTTTGTTTTTCCCCCATGAATTTTTTGATGCCTATGTATATTTTTGATGTCTATCTATATTTTATACTGGCATATAATGCTGATCCTCCTCAGGCTACACGATATCCAAACTAAGTCAGTGTTTGCTGTTGCTTTCTCCCATGACGGAACATTAGTAGCATCAACTCATGCAGACCATACTATCAGAGTACTATTGTGAGTTTTCAATTATATCATGAATATTGGTTATAAAGTATTTAACAACATTTTGTTAGAAATGAATCTAAAATAATCATTAGCTATTCCTAAAGTGAATTTGTTCTGTATAGCATCATGTAGATATCATCTTTGCATCCAAGCAATTTAAATGCTTCATTTACTGCTATTTGTTTACAAAATAATATTTTACCAGCTACGAGCCGTTTGGTCTGACCCACACGTTGCGGGGTCATGTCAGATCTCCAATAAGCCTGCAGTTCCACCCCAAAAACCGGTACATCCTAGCTAGTGGGTGTTTGGCAGGTCAGGTCTTCCTTTGGAACTTACAGTCCATGATGGGCACCAAAATGCACCAACTGTGCCCTTTTCTTCAACAACCCACCACTCATGAGGTTATTAACCATATTTGGTATCTTTTTAATTAAAATTCAGAGTAAGTTTTGCCACGTTAATAAAAATTACCCTCAATTTAAATATAATTCTCGTTTGCTCAGGTTATGCACTCAGTTGTTCACCTCCCAATTGGCTCAATAGCATTCCACCCTAATGGGAGACATTTGGTGGCAAGCAGATGTAGGCAGCTCACCCTGTGGGACATTGAATCTAAACAACCCTCCCAACCAATCAATACTGTGTTTACCGAGCACGAGAGTGAGAGAATCAGGTACTTGCTTTTATTCTTATCTTGTTCTTGTTAAAATTATAGGATTTATCAAGTTATGAACACTTTATTCTTAAAATCACTGAATTGCTGATTTAATGTTGACGTTATGATGCTATTTTTAAAATAAACTATTGATGAATTTTATTAAATTGAGCTGGGTGAAATTAAAGACATAACAAAGTGCAACAAGTGCATTATGGATTGTATTGGCATAGATAACAGCATTGATAAGATTTTTAGATCATTTTTGCTGTTTGATGAAAAAGTGATAAAGATGATATTATTATTCGCGATATCATATATAATAAAGTTGATTTAGCTTATTAATACCATTGTTAATTATTAATCAATATTATTAATTAAAATCATTGACATTATTATTAATAATACTAAATAACATTAATGATATAATAACAATCATATTATAATTAGCTTTCATATTATAATTAACATTCATGCATATTAATTAATATATGTTTCCGTTTACAGAGGAGTGCTGTTTGACCCGTACGGTAGGTACCTAGTCACAGCAATAAGACGAGTAGTCCCCACTCCGGTGATCCCGGCTGCAGCTTCCCCAGTTCCCGAGGTCAAGGTGGAAACGTGGACTCCAAAACGCCCTAAAACCGGACGTTACAGCAAGCTTAATACAGTAAAGAATGCGCTCAACAAACTTATATACGCTGGACAAAAGAGGTCCTTCTCCACTGCCAATAGTGGTGCTAGCCAAGGTTACTTTATAATATATTTTATATTAGCCACGACTATTCATTAACCAAACGATTGCAAATTTCTGTTTACTTTTAATTAGAACGTAGGCTCATTTTTGTAAATTAAATGATAACCAATTAAAAATGTCACTCGTTATTAGCGAAGCAGTTATTATACTCATTATTTTAAAAATATATAATTAATTAAACGTATATATCTTACTATAGTTAAGTGAGACAATATATTTATTATACATGTTTAATGTTTATATATCTGTTACTATTTTACTGACACCACGACATCAACTTTAACACGGCTTCCCGCGAAAACAGTGTACCAGAGAAAAATATGCCATTGAAAGTATGTTATGAAGTGCCTCGCTGACCAAAAGCTCATTTATTCAGAAGCTCCCAACAGTATCCAGAACTATTTCCCTCCATTCTTATGTCGTATGATCTGAGCATAACTCTTCAGTCTATCCGGCAAATAGATCATCATTTGTATGTTATCCTCCAAAGTTGTACCCTCTAAGGGGTATAAAATAACAGAGCAGTGGACACGTGCTCGTGATATAGCTAAGTAAAGTATTGTCAGATCCCTCTCACTGTACCTCGTCATTTCGTGCAGCACAATTACAGCTGGCCACTCGGACGAGGAACTGGTTTCACTGTGACATACTCCAATCTCGTTACCGGTATCATCACGCCTCTTCTTTACAGTTTCTTGAATAACTGATTCTATATCGCTTGTAACATAATTGTAAACTAAACCTATGTCAGAATTAATAAATTCATTTTTAACTCTAAATATCTTATCTAATTCTGTGTTCAAAACGTAATTAAACTTATCAACATCGAACTTATCTAAAATATGTATGACAGTTTTTGGGCCATGTATGAAATGGCCCGGAATTTGTGTCGGTAAAATCATTCTGAATATTTCTGGTCTATTTGCAATTGATCCGATAAATTTTTCCCTGATAACAGATAAGATGTTCGACAAATCAAAAGTATTTCTTAAACTCATTGACAAAGTTGTCCTCTGACCTGGATGTAATTTATCACCGATTACATCTACTAAGTTCACGATATGTGCGTCCTCGTAGTAATAGCCTTGAACCAAATCACCAGCAATCCAAACATTCCGACTAGATGATAACCTGAACAACATGTCTATCACTTGGCCACAATCCTCGACCGAGCTATAATACAAAAGCAACTGGATGTCATCAACAAATAAGTAACAACTCGTTATTGAACTGAGTAAAGCTGTTATAAGTTCGAAGTTTCCGTTATAATCAATCATATTTATGATGATAACTTGACTTTCCTTATCTGATATAAGTTCTCCGAGTTGTGAATACGAGGCCGCTTCATTGTCATATATAGTTACCGCAATCATCTCTTCATATTGTACATTAGCTTTATCTAATGCACGTTGGTAAAGCTGGGAATTATTCCCTTTTCCAGTAAATCTCAAAAGCACGATTTTGTTTTCCATATCAGATTGTGCAAGTTGTATCATCTTCCCACACAACAAAACAGTTTTGCCGGCCCCTGCGGGTCCATTGATCCACAAGAGGCTTTCTTCAGATTCAAAGACGAGACTCTGTTCTAGTGTGAGATTTTGAACTGCAATGTAATCTCTTATAACCTCCGGAGCTTGTAAAACACCAGGATTTCTATCACGTTTTTTGCCCTTTTTAAGCTGTAGAGTGATCTGTCCCTCTCGAAGTAGCTTGTCAGTATCCATGATGCACCTACCTAAACTACACCTGGACTGATCACATTTGGTTTTCTCTGTGGCCCAAATAGCAAGTATCATATTCCTAACTTTATCGTGGGAATTACCTCTGCTCTCTGGTTGCTCAGTTCTTTTTCTAATACAACTTATTGCATGTGTTACATTACACTTCCACCAAGCACCAAAACTTTCTAGACTGTTTGAGTCACCGTGAAAACCCGATAAATCTTCTTGATCAATGATAGTCGACAGTTCGGTATCATATAAGCGGAGATCCATATTCTGACTACACTGAAACTGTTCTTTGAACAGTTTACTAAAATTAGGATATGCTGTGAACTGAAGAATGGTTGTGTCCATGTCAATACATTTGATCAGAGTTGCTATTTTATCTCGTTGTTCGGCTGATTTTCTGAACGTTCCAACTAACGCTAGCGACTGTTTTTCCATCTCATCCACTGTACCAGGATCATTTGACTTGAATCCAATATGTGAAATGTTTTTCACTTCGATTATAACACAAAATTCTGGACCTAACACCAAGAAATCGCACTCCCCCTCTCTGTTCGAGGAATTCTTGCAACCCTTACACTTCTTTTTGTCTCTCACATGACTTTTATCGCACAAACAAAATTGATAATGGGTAAACTCAAAGTTATGAAGAACGACCAGACCTTTCTCCTCTAAGTTCTCCAAGGCTCGGTAAACCTTAACTTCAGCTTCGTAGTCTGACTGTTGCTGTCGTTGCTGTTTAAAACTGCTTCCTGGTTCATCTTCTTTGGGGTACCGATCTACGTACGTCTGCTCTGGTGCTCTTGGTAGCATTTCAGGATAATATTCAGAAGAGCTGCAGAAATTGTCGAATATTTCTTTGCCGTTTATTAGATATCTTTCCATACTTCAAAAGTAGCTGAAATAAAATAATCTTATTAATCATCGATAAATATAACCGATATTTTTTGTTGTTACAGACTGTTAGATCCGAAACATGAATGTAATAAAGGCACCAATGTTTTTTAGAAATAGTAATACCAAACGAAATTTGTGTCATTTAGGGCGAGCAATTTACGAATGTTCCAGCTATTTCCGTAGTATTAGAAAACTAACGAATGATTAATACAGTCTCAAAAATCAACTCCAAAATCTGGAATGCACTTTGATATTTCATTGTGCGCAACTTATAAACAAGAAGCAGCCCTTTAACTGAATTAGATAAACTGAAGAATTCTACAAAATATTGGAAATATCTGTACTGATGTTATATGTAGTAATTATACAAATATTATTACCACGGCCCAGGAATTTGTACTCACTTCAAGGTGTTTTGTATCAATAATTGTATGTTTCCAGCCCACCAGTTCAAGGTGTCACCCTGTAAGTTTATTCTGCTAACAAAAGGTACCGGGGAAAGGTTTTACAGTCATTCATTGTTAGCGTCATAATATTGATATGCAATGAAGATATACGATACAGATATTTGGTAGATTAAATTCATCTGATCAATCGTAGAATTTATCTCCAAAAGAGTGATCCTGCAACCGCAACCTACAAACTAAAGTTATGGCGGGCAAACTAAATTCAGGTCAAACTAGGACGGCTTGAATTACAGCAGAGACGCAGTACGCTCGCAAAACAAAAAGTGTACACTGACCAGTGACCGAGTAAGAGGGACGAATGTGTTCATTTGAATCACGTGACATCACATGGTTGTCACGTGACATTGTTTAGCGCTTAGCGACTTGACGAGTTATGTCATGTGCTGTGTAATATTATAGCTATTATAATAGAATATGCGAGTATCATACATACTTACTACGTATCAATATTCAATATCATAACACTACTGGGGGCCGGGGGAGTAAAATGGACACCCCCACCTGAGACGGGAGATCGTTATATAATTTTAAAACGAAAGCAATAATTTTAAACAAGTTTTGACTTTTGGAAATGTATAATTATTTCTCGCTACTGGACCAGGAGGGCGGGGAATATGAATTTCATGAGCACCATCTTTATACTTACGTTTCACAATTTGCACCAGCTGAAATATAGGGGTTACCGAAGCTGTGATTGTGTATTTAAACTAAGTCTAACATCCCACTTCTTCAGATGATGAGGGCAGCCCTGGTCCCAGCACGAGATCCTCCTCTGGTGGAGACTCTAGTGCACCACGTGGCAGCAGCACTGCCAGTCCAGCTGCTGGGCGTCACTCTCCCCAGCCCCGTCTAGACTCCACTGAGACAACAACCACCCAGACCGCTTCTCTTAGGATAGACTCAACTACCACCACTGTACCACTGAGACCGGACTCCGCTGCTGGTCATCACGGTGCAGCAGCAGCACAGGACCACTCTACTTCCCAGCGCGCTGCGCATGGTGCAGCACATAGCGCTACGCACGGCTCTACTCACGATCAACCCGCTACTCAACGCAATGCGCACGGCTCCGCGCAAGATCACCCAAACGGACAACGAGTAGCACGAGGGCACACTCCTGTAGACCTGCCTAGTGGAAACACAGGCATGTTCAGAGACCCTCGACTTGGTATAGTGACCCATTGAAATTATATATAACAATAACTATTTTCATTTCATGATTTTCGCGAAATATCAAAGTAGTTGTACTAAGATAGCTATGTTAGTGCAGAGTTTTACGGGGTTATATTTTGTGTTGAACGTATTATGTCGCCCTCAGAACGGACAGAACAAGATCAGATGGAGTTACGATTGCAAAGCAGATCACTTTGTACTAACTGTCAAGCTGGTAAGTATGTTGTGTGTATAATTATAAATTAAACATGCAATTAATCACACAATTATTGTTATGTAGTTATGTGTAATTAATTGTTAAATTGAATATGATTTATCTTTCAGGAGCGTTTAGTAAACACGTCGTACAAGTTTGGGATTTTGAGGATGATGTTCTGCCCGACATACGGGACGCCGACCACAACATAATCACTAACTCAGCTATAATGGTATTTATTTTTGTCACAGCTATTAATAGCAGAGGTTCCCACTCAGTCGAGTTTTTATACAATATTTTTAATGCAAATTCCTAACGATATTTTCTGAGCTCACAGATGTAGAGACTGGTGGTGTGGTGAATCGACTCCCCACCAGTATTCACATCTATTTAGCCATCAACTAGCTAACATTAGAAAGATTATATAATACATTGTCTGACATGTTAATGTTCCTGTGCCAGGTAACGAATGTGAACCTGCAAGTTTCGCCGGACGGTTCGTTCGTGTGTCTTGTAGAGAAAGAAGATTGCGGAGGTGGAGCTACACTTTATCTTACAGTTTACAGTCTCTCTCCTGACACTTTCAAACAGTGTCTCATGAGGACCTGTGTCAAGTACATCCCCATGTGCATCAGCATCACTCCTTTTAACCAGGTTAGTGTGCATCAGCATCACTCCTTTTAACCAGGTTAGTGTGCATCAGCATCACTCCTTTTAACCAGGTTAGTGTGCATCAGCATCACTCCTTTTAACCAGGTTAGTGTGCATCAGCATCACTCCTTTTAACCAGGTTAGTGTGCATCAGCATCACTCCTTTTAACCAGGTTAGTGTGCATCAGCATCACTCCTTTTAACCAGGTTAGTGTGCATCAGCATCACTCCTTTTAACCAGGTTAGTGTGCATCAGCATCACTCCTTTTAGCCAGGAGTGTGCATCAGCATCACTCCTTTTAACCAGGTTAGTGTGCATCAGCATCACTCCTTTTAACCAGGTTAGTGTGCATCAGCATCACTCCTTTTAACCAGGTTAGTGTGCATCAGCATCACTCCTTTTAACCAGGTTAGTGTGCATCAGCATCACTCCTTTTAGCCAGGTTAGTGACACAGGGCTCAGTTAGTTGCTGTAGTGACTAAGCGGATTAGTGGTAGTACGTGGGTCGTGGAATGACATTTGCTGAAAATATCTCTGACGTAATAGTTCAACGGTCCCTAGGGTTAATGTAACCATCAGCCGTTTGGTAAATGAAGAAATCCTAGTTCTTGGAACTAGTACAAGTTCTTTACCTCAAAGAACTTTCTATCATGTTTTCTGCTGGCTTACCACGGACCACAGCTCTAAATGTTAAAATGACGATCTCTGGTACCGGCTACACATTGCTAAGAAAAAAATTCAAGAAAATGTTCCGAATATTCTCACGAACTTAAATTAATGTAACTAGAATCAGTATCGCCGTTTTTTCATCTTATCATTAAAACCCTAATTTTGATCGCTGTGATTTGTTTCGGGCTACTTAGCAACTAATACATGATAATTCTATCGAAATGGAAGAAAATCGCCTGATATTTTTAGCTGGCAATTCACAGCCTTATCAGCGGTTCTCATTGAAATTTCATTTCTGATCCAGAGTTTCCTAGTTCTAAAGAAGAACTGGAAGTTTCAGAAGTAGAACTGGAAGTTTTGCTTTCTCCAGTTTCTCTCGCATATGAAATCAGGCTAACGTTATCAGAAACCTAGCTGACATTATCAGTCCGTTATGGTGTACAATACATGATATATCATACACTACCCATTTTAATATTAAATGATGAATTTAGTGTCAGTTAATGAATTATCTCACATTTTATCAGATCCAGTAAATTTAACGCCACGTACAAAATGATCGCGATTGCATTATTATAATATCACAGTGGAAATAATGTATTATATATGCTCATGATCATGCCGAGACTTGAGTTTCTCATGCGTAAAATCAAAAACCGATAAATTATTAGAAGTAAATGTCACGGTTACGGAGCACTAATTTCCCCGGATTCGGTTACTCACCGTGATGTAATGTCTTGTGTGGGGTGCATTTTGGACATCCACACGGATTACGGAACACATGTCATTGATAAGGGCTTCAGTTAGTAAGGTGTTGAGGTAGCAGAGAGAGAGAGAGAGAGGTAGCAGATATTATGAGCCAGGTGTAGTTTGCGATGTCTGACATGTTTCGGTGACATTTTAGTCGATTTTATAACTTTTACTGTGTCCTATACTGATCTGTACCCCATATTTCAGTACATTGTCGCATTCGCACGCCACACTGACGGGCGAGAGAACCACGCAGGGATGATAATAACGTACGAGATCCCGCGTAAGAAGTTCAGCGACAAACAGCGCATGACCCGCTCCATGACCAAACCGCCCTCATCTACCCCCAAGTTCAACCAGATCTCAATCCACGACGAGATGCCGATAAACATCGCGCGATTCGGACATTTGCCCTGGCAAGGGACTGTAATCGGGACGTGCTCTGGGAAACTGTATTTAATGAGGGTAGGACCCCGTCAGATCCAGCTGGACGCGGTAACAGAGCCCGGAGCTAACTCCTCATAACCCAGGATACGTGCCCCGCCTGCTGGGGCTATGTTAGACTTGAAATAGAGTGTGTCCGCGAGATGCTGAACAAATGTGTGTTCATTTGCGCGCCTCCCCCCCCCCCCTCCCCCAACTGTTTATTGTAATGCTTGTATACTTGTTTTGATGTTTTCTCTCTTTCTCTCTCTCTCTAGGGTGTTTATAACAGTGGTTTATATTTAGGGAATTTTCTGCTGGCTGTCAGAGGAATTGTGGCAAAATGTGTGTGTGTGTGTGTGTGTGTCAGGAATATTTAATAAATTCGATTATAAACCTGTTTATAAACCTGATGGTTACGAACACCCCTTGAGTTGGTTTAACTGTGACCTTCTGTTTTTGTTCAGTTGTTGCCTGCCTTGTCATTATATATATATGAGACACTTACATTTTAACGAGTGTGATGAATGATTTATTTTCTTAAATTTGAAGTGGATTTTTGATATTTGTTAATAAATACATCGGGCTGTCATATGAAAAATGTTCTTATTCTAGGATTTTCGGCGTTGTGCTGGACAATGTGCTAGTATACATAGTATACTTTAATACAATGTGATAGAAGCGAGTGTTTGTATTTAAATTTGTTAGAAAAGTAAAGATCGGTCCCCTAAAATGCGGTATCCCTACAACAACTGTATACTAAAAACGCCATGGAGTTTACTTGAAGAGTCTAGTTTATGGTTTTAACGGGTAGAATTTTGAATTTCTTATAAAATATGTATCCAGGTTATAAGACAAAGAGCCATACCCTACCTGGATGTTTCCTTATATCAAGAAAACGAAGACCTTATAGTCTACCGTAGGGGCTGCGATCACCTTCGGATTGTAGGTTGCATGCTTAGGTTTTTTTCACCATGCCGAGGCGGAAAAGGTGCAGGAGAGCACATACTCCACGATCATATACTATTACTACAACTACTCAGTTGAAATGTCAGCAATATAGCCAGATGTTTCAACTGGTGATGATTACAGATAAATTCTGATCAGTCCGGGAATGTTTCCCAATAATTTCAGATATGTGCACACAAAGAGACATTTAAACGTTGTATAACACTAATTCGTCCATACACCTGGGTCATGGCTTCAAATATTTCAACTAAAAGGTCAACAAAAATGCGACACACCTATAAACATCAAGTATTGAACAATTAATTATGTACAGGGTGTTTCAAAAATAATGTCCTGATTTTAAAAAACAATACATTTTTTTATAAAGGAGCAAAATGCTCATTATCGGTTGGCATTAGTTTGTAATTTGTAAGCTTTATGAACTAATGCCAAGCAATAGTGGGCATTTTGCTCCTTTATAAAAAATTTTATTGTTTTTTAAAATCAGGACATTATTTTTGAAACACCCTGTATTTTGCCGAATAATAATGGACACTATTTAGTTTTCGACAAATATAAGTTTTCGACAATAATAAAGTTGCAGCGTTACTGGTTAGTTCTGGTTAGTTAAGTTTGACAGAAGGTGCCCCTTATAGCACACTTGTAATGTTTCTTCCAGTTAATTTGTATACACTTGAGATAACTGTTGTGATGTAATTACAGCATTATTATTACCCCGCCTAAATTAGACCATCTGGAGATATGAATCATACCATATAATTTGGTAAATTATATCTGAAAATATATATGTTGCCTTATTTGGTCGTATATGACAACTTGCTAAGTCCTAGACATTCATTAATCATTCCTTGATCCTTCCAAGCTTTGACTTAACAGCTTACAAACTGTTCGTGAGGATGAAAGCGAGATTGCGCGTTTACTTCCGTCTGTTTTAATCAAGTTAGATCATATCAAATTTCCGTCCTAAGAAACTGAGCCATGTACCGTATTAGGGGGCCGATATCTATTTCTTACTTACTTATACTTACTGGATGAGTTAAATATGCTTTGTCGCTGCGTGTTGTTCTACTATGAATGTTTCTTTGTCTCATTTTTCGTTGAACCGCATTGTGTATGATCGGTACAGTGTTTCTGTGATCGATTAAAAATTTGAAATGTAAATCTTGAGATGTTTTCCTTTAATCGACTGTTTTACATTTAAAATATTTTTAAAACCTTTAAGAATGCTGGTATTTAACGTGGCATTCCGTTTGAATGAAGGGTTGATATAAAATATATTTTATATGGATTAACTGTGGTGAATCAAATAAGTTAAAAGTTTTGATATGTGGTTTTGTTCAGAAAAAAAAGTAATATTTGTTTGAGTGAAAGAATGATAAGTTTGTCATGACGTTTGCTTAACACAGCATATTTAAAATTTTGTGTCCTCTGTGGTATCATTGTACTTTTAATGGTATGAGGCCAAGGCTCGATAAGAGAAGGAGAATAATAGAAGTATTTGTTACTTTTTTGGTAGTTCTTCGTTTAATAGGTTTAATTACAGTCCATCATTGTTCAAAATGATTTTATTACTAAACTTATATAGTTCTCGCAGATAAAAACATGTTTTTATTTAACGTGTGGACCATTTGGTGGATTAGTTCTAGTCCTAATATTAGAAATAAATTTTCCAGTGAACGAGTGGGGTAGAAAGCAGTGGAAAATAAACATTTTTCTTACCCCCTAAATGATCTTAATTTGCTCTTATCGTGCTGCTGCATTTTGATTTACTTTATTTGCTGTTTTAAAAAGCACATATTAAATTAATAAAATGATTCAGCAGCAATGAGGTTAAATGATTTAGCAGTCAAAGTTTTATTACTACATTCAGTTTTGTCGATTTGCACTCTTTAGAACGTTGCTCCAATTTTTGACAAATTTCTGATTTATCACTTAGAAAAGCCCCTTCTAAAATTTCGTTGTATTTAATGTACATTAAGTAAAGCTTTTGTTACGTGCCATTTTGTATTGAACTCATAACGCAACATAATATTACTATAATAATACATAATATTTACTGACGTGTATTACTGCGAGCACATCATGTCATGTGGTAATAATTATACGATTATTCGGTATAATTATGCAAAGATTCAAAGATTATACTCACATGATCTTGTCAAATTTAAGTATCTGTTATTTCTAAAATTATTCAAAACGTTTTGACATACCTTCCACCGGTTAACCTTGAATATCATTCCAGGGAATGTCAGGAAGACTCTGTCGATCGCTTTGCACGAGAATCTCGGGCGGTTCCTATCAGTGCAAATCATCCAAACCGAGTCACGTGATCTCAACTAATCATACCAAATATGGGCATAACGTGGTACATCACCCCACCAACAGACACTTCAATTCCAACAGTACTGACTTTCCTGACACTCTCCCTAATCTAATGCAAATAGAAAAACTGGTGGACTCTCCAGTCACATTCCTAAGTATAGAATACCTGCAGAATAACGAGATATTTTATCTGATGGAAAACATTCAAAAGTTAATCGGCACAAAACACCCCATAGTTCAGTTCGGGGCACAAACGTTACTTGGGTCAACAGGTACGTTCAAAGTTCAGGGACTTATAGCGTTGCTGTTAGCGCAGATACTGAACGCCAGCTCGCACAGCACACTGCTTCTACGCGACCACACTGGAATACTTCCCAAACAGAGACGGCTTGTTGAAGTGTGTGAAATGATATCCACGGCCTTCTTTTTACACGATAACATCGTCAGTTTGGATAAAGTAAAGCTGGACGCCCGGCCTAACATCCAGAAAGGTAACAAGTTATCACTGCTGTTTGGGGATTATTTCCTGGCCACAGCTTGTTCCCAGTTGGCTACAATGGAGAATCCCAGTGTTGTTAACTCTGTGTCTCGAGCTATAGCCCACAATGTCGAGGGAAGGTTCTGGTTAGAGACTATAGATCCGAGCGCTCCACCTACGCTGGATGACTTGTTGAATTACTGTAGCCTGCGTCATGGCGCTCTGTTGTCCAGTTGTTGTTATTCTGCTGCCCTCTTATCAGGACTTGGTATAGACACTGCCTTATCATTACAGAAGTTTGGGGACTACGTGGGGCAGGCCATTCATTTGAAAAGCGAGATATTTGCTACGGAAACTAGCAATATTGGTTCAGAGAGTTTGAGCTCGTACCCCTACATCGCAGCTGTGAGGTACTTACATGAACAAGGCAAAATAGACTTGATAGATCCTATTTCTGGGCTGAATGAGGAGAAGGTTAAAAAGATTATAAACTTGGGATATGGCCTGGATTTGACAGCGGAACAGTGCGAAGTGTATTGTAATAAAGCTCTGGAATCATTAAAACAGTTAAACTCTAATGACAAATTAACACAGAATTTAGCTAAAGTTGTTATGGATATTAAATCTGCTAAACCTGTTTATACTGCGTAATGATTTTTGCTGTTTTCTTTAATATGATCAGTTTGTGTTATTTTGCTAAAGGTTGTATTCGTTTGTCAGTAAATCCAGATGTTAACCTATATATTGAACATGTAAGAAGCGCTATCAGTGCAACAAAGAAAATCTCTCAAAGAAAGCCTCGCAGTATTTTCTGTAGCCAGTGCACCGCACTGTAGATGGTATCTAGATTAATGCTCCGTTTTAACATATTAGGCAGATCTTGTGATTAGCAAGATCAGTTAAACAGTTTTTGACTGGTCGCAAAGGGACACGGTAATTTTCATGTGTTAGTGTACTGAAATGGAGCCCGCCAAGGTCTTTTTATTGTAGAAAGTGGATTCAGCAGCTAGTCGTTGCGCGGCTTTTCGGCTCGCTCGTGTGTTTGAATTCCACATTTTAAGTGAAAAGGACCGCCTATGAAGTTAGGGCATAAGGGATCGCCCTTTGTCCAGCTTCCGTGTGACGTGAGAGGTACATTTTTAATTTCGTCTTAGTATCTTAAATCAACCGCACTAAGGACATAATTAGCGGGACTACCGAAGCAGTCTGCGTGTCTTGTGCTTTTAAACAAAGAAAAACAAATAGTTAAACTTCAATAATAGTTAACTGAGTAACTAATACTTTTACACAATAGCAATACAATTTAATTATAAATACTCAACTCGTTATACACTTTGAATAAAGAAGTAGTCCGAATTAACATGCTTTTTGTTCCGCTCACCAACTTCAACAACTTGAGCGATATGGTTGAAGAAAACCCATTGAACATAATACATTGGTGATGGGGGTTAAACTCCGAAGATAAAATGCTGAAAACCTGATTAAAGCAACAGTTAATTTAAGAGATAGTGAATTAATGACAGTAGTGATCAAATTGAAAGGTCGAAAACAATTTGCAGGTACTCCATAACCAACTGTTGCACAGTCAAGTTTCGTTTTAGCATCGATCACAGGAATAACTCTAGTGTCTTGGATTGCATAGGAAAACAATCACGTGTAATATCCAGATCCTTTAAAGACTATTTCAGATCATCTGTAGATAAGGAAGTTGGCAGTGCCGCAGTATGTCTGAGCGAATAGTCTGCCGTTCTCTGTAGGGTCACTAAACGCGATCTTCACTTTGGATATCGTGCAACCGAACACAAAGTTTGCCCTGAAATGGAAGAGTTAAATACAAGCTTGGGACTGGCATTTCTCCCTTTTGACCAATTATTGTAGCGTAGAATTAAGTATAGGTTCATTGTTCACAATACCTGACACAGTCCATTAGTCTAGAAGCGATTTTCTTTCTCCTACACTGCTTGAAGACCCAAAGTCGACTGATACCGCACACAGCTTTCATTGGAGCGTCGTCCGATTTGAGTAATGGTGCTTTACCAGAATCATCAGTTTCATGTGCAGACACGCAGGGGTAACCCTGAGAAAAATATAATTCAAGTATTCGGTCGGTTGTAACAAAACTTTCAATAATCGTATTATTTATCGTAATCTGAATACATTTTCTAGTTTTATTTAAGTCTTCAGTGTCCCAGCCCGGTATAATCTTTAATAGAATATTCGTTGCCAGGACATAATTTCATCTGGACAAACGCCCGCTTCATCATGGTTATTGTTAACCACCGTTATGTCACGATTCCCGAAATCGCACGAACGATTGAAACGCGTATGTTGTGGGATGTTGTTGATGCAAGGCGATCTTTCGTCGCGTGGGATTTTATGTTGGCGAAAAGAATGGGCATATTCCTCTGAATCTCACCTTCTCGATATGTTCCACAAAAGCGGAAGCGATAACTTTATTAGCGTTGGAGATGTAGAGGAACGCCTGTAGCTCTTTTCCTGGTACAGGAGGTTGGTTCCTGTCCGTTATACCCAGGTCAATGTCGACTACCTCTCTGACTTCTTCCATCTGCATAGTTTTGAGATTTGATATTAAAACATAGTCTTATGTTCTTCAAGTGAAAATGTATCAAGGCACAACTCTAGGTAAATAGATAATCATTAATATATGTAACAAAACTGTCGTTATACCTTTTTAACGTGAGATTTTGGATCATGCTGATTAACCAGGATTATTCTACCGTCGTGATACTCTTCTACCACCCGCTCCGTTTTCCAGCCCTGGGAAAATGAGATCTTGTTAGCATCCAATCTAACACATTTAATGCAGTTCAAAATGTAAGGTTATCTGGAATTAAATACTTCTGAACTGAAGCACAAAAGCTACGGGATAGCGAACAGACGCAGAACTTACGGAAAACGAGCTAGCTTTCAGGAATCTCTTGTGGTACTTGTTGTGATTCTGTTCGTCGTCAGCAACAGTGTGATTGTACACCATTCCACACTGGGTACACTGTGTAGGCTCCACTTTCTGGCCCACGTCCTACAAAAACAAACCAGACCATTAAAATTTAGCGGGAATATGATATTATCAACGCGCGGCACAATGCGCGTCGAATCTGTGATCGGATCATGTAGTTTCTATAACGATATTGCACAAACTTAGGATTGTCAGCGCATCAGAACGCTCGCCGACGCGCGCAGTAATAGTTCACGTTCGTCTAAAATTTCAACTTTCCTATCACTGTTTCCTCAAGATGTCGAGTAACCGATAAATCTAATTGTGTAGGACGACAAAATTTAAAAAATTGCGAATGCATGTTATCTCAGAAAATAGGTCACAAAGTACAAACCAATGTCGTCTGTTCAAGTTTGCTTTGTTTCACGTCACTTCTTTCTTTCTTCGGAGCACCACGTTTTCTCTTGACTGAGGGTGCTGGCTGAGCTCCGGCCCCTGACCAAACCGAATACTCCCAATCCGCTTTAGTGTCTTCTGCTGGTCGAGTTTTGACAAATCCATCACTGTAATCTGTTATCTTCCGGTTACTTTTCTTGTGGCTGTTCTTTATGACACACTCCTGAGGAAGTGGGTTTCTTCATATCTTTATTGTGTGGTTAAATTGAAATTACATTGATAAAACTTACACAGGGTGGGCTACAATAACCAGCTCTCCACTTATAGTGTACCTCATTGCGTATATTCAGGCCCATCATCATAACAATCACAATACATAGCGCATCTATGACACACTACACAGGATATACAAACCTACTCCTGAAACGATATTACACACACAAATCAAAATAACCCTCGAAAAAGTGTCCACAAACCTTGTCACTTGATTTATTACTGCTGGTAGCAGCAGCGCCGTTATTCACAGTCAAATCACTTTTTTTCATCTTGACAGCCACATATTTTGTGGGGGCCATGGCTTCAGCTTCTGGTTTTAAGTTTGTGATGATGTCACCTGTATCCGCACTGTATTGGTTCTTCTCTGGTTTGTTGAAGTCCGGTACGATGCTTTCGTTCTGCTGAATTAGTTGGTGTAAAATTATTCAAATTTCGACTGTTTCTTACAAAGTAGTAATACTGCAGATTTCACTCCTATTTAATTAAGTCATAATGTCCCATTCGGACTCCTTTTTTGCGTTTGCCAATATATGATCCTATAATATATTAACCCACTCTTCGCCCAAACCAGAACCCTAAAACTAAAGCTCACCATACGTCATGGAGAATTGGACCCGAATTTGATTGGATTGATTTGTCCCCCAATGTCAAAAAGGAAACCACACTGAAAAGAGTGAAGCTGTTCTCTCACGAAGTTCCCTCCCTGCTAAGCACAAAACTTATGACAGCTCACATCAGTTTACCTGATGTTCAGGAGGTGCCAGTATGAAGAGATCAGCGTTAGACAGAGCCTGACCATGTTCACCAGTCTGCAACACGTTTAGTAAGTTAGCTAGCTTGTCTTGATCTAGAATGTTCTTATCTGTCAGAGGTTCTGAACCTTCTTCCAGCTGACAGTCTACCTGGTGAGGAAATTGTTAGGAGGAGGATCGCTACATCAGTATCATCCCCAGGTCAATATATATTTCGCATATAAATATAAGATATATTTTTAATGATATTGACCTGGGGTATTACCGTCGATTAAAATTCCATTATTATCAAGACTCTTTAAACGCAGCACAGACCTAACGGTGCGATGATACATCGCATCACGTGAAATGAGTCATGGAATCATGTCACGAGGTATGACGTCAGACCTTACCTCGTAAGTAATATATTCTCCATCTTGTCCGCTTGGCAGTTTAACAAGAGGTTTGGAGTTGTCAGTCTGTGGATCTGCTTTAGATATAAAACTATCGATGTTAGTGTATCCATCCTCTGTAGATTGTATCGGTGCTGCTGGCTGCGTTTGTTCTGTACCTGAGTAAACGCATTATAAATAACATTATTTGTTGAACAGTTAAAGTAAACCGGACTATTCCCAATCCTAAACCCAGACTTACTAGCGACATCGCAGATAATATATTGCTGCCCCGAACTGTCTTGGTATATTTGCTGTCCTCCTTGTTCGGTGCTGAGGATGAACGTCTGTCCTCCTTCAACCGTGTGAAGGTAACCTGGCTGTTCCTCTGGTAATACTCCTCCTGTTATTAGTTAATTAAACGACTGTAATTGAGTTGAAATTACTGAGCTTAATTAATTGAACATGTACCAAATGTGAGAGTTTATATTAGAATTAGTGCCAGTAAGACAAGATCATGAGGAATGCTGGAACATACCTGAAAGGAACTGCTGGCCATCAGCTGTAGTGATGATGTGTTGGCCAGATATTGGTATAACACGGGGCCCTTCTGCTGTTTCTATTTGTAGTTGTAATGTAGTGCTCTCATCACAATCTAACATGTAGCTCTTTTGATCCGCCTGAGAGGGGAGGTGGTGCACTGTCAGTTGAGAGATCGGGATAAATATCATTGCCAGTTAAATAAAAATCATAAATTAATATTTTGTAAATAAAGCGAGATATGATTTCTGATAAAGGGCATGTATCGCTCTTGTATTGCTGAATCTGAGGGTCTCAATTAAAAAGAGTCTTTCACAGAATATTTGGGGAATGACTGTCAAAACACATCAATAATTAGCAAGGGAGACTTCATATTTCAACACCCACCTGGCCTGTAGCTAGGTAAGAGGCCTGTAGGGGACCCTGAAAACTAATAAAAACTCACCTCATTGAGAATGACAGTGTCTGTTGAGAAAGCATACTCAGCTGGTTTCACTTCTTTTCCCTTTTTAGGGAGGATTATATCGTCTAACCAATAGCTGCTGCTCATCTTCACATAGTGCACTTATTTAATTAGCTGATTAGTTAATAAATTAACGGAGGTGTAAGATGAATCATTAAATAACTTAAAACTGGTAGATGTAATGCTAGGTAAATGAGCAGTAAAGAACAGTTAAAGGAAAAGTTGCAATTTAGACACAATGAAACTTCGTAATTTCTGTTCATAATTATTTAGAAATAAATTAACAATTTAGAAATACATTCTTAAAATAGATTCATAGAAAAATTCTGTTTCAAAATGAAATAACAGATACAAATTAAAATTATTGTTGAACTTTCTTTTGTAACACAGTTCAAAATATACAATGTTATATGAAAAATTAGAAATAACGAATTAGCAAATAATTTAGAAATAATGTACAAAATTAATTTGTGCAACCTCGATTTTAAGATAACCCAACTATCGGCATGAAATTCACTGTCGAAATAATTAACATGTAATTCTTATCCAGAGTTTGGGTCAGCGCATGCCCCATAATATTTCTGAAGCCATGCGCATGCCACAAGAATACTTTACTTCTAATAACATTCAACGAAACAGTCAAAACATCGAAGCCAAAAAGCGGGAATCTAGAAGAGAAAGAAGGTCACAACCATTCTTAACATCAGCTTTTTGGAATGTTCATGATGATAAATAGCGATGGCAGCAATGTGATCCCCCATGTATAATTTTTCTACACAGCGAGGTCACTGTGAAGCTTTCCCAACATTGTCTTGAACTGGTCGATATCAGCTTCTAGTTGTCCTGAGTAGAGTAAAATTAGTATAAGATAACTCGAGTAAACTCCTTTCCCTAATAAGAGCATTTTCACTTGTCGCAACAACCGGGATAAAGATAATTTTACACAGAATACATAACTCCGAACTGCGAACATGGATATTATTTCAACATATTCATAATTGCAATGGCTACTAATTGGTAACTTAACTAATTACCTAACTACTGAATATAAATGTTAGAACATATCTTGGTTATCATATTATGTCATGTGGATACACAAGCGTAAACGGTTACAAACAGGATATAAATTATATTTCGAGAAACTTCAATAATGCGACTCAGTCTGAGCCAATCTCAGTAGTATTGAATATAATGCACTGGTAAAACTAGCGACTCACTGATAGTCTCAAAGCGGCTGTTCAGTATCTCAATCCTCTGATTTACTGGATCTTCACTGTCTTTATATGCGGTTTGTAACTTGTCATTAAGGCGGTCCATCTGACTGGCGCACAGTTCCTCGTATCTCGTTTTCATCTCTGATAGAGAGAAGTGGGTCAATTAAAGCATCGGTGATAAAGTAGTAGTATAGTTGATTTAAATAGAGTTGCAGCGTGTTTTCAATTCCTGACTCAATAAGGTATGCAGTATGCACGATATTGATTGAATAAATCTAATAAATGATAATGGAAACGTAACTTAAAGCAGCTGAGAAAGACTGATAATTGAAAAGGTGAAGTCGTGAACTGTTCATAAAACTACTGTTTACAATCTCAATAAACGAACCATCAATAACAGTCTGATCATTTTCTCTATCCTGATTGAGCTGATTAATGACAGAGGACAGCTTGCTTTGAAGATATTCGCTATTCAGTGAGGAGTTGGGAGAGTCTGCCTTGCTTTTCTTGACAACTCCCTCGGTGTGTTCTTGTGACAACAGTCTTTTTTGTGGAGACACTGCTTCTGCCATGCTTTTCCTACGTGGTCAACGAAAGTTAAATTTCTTAAATTTCGGATTTGTTGACTTTTTGGACTTCAAGGCAGATCAGAGCTGACATGATGGACAATTAATCGTGTACCATAAGATTCGGCAGATTACCAAATTGCCATCAATAGAGATAAAGGAAGCAATAAAACAAAGTAGTTGACATTACACATTAATTAAAATGCTGTGCATACCAGTGGGCCACCACTAAGTACTTCAAAAAATGGTTGGGATAATGAAAGATAGCGTCCTATTACCTGAACAGAAAAGCAAAATAGCTCCAGCCGAGGTCATAATTCATAATTCACTAGATAAGATCAGGGATCTGATATAAAATTCCACGGACGATGGACGTGATAAAAGCATATAATTTTAGAACAAAAGTCTTATCATCGCTGGAATCCTCCTCTCTGGAAGCGACCTTGTGCACGACCTCTGCCCCGTGCAGCTTGCGCTTTAAGTATTGCAGATTTACCTCTACTACCGGCAGGCTGACCCCTACCGGCCGCTCTTTTAAACATCGGCGCATTCTTTAGCATGTCCGGTAAAACCTGATAAATATTTCTAGTGAAATGTTTAGTTGTGACTATTTCACATGCAATGAACGACTAATTTATGGCTGGATTATTTAGTAAGTTAAACTGAAAAAGTTCTGATTTCTGAAGAATTTACCATAAATCTGATTTTGCTTCCTCTTAGATAGATATACTCCAGCTGGCTTACACGACCATCTTTTGCGGTAGCCGTAACTGTCTTTATTTGGCAGTTCATATTATCTTCTGCCTCTATCAGTTTACCTGTACACAACGATTTGTAAGATTGCAACAATCTGAGTGATACCGTGCAACTGGAAAGTGTTTAAATTATCAATACGTAATGAAAGGATTTTGATCGAATAGTATACATGGAAATAATGTACCTCTGTAAACTTCACCCGTTGTAGTTTCCACAGTCACTATGTGACCTTCCGCCTCATGCAAAAGTTTAATGGGGACTCCAATAGACATACCTGCTATAAAAACCTATAATTTAGTACATTACTATTAGGTTAAATAGCAGAATATGTTTGTAAGAAAGTGTCAAACAGTATATATTATACAATAAAGTAATTCAAGTGTTGCAATTGGCAGAGCACAATACAGAGGTAACGGAAATTGTCCACTGCTACCAATATTATATAATATGAAATATCAACAATCAGATATATATACACATCTACTCCATCATAGGGGCAGGGATGAGGTTATAAGAGACTTCTGATAGTGGTGTCTCATATTTGCTGTCCGTTTTTTTTTCCTCTGTACCCTCGTAGAGCTATGAGTGTGGTTCTTAACATAGCGAATCTTATTCTTGTCCTTACATGTCTTACCACATTGCAATACCTCTCTTTTCTTTTCCTGGCGATGAGGTCTGCCACTCTATTTAGAATAGCAGAATATTTAGAACATGAAACATCAAAGTCATGGTAACAGATGGTTGAGAATCTATACGATTCCTATAAAAATTAATGAGGGACTATGCTGGGGGACTTTAATTATGCAAATATTTTATAGCTTGGCAGTTGGCTATGATACACTGAATACCATAAAATATTCCTAAATAATAAATACTAATGCAATGTAAAGATTACCACTAAAAAACAAAACGCTAAGAAGGCCTACAACTATAGTTACATTGGAATAAGAATTAATAGAACTGGAATTAGCAATTTAGAATCAATTTATAATCAAATTTACGCAGCAAATAATTACACCATGATTATAAAACTAAATGAAATGTGGAACAGAAACTCAATGCAGGGAGCAACGAGTGAACAATTAGTACTATCTCTTGAAATTTATTGTATAGTTGATTCTGACAGAGGAGAGTGATATCTGAAATCTGCTTTTGGTCCTATGGAAAAATAATGTTTCTAGCCTGCAGCTAACCACAGCAGTGTTGCTGAAGATATTGTAGAACTGGAAGTCTGGGAGAGTATTTGGCTTTTGAAGTTTAATCCTGCTAAATGTAAAGTTGTTCATATTAATCTTAATAGCAACCCTAACTTAAATTATTTAGTAAATGGCGTAGAACTTGAAGTATCTGATCAGGAAAAAGATTTGGGGGTTATTACCCATAGTTCCCTGCTTTGGAATGAACAGATAAAAGCATGTATTTCCAAGGCAAATCATATGATTTTGCTTGGAGAAGTTATCTTTTGACTCTTAAAGATGCAAACAAAATGAAGAAACAGACTTTAGGCTAGAAACTTTATTGAATTAAAATAATCATTCCACGTAACTATGTCTTCTTCAGTTCTGTAATAAAATTGTTAAACATGTGTAAAATTAACGACGGAAAGAAATTTAAAATAACCCAAAAATGTAATTGCAAAAAATTCAAAACTTCAAAAAATACGACAAGAAGAAATGTAAGCTAATACAACTAAATCCTGTACTACTCATGATACTATACTAATTAGTAAACGTAAAACTGGTTGTTCAGAAATCACAATTCATGTGTAAAAACTATTGATAAAATCGGCACTTAAGCAACGATAACTCGGTTGCCATGGTTACTATCCAAGCTAGTCCTATCAATACATTACTTACTATCCAAGCTAGTCCTATCAATACATTACTTACTAGTTAAATATCGACTAAATATTTGTAGAAATAACTCAACTCAGAACGATCATTCATTTCAGGACTTAATCTCAATATATACATCGCTTCTACAATCTTTCTATGAACAGTTTTACTCTGTAAATCAAGTAACTTAAAAGATAAAACTGGGGTTCGGTTAGGATGTAGAGATGCGTAGTGCTGTCCAACCCCATTCTCTGGATGTGCTCTAGGATTCCTAGCAGCCTGTCTGTGCTCCATAAGACGAGCATGGAGGCTTCTCTCAGTTTCCCCAGAGTGTCTCTTACTACACAACTTGCAAGGAACTAAGTAAACAGCTCCTTTTGTTGAGCATGTTGTTCCTGTGAGTCTAGGGTAGATCTCGCAATTGTCAGGGTTACCAAGGTCACAAGTCTGATTATTTCAATTCAATAAAGTTTCTAGCCTAAAGTCTGTTTCTTCATTTTGTTCGCATCTTTAAGAGTCAAAAGATAACTTCTTCAAGCAAAATCAAGTTCAAATGCGACTCATAAATATAGCCCCCTTGAACTATAAATCGTATGATTTGCTGGATTGTAAGGAATTTGATAATTAGAGAAAAATGTGTAATGATAGCCATCTATAAAGCTTTGATAAGACCTCATCTAGAGTATTGTGTCCAATTGTGGAATCCAGTTGCGGCTCATGGAAGTTGGGGGACTGTTTTGGAGCTGGAGAGCGTCCAGAGGCGGTTTACCCGTCTGATTGATGAGGTGGGTACTCTTCCTTACAGCCGTAGACTGGAAATCCTTAATTTGACAACGCTGGCAGAGCGGCGAATACGTGGGGACCTTATTGAAGCTTTTAAGGTTATTAATGGCTTGACTGATTATGGTTCAGACTTGTTCAGACCAAGCAGATCAGGTCTTAATCTGGTTTCATCCAATAGATGTAGTAAGAGTGTGACAAAGGTCAAGAATCTTCATTGTTCTTTTCTTCCAGAGCGGGTTGTTCCTTATTGGAACAAACTCCCTTCGGAGGTGAAGAACTGCTTGACAGTTTTGAATTTTAAAATTGGATTGGAAAGTTTTAAAAAGAATATGATTTCTAAATGTATTGTAAATGACTTTCATTTTTGGAATGTTTCGAGGTGATACTTTACTTTTACTTTTAAGAAGTTTTAACAAGAATTGAAGGTACCAGTTATATCAGTAATAAGGAAAAACACAATGATTATCTGTGGTTCCATCCTTATGTAGCAAAAAAAACGTTTTATAAATCATTACTCCACTGGGAAGTATGAATAAATTAAATTTTGTAATGTTGTTTTTCTTCATGATTAATATTTGATAAATTATTACCTTTAAATTTGATGGAGAAATAGTTATTTTTCCATGTAGTGTGGTGATACTTTGTAGACATTAGTGATCATGTTATGTCATAGTTTTTACTTTACTTTACTTTACTTTACTTTAACCGAATTTATCGCTAGTCAAAGTTCAGCGCACTTAGGTATCTTAAAATCTATCTTACATACATTTATTAAACTATCACCCTGAAACTTTTAGGATACATTCTAACTTTCCAAATCAGTGGCAAAGTAGCAAAGTTATTAAAGGATTCCGTTTGATCTATACGAAATTACTTGTCTGTGTAATATCTCTTCAGTTGCCGAATGAAAGAAAAACGGTGAAAAGTTTGTTTTCCTAATTTTGAATTTCTTCAATGTACTTACAACTTGGAACTGGGGATTCAGACAGCATGTCATTGTCAGGCTAATTGAAGTTCTTATATATTCACGAATCCATTACTCTGGAATTGTCCGGATCAATAATCGAAGTATCGAAAAAGTCGAACGTGCTTGGTGTATAACTATTAAGGCAGCTTTGGGTGCAGTATTCAATGTAAAAATATCTACGACTGAAATGATATTAAGTTTGTTGCCACTAACCATATCAAACAAAGTGAAATCGGTGAAGCACCTCCTACAACTAAATATATTTCCTGATATAAAGGATCCACTGAAAAACTTATCAATGCCCAAACCAAATCAGGCAGTGCCCTTTCACTGGAGAAATAAAAGATGTATTTCAGTTTCTGTTGTGGAAATTTTCGATACATCCTAGACACTTCACTAAGGAGGATAAAAACATTATAAATAACCGTGAACTTGAAAAATTTTCCAGTTAAATGTGACGTACTTGTAAATAGACCCTGCGCGCGGCGCTTACGCTCGCATCTGAGGATTACTCAACAGTGTGTGTGGTTTGACTGTGTGCGTTATTTATAAATATAACATAATACATAATATGTATTGATTCTTTATGGTAAATAAAAATGTTGTTTTTCTTTTGAAATCTTCCACAAACATAATTGTATCACTTCGTGACCCCCATTGTCGTTTCACTTGTATCACGTTGTGACCCCCACGGTCGTTTCACTATGGACGATAAGCTATGGACGATACTATGGACGATACAGGGGAAGCCGCGCACTCGTGCGCAGCGGGTCATACATGAACGTATGACAACGTTTCACTAAGTTTCTACGATACAGGGAAGCCGCACACTCGTGCACCGCTGGTCATGCAACGTGTGATAACATAAACAGTTGGCCATTGTTAATGATCAAGACCAACGCGCGCTACTTCGTAGCACTTGCCATCGGGCCATTTCGAGAAGAAAGTGGCGCGCGCTACTTCGAAGAAATTTAGACGAGTAACATCCGTCAACATAAACAGCAAACAGCCATCATGTATCAATTTTGAAAAGTTATACAAAGGCATAAATTGCTAGGAGGAGCCTAGCAATTTACATAAAAGGAGCAAAAGATTGCTTATATTTTATAGGATACTTAAAAGTGGGACGATTGAAGGGAAGTTACCACTTACCCTTTTTGGTTTGAGTTTGTAGGTTTATAACCTACCAGGACGCGCGCCGAGTTTAACTCGTCGACGGTCTTAATATATTGAACAAATATTTTACGAGTATCACCCGGTAAGTTTGAGTAAAACTGACTTTGCAGTTAAAGTTTAAAGTTAAAGAACTAGGATATTGTTTGTCATACGTTGTATGACCCGCCGCGCACGAAGTGCGCGGCTCCCCCTGTAGCGTCGAAGACGCTATAGTGAAGCGACCGTGGGGGTCACCACGTGATACAAGATATTGTTACCTTGGGACCTCAGGCTATTATGTTCATAAACGCCGAATAGAGATTCGGCGGAATGACAGGCTGAGCGCGGCCCAGTAATGACTAATGAGTAAGGATATTGTATTGGAATCATTGACATAGTATACTGAGGAACAATGAGATATTGTAATTACAATTATTAACGGTTTATTTAATTTGAAGTATTTTCCCTTGTCATCTTCCTGAACAAAATTGTAAGGAAATGGGAAAAGAGCCTTTATTTTATCAGTGTCTGTCAAGTAAATAGCCAATGCATTCCATGTTTGATGTTCAGATTGCACGCGCATAGCTGAATTCTGTCAAGAATAGTCTAAATGATTGGATAATGTATTAGTACAAATTTAATCAATAATCTTCAAAAGAATTTTTGAATTTTCAGTTGTCGTTCGATACAATAAATTTCACAGCTCAAAAACAGAATTTTCAACTTTTAAAAAATAATTCTTTTACGCCGCGCCGATATGTATTAATCTATTAATTTGTGCTTTTTTTCGCGTTGGATATTTTTACCTACATATATTTCATTTTTCGGTTTCTGGACTCGCTTGGATTACATCTTTTTTCCCATTTCCGTATACAGTTAAATTGTAATCTCAAATCTCCCCGTTTGTGTTAATCAGTTTTATTAGCACAATGAATTTAAACTTGAATTTAGAAGGGTGTACCTCTATATATAGTACATTATACTTACTTGATACTTGATAAGGTCTCCAAAATCATTCGAGTGGCCTGCACCAAGGAATTTTCGCTTATGTCGTATCATCTCTCTCCAGTGCTTGCGGTTTCCCGCCAACTCTCGGATCTTATCTAATACAATGTCTGGATCTCCTGTAAATGTTACTGCGTCTTCTAGGACACAGGTTCGCCAATTCTTTCTTGGCCGCCCACGTGATCTTCGGCCGTGAGCAGGTGTCCAGTCAAATAGATACTTTGGTAGCCTGGTGTCCGGCATTCTAGAAACATGTCCAAACCAGTGAAGACGGTTGCACTGATGTAGGTTATAACCGGGTTTATTTATGTATACCGTACTATATATAGGGGTACACCGTATAATACATACGGTTTGATTTTATATAGTCATTGCATTGCTGATATTATGTGTACGTTTATTGAATACTTTTCATATATTTAACGCATACAAACTGTTAAATGTTAATTGTATGCCTGATCCGATTCCATTTCGTTTTACCTAGATTGTCATTTACTTCCAAACTCTCAGCCTTAAGATTTATCAAACTGCTTTAAAACTGTAAACGTTTACATATTAGATAACTGTCTAGAACAACCATAATCTTATATCAAAATTGCAGAGAAAGGCTTCAATTTGAATCTTCAATTAACTAATCTGCGGAGCCAAATTCCACGATTTTAAAATTTACATTAAATAATACAGTATACACAAATAAAATTTAGAAGTTCTGGTATTAACAATCAACATTCTATAGCCTGAATAATGTTTAAAGTTGATAAAGTTAAGTCAGCTAAGTACAACATTAATGTATCCTATTCTGACTCAGACAGCTCATTTTCGAGATCCCGGCAGAAACTATCGATAGGTACTTGTTATATTCATGTATTATGTTTAGCGATAATTAAAATTAAAGTCTCAAAGTCTGGTTTTGGGTTCTAGGTTGATCTTGGTTAGGAAGTAAACAATGGATCTATCAAATTGAATATTATTGCTGTGAGCTGTCTATCTGGGGAATGAGTAATGATAACTATGGGATGAGATGTTCTTCTTGCAGGCCAGCCATCACCATTAGTTGGTAATGCATCAGTAGCTCTAAGTTCTAAAGGCTCTGTCACTCTTCCCTATAAGACCCCTTCTGACATAAACGTAAGTCTATTTTAATAGTCAAATGGTTTTTTTCAATGAAACAAGAATTTTGATTTTAGCACATTTTACAGAATAAAAGATGTAAAACAATTCCTAAACATATAATGCCCATTTGGTGTATGACTTTTTGTCCTTGATTGCTAGTTTGATTTCGAAAGGACAGACAACTAAGGGGTCGTTCACATATTACGTAATCAATATGTTAGCAATTTTTACCCCCCCCCCCCTCCGTAATCAACTGTAATCAAGACCCAACCTCCCCCCTCCTGACAGCAATATTACGTAATCATGGCCTGACCCCCCCCTTGACTTTTTAAACCTAGAAACACTTTTCTCTACGTTTCATGCTACCCGGCCCTGATCCAGTGGCAAACGTTGCCTGTTGGCGCGCCCCACCGAAAATGCGCCCATTATAGGCACCCCCTCCCCTTTTGGCGCCCCTGGCCCTCCCTAAAATTTAACAAATTACGTTATTTTAGAGGATATGCCAGTAAAATCTCTAAAAAAGTGTGTTTCTAGAGCAAAACGTGTTTTGCTAACTTACCTCAGTTAAGTTTTTCAAATTGTCCCACATTCAAACGACGATTTTGCGCCCCCCTAAGATGGCGCCCCCCCTCCCCCGCACAGCGGGGTCAGCGGGGCCCTTCGTTACGCCACTGCCCTGATCATGCTATCATGATGAACCGAAATCATTGTTATGATATCCGGCCAAGCACCTTCTAAACTACTTACTATTATAGCCGGATATTCGATCAATTTCTAAATTTTATCACTATCAGAGTGAAATTGAGTGGAATTTCAGTTAAAATATAGTCAAATTGTGGCCTTGTGTCAATGATTATAATAATGCACTAATGGGAATTGATAAGCAGTAAAGAAGTTAAGAAAGTATCTTTATCAGGGAAGGTTGAACTCAACAACAACACCACACAGCAGAACAACTCCAGGCAGCAAAGCAACACCACACTCTCGCACAACCCCATATCCTCGCACCACCCCCAGATCTAGGAACACTCCGCGGAACACTACACCGGGTAGTGTCACACCTCGTAACACCTCCACAACCAGTGTCTCAACCCCAGCACAACCGGACACACTCACTATAGGTGCAGGAATTATCTTTCATTTTACTTAAATTCATGTTATCTAAAATAATATCTAAAATATTTTTTACAATGTTTATTAACGGTTTCTTTAACAATATCTAGTGCAGCTTTTTTTCTGAAGATGATTTTAAATTCAACATCGAAATTTACTTAACAGTGGCAGTAGTTCAAGGAAGAGGACACGCAAAGAGTGAAATGGGTATTGCTAGTATCGACATGAAGTCCCCTTCCATATCACTCTCTCAGTTCTCCGACACTGCCACTTTTGTAAGGACTCTAACCAAACTTAATATTCTCAATCCTGTGGAGATCATCTTTCCCAGTACATGTAAGTTTCTTGTAGTTGCAATGAAACATAATATGAAAAATGTTAACGAACAATAATTGTTTTAAGTATGTAGATTGTAATGACATGTTTTACAATCAAACAATATATTTATAATCAAATTTGCAACAAAAAATCAATGAATTTTTTAACAAAACTGTACAATTTCTGGATAAACAAGTTTTAAAGTGATCGTACTGATTGAGTCTATTTAAAAATATAAAAAACTACCATAAGTTTCTTTGTTGTTTGAAAACAAGATTCAGTTCGGAAAATAACTCCCTCATTGATATATTTCTTCAAACTTTGTGATCAAATTTTCCATTTGCTCAAGATGAGCTAAAGTCTCCTCATCACTACTGAAATTTACTGTTTTTGTCAGCTTTGTAAATAACCTTTTATTTTGCCCTAAGTCATCCTCTGTTCTTCGACGAAAATGATAAAGCTTTTGATTTGCTCTCCTGAATGTGTCTATATTACTGATCGCTAGCTTTGCAACTAGCTGCATGCTTTCTGTTTCAATCATTCTTCTGAACTCTTCCATTTTTTGATCAATGAAATCAGTGTCAGCATCCCATTTAAATTCAATATCTGTTAGCTCATCAATTACTTCGTTTTGGCTAGTTAAGAATGGCTCAATAATATCAGTCTGGTAAAATTCATCAAACTGTCTCTTTAAGTATGTGACTCCCGTATTCACGAGAGTTTCAGCACAAATCTCCAGCGCCTTCATTTCCTCGTCATCATTGATCAATGAGTGTGCCAAATGTTCTTCTACTGTTTCCACTTTTCTTTCGGTGACAAACTGTGTGATCTCGTTAAATTTTTCAGTCGCCCTTGACATCTCTCCAATTAGCGAGGATAGGTCCAATACTTTCATTGCTGGTGGGTTTTCATCCCTGGTGTTGTTTGAGTAACAGGCAGATTCTTCACATTGCAAGTCATTCCTGATTTCTTCACCATCTATTTCAGAAGGAATTTTGATATTCGAAGATTCCAAGGAATTAAAGCGATCAGTCTGTTTAAAGAAAGTCTTATACTTTTCTATCAGAACTTTCATGCCCTGTTCACTTAGCAATCTTGATTTGTCTCTCCTGGAAGACTCCATACCAATGTTATACAGCTCTAAGTTGACGTCGCCTCTATCTGTTAAGAGGAGTTTGCTACAATCCATGAACTCGCACCAAGTCCCCTGTGAAGTCTGTGCTGCATCTCGAAACCATCTGTTTTGCTCCTTTATTTCCCTCAAAAGACCAGATTTTGGGAGTATACTTTGGAAAATCAGATCAGTTCCCGGATACAAATCTGTGTTTATTATATTTACCAAGACGCTAAATGCTTCCTGGAACTTCTCCTTCTGCACAAAAGTGGGTACTGATTTGTCGTATGGTTTGTAATCGACAGCTATGAATATCTTGGAAACCCTCGAAGGATCAATATGCCGGGTCGAGCTAAAATTTCGAATAGCAGTCAAGACTGAGCTGAAAGTGGCTGGTTGATAGTGCTTGTACACATACTCATCACTCTTGTTGATGACTGCCTGCGATTTGCTGAGCTCATGAGGTTTAATTCCCGATAAAGTGAAGGACCCAAATAGGAGGATTGTTTTCTTCTGACGGTCCAGTGCTGGGGAGTTGAAATTTCTGCTTCTATCGGTGGGTGATGTTGTCATGCGAGATTCCATAATATTACTGTTTCATTATTTTACCCTGTCTGAGGAATACAGTCAGAGTTGCATGGGTCTCAGATCAGTTAAAAATTCGAATAAAATTTAGTCACGCTATTTCTTCTGTATACTATCAAATAGAGCAACACTAAAGTGGACGATTGTTTTGTGCAATGGGAAGTAAATGTAAGAGCAGAAATACAAATTACAGCACAACTACAATATATATGTTCTTTTGGAGCTGATGTCACAGTCAAATTTATCGATTTGTATTACTCGTGAAACTTAACTTTAAGCTGCTAGAAAATCTGCTAAACGGTCGTCACAAAAAATAAAGTCTCGAGACTAAAACTTGGTTATCTTCAAAATATGACACGGTTCAATATCCATTCTGTAGGATAAGTTTATTAATACGTTACAAATCACAAGGTGTGCATAATATTGTATTACATAAATGAGAATCTCGAGTTGCATACAACTTTATTAACTGACATTTTAAAGAATGTTTGATAACAATATAACCACACTGTATAAAAGTGTGTACATGATAATATCATGCAGCTTTATTAATTTACATAACCTTTTAAATTTCTATAATAAAATAACCGATTGTTCGGTTTGCCGACTGATTCAACTTTTAAATGTAGACCACAATCATAACATCTTTATATAATAATTATAGATTGTGTCGAAGTTACCAATCAAAAGATTTGAAATGTTTGAAAGCTGTAAATCTGAGCGAATACATATGTATACTTCATTTTAATGACATTTTACGCTGTAATTTACAGTCTTGATTCTTGCACTAATTCTTAACATTTGAAACAACTGGGAACTCCTGCTTCTGATTTTAAGAAGTAGGAGTTCCCAGTTGTTTCAAATGTCTGTAATAGTTTTATAAGGCAACTAGTGTAACTGTCGCAATTAAAAAGATGCAAAAGTATGAACAGTGCAGTGAACACACTGAGTCAAAACCCGCATCAGTCGGCAACAAAATTGTCAAGCGATCAAGATACATCTGTAAAACAAAATTATGAAACATTACCGGCGAAGTTTAAAGGAATCCCAGTCAAACTTTATTAACGTGATTTCCAGCGATTGGAATATTAGTAAGCACGATATCAGGGTTTGCTCATGCTCCACAATATAAATTTATTACAGATAAAGCTGTGCGTGAGAGGGAGGGAGAGAGAGAGAGAGAGGCCGAGAGGGAGAGGGCTGGCGGACCTTGGGTCATGAAGTGATATGTACGCTATAATATAGTAATATATGTACGTTATCAAGTAATTAACATGCAAGCTTGAAGCGCCGTGGGAAATTAGAGTAGCTGAAATTTAGGAGCACAACTAAGAAGGAAGCACCACCCGAGAAGTAGTAACCTTCAAATCCGGAAATTGTGATTCTCGAGCGAAATATTGTAATAATTCTGCGAACTGTAATAGAGCGACTGTCATTCTACTTTCTACAGCGGCAGGAGTGAACTGTCATTATGCCTTCTACAGGTATACTTAGGTCTTAGAAGGCACTAAATACAGACACTGTAATGCCCAGGTTTCTATTGCCAAAACCTGTATACAAACGATATTGTAAAACTATCACTCTCTTTCTCTCTATATCTCTCTCTATCTCTCTCTCTCACTCTCTCTCTCTCTCTCTCTCTCTCTCTCTCTCTCTCTCTCTCTCTCTCTCTCTCTCTCTCTCTCTCTCTCTCTCTCTCTCTCTCTCTCTCTCTCTCTCCCTCTCTCTCTCTCTCTCTCTTTCTCTCTCACTCTCTCACTCTCTCACTCTCTCACTCTCTCTCTCTCTCTCTCTCTCTCTCTCTCTCTCTCTCTCTCTCTCTCTCTCTCTCTCTCTCTCTCTCTCTCTCTCTCTCTCTCTCTCTCTCTCTCTCTCTCACTCTCTCACTCTCTCTCTTTTTCTCTCTCTCTCTCTCTCTCTTTTTTTCTCTCTCTCTCTCTCTCACTCTCTCCCTCTCACTCTCCCTCTCTCTCTGTTAGAAACCTTAGTTCCCTTAATTATTAAAATTAAATAACGAAAATCCATTACGCGAGGTTTTCATACTTGGATCACAGTTGCGCTATAGCAGCGAGGGAGCGCTTTAAAGGTTAGATATCACTTGTCGTGAAATACCGAGGATCAGATATTTGACAATCCGCATTTAAAATAAAGCAGGATCAGACAGTCCCCGAATGGGAACCCTACAATAGACGGGACTTTAGTCTATTTTACCGCTTAATCAACATTCTTGATTAAGCGGTAAGTACACTGTACATTACACGCGCATGCACTCACGGATCTTTTACTAATATTTAATACTAATATATAGTCTCAGAGCCTCCAGGATTACGAATTTAGCTTGACAATCTTTTTCAAGCATAAAAAGGAAGTTCAGTTTCTACAAATCCCGGGATTACATAAATACATCATATCAAAATGTACCAATTATTTCAGTAACAGATGCTGGGAGTCAGTCGGAGCTATACAAACTGGTGACTGAAGCAACTAGTTGCCCAATAACTTCTGTTCAGCGAAAGTACTTCAAGTTAGTTCACTTCGAGAATTCGGGGTTGGACAATTCCGATCAGCATTCAGCAAGCTATAGCAGTCAGTACTACTTAGTACTTTAATTATATTGTTTTTCTAAATGAGTCTGAAAACCAAAAAGAAATACAAAAGATCGTATACCCCAATCCTGACGCTAAAGATTCGAAAGTGATACAAGTAAGACTTGCCAGTCAAACAAATGAAATATACGAACAAATCTGAAATGTGGATTATATACATATACCTACAAAGATCTAACATATCATGTCCGTAATGCGTAATGGATAATGCATATTCTATATCCAACAATAAGATTCGTAGAAAGCATGTTGAATGTTGATTTTCAAGAAAGAGCTTTTAGATATTAATAAGAACAGTTACATATCCTAATTCCTAAATTACTATTTCGATGGTAATGAAATTAGCTAGGAGGCATCAGGTGCTTGGAAAGCTTCAGAAGAACATTATCGATGCAAACTGTACTACTCATTCTCAGAAAACACAAATCTGGTGAAACTGTGAAATGAAAGTGAAGTTTTCGGTAAAAGGCGAGCTAGTACGATAAGGCCGAACAAATGTGGGTATCTGGGTTATAATATGTATGCATAATGCATATATGCACTTTATGTAGTACATAATGCATATGCACTTTATGTAGTGCATATGTGATTTCGCTGATCAAGATTACATTTTTAGAGGGTGACAAAACCCTCATCAAAGTGTTGAGCGTTGTAAACTTGGTCTTCAAGTGCAAATTTGATAAATTTATAATGATGAATGAAAACCCGTATATAACACGCCAAGTCTTGCTCCGACTGCGGAAAGAGACCAACAAAGGAACGATTCAAGTTTTGAGTGACCACTTTCTGAGACCACAGTCTGATCAAATGTTTGTTATTTAGTTACTCCACTTCAGTTACGAAATCATGAATATTTGTTGAAATTTTTGAAAGTTCCAATACAATACAAATAACACCACAACACGAATGGGTAATATGATATATTAACAACTTTATTCGAGCTAAATACAAAAACAGAAGCTGCTGTAAAAATTAAGAAAATGAAACTCCAGATATGACAAATTGATGCAGATGTTAATGGCCAATGTTTGTAAACAAAAACAAGACAATAGGTACTATATTAAACTTGCAATAGGCTGTGATATATGCAATACATCATGGAATCAAGCACTGGAGACGTTTGGTGAGTGAAATTTGTGGGAAAGTTAAACTTTTTCCTGTAGTAAAGTAGAAAAGGCGTGCTCCGGGACGGTCTAAGCTAAGGAAAAGGGATCAGGGAGTTGTAGCTAGAGGCTAGCCACCCAACTAGCTTTAGGCTAAGTTCTTACGGCTTTTACTTTCAGGTAAATTGATAAGCTATAGGCTAAATCAACTGATAGCAACACTTGTGCAGCAAGAGTTACTTACTAGGAGCAGGATATTAAACAAAGGAAACGACTTAGATAATCAAGTATAATCGAACCAAGAGTAGTTGCACACAAATTTTCCGTTCAAACTCACTGAAAAACTCTACACCAAAGTGCCGTTCCAAAGCTCCTCTACTGCTTGGTTACCGCGCTACTGGTCACGTGGAATCACGTAGAGCGCGTCCGAGGTCACGTGGCCAGCAGTGCGATACTCAGAAAGGCGGGAAGTTAAGGGCCGGTTTCTCGGAAATAGTAGAGCCTGTAAAACTGTAGATAAGGAAAGATAAAATGTGTGTAAAATGTGCGAACTAAAGATGAAATTAATAAACTGTCCCGATGAGCTCATGGACTAAAACTTACTGAAATATTCCATGACTAAAATACTAAAAATTAACTAAGACTGAACTACTAAAAATTGACTCAGACTGAACTAAAATAGTCCGACTTCTGGCACAATTAGTTAAATTGACAAATTGCATTACTGTCAACATATCAAATTTAACTGTATTTCTTAACGAGGTGCTATCAAGTATAGTTTCAGAAAAATTCCATAAAAATTGTTGGAGAAATTTTTATGAAGTTTGAAAAATTGTCATTTTCGAGGCCAGAAACGCGATCGAAATTCGCGAGCTTAATATAATTTTATGTGATATTGACCTTCGACCTGTCATAACTTGGCTACGATCAATAAAGTTTGGTACAAACAGCATTAGTTAAATCCCCCTCTCCCTTTTCAGACAACATCATATACATCAAATTAATTTCTATATCGATACTCCCGGCCGAGTGGGATGGTGCTAATAAAGCATCTAATTAATACGATTTGTTTCAGTGAGGGGCTGGGAGTGCAGTATGCCAAACATCTGTCAATTGATAACATGGACGATGTACAGACGAAGGATAAATACTACTGTCTAGCTGCATTAGGCGCTCTTATGAAGTAAGATGATTTTTATAGAATTTTGCTGATCAATTTTGAGTTATTTCGGCCTCAAATATTGGCTTAAAAATGTTTCCATTCCTTTGAAGTTTCGGGACTCGGTCAAATGAAATTATCAAACTGTTCTTTGATACTTAGCTACTTAAAGCTTTAAAAATCTTCCAAAAATCAAACATTGTTTGCTCCTTGAGCTTGACTATTGATTAGTGCCGCTGTTGTTGCAGTCACGTGTCCTCCGTAGTCACGTGTCCTCCGTAGTCACGTGTCCTCCGTAGTCACGTGTCCTCCGTAGTCACGTGTCCTCTGTAGTTCTTGCTCTGTTTTTTAGCTGCCCGTATCGCTCTCGCAGGGTGAGTCATCACGACTCACCAAGTGAGTGTCTCTCATGTGTTCATTTATCCCCTTTGTCCAATAGAAGAGTCCTTCTATCTGTCCTGGAAGTTAATACAAGTTATTCTCCTGCATAAGTTATTAAATCTCAACCTTCTACGTACAATAGTTAAGCTGGTGGTAATATGCTGAGTAGATCGCTAGAGGAAGAATAAGAAAATGTTGAGCAAATTAAAATTAAACTGTGGCGTGATATTACCTAAAAAGTCAACCCGTATTGTTTGATTAGAATCGTTAACTTAGTAAGGGTTTTATTAATAAATAGATGTCCCTGGCCTCGGCTCCACGTGCCTATTTTCCAGTTTCGGATAAGTATAACTTACTGAGCATTGGAAATGAGATTGGCTCGAAGACGTCGCACACGGGTTCTTGGTGGTACTGGCGGAAATGTTCGACAACACCTTCAGTTATGTTCACACCTACAAACTTCCCTGAAAGAAACCATGTTTAATTAACTTGGACTATTGCAGAGAATGTCAACATGCCCCGAAGTGTATGATAAGTTATGTATGCAGTTTACATTGATATCATAAGTTAATCATGTACATTACAAAATATGTAAAGAGTGTAAAATATGATAATAGAAGTTTACACTTACCCAACAATCCCCAACTGGTAGAGAGTATCTTGAACGTTTCCTCCGTGAGCACCTTGTTGAAATAGGTTGAGGTGTATAGGAGATCCCATCTGGTGATGTTGTGGAATGTCCTGGCGTCCTCCAGCTGGGTCAGGGTGCTTGTTAGGGAGGTTGAGCAAGTATCCAGCTTATCCCCTGTCTTGTTGTGCTGAGCTGTCTCTGTCTGCAGCTCACGCTCTGTTCTTTCGAGTTCACCTTTCACTGTCCTAGCTCCTCCTGAGTGGAATTCAGGTTCCCTCTCACTGTCCCTAGCTCCTCCTGGGTGGAAATCAGCTCTTCCTGGGTGGAATTTAGATTACCTTTCACTGTCCCTAGTTCCTTCAGGGTGGAATTCAGATGACCTTCCACTGTCCCTAGCTCTTCCTGGGTGGAATTCAGATGACCCTTCACTGTCCCTAGTTCCTCCTGGGTGGCATCCAGATGACCCTTCACTGTCCCTAGCTCTTCCTGGGTGGAATTCAGATCATCTTTCACTGTCCCTAGCTCTTCAAGAGTTGCATTCAGTTGTCCAGTAATATTTGTCAGCTTCTCTTCAGACACCTTCATGTGCTGACACATCATATCCGATCCGATCAAAACCTCACTCACAGATCCACTTCTCGACTGGGACAGAATGTGTTCCCATTTCAGAACCCTAGTTTCAGAGAACTCTGTAATGTCAAAACAAAGCCCACCTTCCGCTATTTTCTTTACCTCAGCCGAGCTTAGGGCTTTGGCATAGATATTGAATTGGAAAAGTTGGCCTCCGAAAATGTAGCCAGAATCAGTAGTGTAAGCCAGTCTGTTGAAGAATAGTGTGCCTCCCATTTTCAGTGTTCTTCCATAATAGGCCGTCGTGCCTGTGCCTACTAAAGTACCATCAATATACAGCTTAATGCTACCCAACCAAGTAATACAGTAACTAAACCAGCTGCCTGCAGGCTTTGTTACCGCACTCCGCATGTTTCCACTCACACTTCCACCTGCTATATGTTTGTAATGCCCAACAGCATCTAACACGATCTCATTACTGATACTACTAGAATAGTAGTTAAAAAATAACGGCCAAGAGGAGGAGGTGTGTATACGTTTGGCCCAAGTGCAGATTGAGAGGGAGTTTTGGAAGGGGGCCATATCAAACGTGAATCCGATGTAGTCATTCGCGGAAGTACCAAAATGAAGAGCAGTGTACTGCTCATCATCAGAGGCAACAGTAGGTAATGCGATGACGACGATCAACAAGAGTAACATAACTGTGGTTTGCGAGCGAGAAATGAATTTCTTACTATCTAATCGGGGTATTCAGAGGGGGCGCACATAATTTGGGACTTTCAGGGGAAGGACTAATTGCTCTTAACTCGAACTTACTTTGAACCGCAAAGGTTTTAAATGCTAGATAATGTAACAGGGTGGCACGCCATGCCACATAGCCTGAATTTCTCGAACTTTGTTCCCTTAATACTGAGATTCTGCTCCTAATTTTGAATAAAATCAAGATAAAATTATGTTCTTAGGGTGTCCTTATCAAGAACCTAATTAGAATCGCCATTTTAATCTAGTTCAAATCCACTTACTGGCTAAATGTTTAAAAAATACCCGCTCGGTGGTCGTATTGGCAAATTTTATCCTTTTTATCAGGTGAAAAATAATTACTTTATCGTAGGCAATCACCAACCATTAAGTCATGCCAGGGCAGTATCCAAGAAGCCCGACCAGTAAACACTGAATTCCGTGTGAACCATGGTCACTGACCCTAACCCTGAAAATGACTCTGTTGGTGATGGGACCTGATATGCCCGTCTATTGGAAAATTGTTACCGTTCCAACTTCTATTCTGTCCTATGCCCCAAAATTGTGATAATTGGTATTGATTGAAATTATCAAAGTTCATGGTACGCCATAATCAATCCAGTACAGTATAAGTATAATGTTAAAAACCGCTAATCAGTTACAAATTCCAAGTTCACTATCTGGGAACTTCATACGTATCTGGGAACTTCATACTTTAATACTTTCAACACTTCAATCTAGGTAAACTATAGGTAAAAATATAATATTAATCATAAGCTAAAATGTACTAATCTTTGTATTCTAAATGGGGAAAAAGAAGAAACATTGTCAGTCAGTCGAGAAAATTGTCAGTCAGGCTATATTATATGGCAGCTTTGTAGATGTTGTGACTATGCTAGTAGTGGTCCCAGGCTTGCGACTGGAATTGCGGTGTTAAATCGATTTAATGGTATACCAACGATCCACCTCCCACTTGTTGTTTGGTACTTAGCATTAATAGTGTTAGCTGTAGCCATTTATAGCAAGAATCTTAAAACTAAAGGGGATGACAAGGAAAAGAGGAAGGAAAAAGAATAACGGAACAAACAATTAATTAAAGTATTTATAGAAGCATTAGATATTGTAATTACAAGCTTCAATAATAAATCACTGACTAAAACTTCTAATTAAAATGACACTTGGTACGCTCGCCCATTTTCACTGGTCAGTCTGAACTTCGGTTTAGCACGTTGTACACTTATTCACCTAAGTTTCAGAATTTGTTCAGTTTAGCAGAGTTAGTACCCGTGTTTCAATAAATCAAAAGATATCAGGGGAGTTCTTTAATAATGTTATGGTCATCTAGAATACCGAACTTCCTGAAAACGTTATCATATTTCCTCAGACAACGTTTAATGCCTTTAATCAGTCTATCACGGCTATATCCTCTATCAATTAGAATTTTAAATATTTTGAGAAGATGGGAGGTAAAGATATCCAATCTAGTGCAAACATTACCATATCTAAGAACTTGACTTGAAAAAACGTTGTAGCCAACCTCGGTTGGGATGTTACTGTGAGGAAATGTAAGGGATACAACATGAAAATTAAAATCATCAGTTTTGTTATACACTGATATTTCTAGTCCTTCTGTGGAAATATTAATATTTAAATCAAGGTAGTTAATGATTTTATTATTGGAACCAGCTCGCTCCATCTCCAATGAATTAGGATAAATATCTTTAATCAATTGATGAAAGTAAAGGTAGTTAATAATAGATAAATCGTCAACATATCGTTTATTATTGGATAATATCTTTGCTAATCCCATTTTCTTTTCCTGAAGTAAACGTTTCATATAATTAAATTCCTTTTTGCCAACAGTGAGATCAGCTATAGGGGAACTTGAATTTCCACCCATAGGAATACCCTTGGTTTGTATGAATACAATCCCACCGAAGACGACATAAGTGTTATAAATAATAAATTTAACAGCCTCTTTTAGGTCATCTTGACTAAAGCAGGCATGAGAATCATAGGTTTTATTGGAAAAGAAACATGTATTACTGTCTCTTTTAGAAATACAAATATATCTATTACGGTCTGAAAATATTAAATCAACAACTTCATTAATCATATTCTCTACTTCAATCAAGTCTAATCTGGTATAAAGAGTAGTAAAATCATATACTTGTATATTATAAACAACAGTCAACACTACTGTAATATAACAAATAATTTGATGAATCTCATGTGGTTAAAGTATACGAGAAGGTGATAAGAAAAAGCTGGTAAACTATTTGGAGATCAATAACCTCATATGTAGTAAGCAGCACGGATTTAGATCTGGCCGGAGTTGCCTTACTCAACTTCTCCACCATTTTGATGACGTTTTGGATTCTCTGAGCAAAAATTCAGATGTTGATTCAATATAACTCGACTATGCCAAGGCTTTCGATAAAGTCGATCACAAACTCCTACTGAGAAAGCTCCAACTCTATGGAATCCATCCTAAAATCATAAAGTGGATAGAATCTTTCCTCTCAGACCGGAAACAAGCAGTTGTTGTTGACGGTCATCTGTCCATCCTTGCACTGATAATCAGCGGAGTTCCACAAGGTACGGTTTTGGGGCCGATCCTTTTCTTGATTTTTATCAATGATATCGAACATTGTATCATGCACTCTATAATTCGATGTTTTGCTGATGACACTCGCATATCCATTGCTATTAAATCGGAGCATGACGTCAAGCTCCTCCAAGAAGATCTGCAAAATGTCATTGACTGGTCTGAAAGAAATAATATGGCCCTTCACAAAGACAAATTTGAGTACATGTGTCATAAATTCAACCACCAATATGTACTATCTGAACTTCCATTTGTGGTTGAACACTATCAATACTCAGTTTCCAGAGACACTACACTTGAGCCAATACATCAGCTCAGGGATTTAGGCGTCATAGTGTCAAGTGATCTCTCTTGGTCCCCTCACATACGAGCCATTGCAGATAAAGCTCGCCAAAAAGCATCATGGGTTCTCAGTGTATTTCACACACGATCTCACTCCATCATGCTGACGCTATACAAATCAATGGTTCGAAGTCTGATTGAATATTGCTGTCCATTATGGCATCCCTCAAAAATCAGCGATATCCAAGAACTGGAGAGTGTACAGAAAGCATTCACCGCCAGAATATCAGGAATGCGCGATCTCCACTACTGGGATTGCCTGGTCTATCTATCTCTGATGTCTCTTCAACGAAGGCGGGAGCGATTCATCATTCTCCATATGTGGAAAATCCTCCACGGAAAGACCAGCAATGATCTGAACGTTCTTTTGTTTGTTTCACGCCCAAGGCTTGGAAACCTTGCAGTAATTCCATCAAAACGTAGAACCAGTTCAACAGCAAACCTAACCTTGTTTGACAACTCATTTGCAGTTCAGGGACCTAAATTGTGGAATGCAATCCCCTACCATCTGAATGTCATTCAAGATCTAGAGCACTTCAAAGATAAGCTCACAAAGTTCATGTTGTCTCTCCCTGATAAGCCGCCGATCAGGGGATATACTCCTCCAAATACGAACTCTCTGCTGTGCTGGCGCAACGAGCGAGACTCTACTTCGCTATGGGGTGGTCAGAAGATGTGATGGCCCCGTCAAGTCTTGACGAAACTCAACATAGGTCACATAGGTAGGTAGGAATCGATGTAACAGAGTCGATATATTTTTGCCATGAGGTGGCAAGTCCCCATTTATCGCAGTCCAATAGTTTCACTGCATCTAAATATTAATAAATGAGTAATTTTCAGGTACATAGAGTTTATCCAACACACGGTATTCGCTGCACATAGCATACCAATACGCTTCACAGGGTCTGATAAATGTACACTTATTGATGCTACAACCGCTAAACTTCTCGAATTGGTAAGGATTATTCTGCTGTCTGTTTGAGTTGATCTCGTGGTAGTGCAATTTGTGTTGTTCAACTATGAACTATGTATCGTGTAAGTTATTACAACCTCCCTCCACAGGTATGCAATGCTGTGGACAGTAGATCACAACATACCTTGTTTGGAGTTTTGAATAAAACTAAGACGTCAGGTGGAGCAAAGCTGTTGCGGTAAGTCCCGGCTTATTAGTTATTCCTTAATGAGCAAATAATTACCAGTTCATGAATCATTTCCTCGTGGGGTGTGAGCGCCAAATATAAATCAAAATACATCTTCCGTTACTAGCTCAAGTTTGTACAGATTTCTAATTAAAGTGTTTCATTTCAAATCCACCCCGACAGCAATTACGCGCGTTCGCAGCGCGTTCTGGCAGCACATGGCCGATTTACAACAAGTGCACGCACCGATCAACCGACATCAATAAAGCAAAATTATACACTCCATCTATATCTTGGGATCACATTCAATTCAGTTCACCTTTCAATTCAAGGTCGACGATACTACAGCCTCCATCTGACCTGGATACAATCACTCTACGCCAGGACTGCGTAGATGAACTGCTTCATAACGAGGAACTCTTCAACAATCTGGAGTCTGTGCTGGGTAGATTTGTTGATGTGGATACTACTATCTCTCTTCTAATCCAGGTTCTCCAGTGTTGATTTAATTGCTTTTCTCTATTGGTCTCCGTCAGTGCCAATAGCATGGGATGGCTTTTCAAATCTTTTCCGGATAAAATGATGCATACGTTTTTGGTTACTGTGGATTTGAAAATGAAACGAGCTTACAATAGACGGTTACATTGGTACAGCTTTAGTGCTCAGGCATTAACATAGTTACCCGAAACTTAAGATTATACTTATGGATTTTCTGATCGAATCTTAGTCGTTTGAATCGATTCCCAAACGATCCATTATCGAATATCGCCAGCCTATGAGATCTAATGAATGATTTAACCGCGTCCCTTAAGGGGGCCGGGGGGGGGGGGGGGGGGGGGGGGGGGGGGGGGTCTTCATCAAAATTCTCTCGAAATTGACTTTGTAGTTGTTTCTGATGGAGGGGAGTGATATCTATCAGCTGTTTTTGGTCCCATGGAAAAATATTGTTCCTAGCCGAAAATATTGCCGGTCAAAGGTCAGTGCTTATGTGTAATTGTATTGCGCGAGCGATTTTCAATCGCGCGCCCTGAAAATCGAGTCTAAAAATCTATCTTCTCCTACATTTTTTGAGCAATCACCCTGAAACTTTCAGGATATGTTCTAAGGACCATTTAGAAGAGATTGTCGGGCCAGAATTTTGAGATAGGCCTTTTTATTCGATTTTGAAAATCTTGGACCTCGTATTTTGACAATTTTTTCAGGTCCAAGATTTTCAAAATCAAATAAAAAATTTTCTAAGGCCTATCTCAAAATTCTGGCCCGACAATCTCTTCTAAATGGTCCTTAGAACATATCCTGAAAGTTTCAGGGTGATTGCTCAAAAAATGTAGGAGAAGATAGATTTTTAGACTCGATTTTCAGGGCGCGCGATTGAAAATCGCTCGCGCAATACAATTACACATAAGCGCTGACCTTTGACCGGCAATATTTTCGGCTAGGAACAATATTTTTCCATGGGACCAAAAACAGCTGATAGATATCACTCCCCTCCATCAGAAACAACTACAAAGTCAATTTCGAGAGATTTTGATGAAGACCCCCCCGGCCCCCTTAATTATAACTGATGTAGTAGATGTGAGTAAGATAAGTATAAATTAAGTATAAATTCACCGGGGATATTGTATAGAAATTGGAACGATTAGTATCACAAAGTAGCTTGACAAAAGATGATCGATCAGGATGGCGACCCATTCTTATCACCTTAAACATGTAATCCGCACCCTCGGTAATTTGCCCGCTTGCTCAAATTATTTGTTACATTTTACCCTTTTCTTTAGTTAAAATCCTCCCAAGCCCATAACAGATTTATTTAATTGCATCGATAAATATTTAGCACTATTGCTCCAATGTGACGCTGAAGCTTCAGACTTCTGTACACTTCTGCAATAAACCATCGAACGTTCTCGAACTTAAATACTCTAAGTACCCTGACAAACCGTTTAGTAACCAGGTGACGTTTTACAATCGACACAATGTCAGCTTGCCAATATCGGCAGACTCCACATCAAATCAGAATACCCGTTACTACGCCCTGGAGTAAATATCCCGTTCAAACAGCTCTCTAGTGCTCATCTCATGTGTTACATTTCTATTTCATGTGATGAACCGTCACAGTTAAGATCTGGAACTTTCGAGGTTCAACTTAACTGTACTACTGTTAGATTAATTCAAGGGGGGAGATATGAGATGAAGGGGTTTGTGCAGCTGTTACTAGACACATAAACTGGCCCCCTCATTATTATTGTGATTAGAAGTAGAACTACGACCACAGCTGCTCGCTGCTAATTCCACCTTTCGTTTTACCGGACCTTGACCAATCCCAGTACACGACAGTCCCGCTTCCTCCAATCAGGGTAATGAGGCCCGGTCACCTGGGTCATCCCAACATGCAGGTAGGTTAGGGTAACCACGCACCTGGGTGTTGATCTTTGTTAACATTTAACAACATTTCTTTTGTTGTTTTCTATAGCTTATTGCAGGTAATTCTAATTAATTTCTCTTGGTACCGCCAGCACATGCCGAGTATGATGCTATGATTTAAGTTATCAGCTAAAAGTTATTAGTTTCACTGGTTGTTTCCCTCGATCCTTCGTTCTGGTGGACCAATGGAGCTACTATTTGACGACTGTTTAGTGTTTAGGGGCGATGTCACGTGACTGTGGTATGCTGGCCACTTTGTCGCACCTAATTTGGAGGAGTTTGATGATCTCAGCCTGTGGGGTATATGTCCAGTTCAGTTCGTGTGTTATTTACAACTGCGACCTGGTTGTTGGTTTCATGGAATGAAATTGTTTTTAACATACAAAAATCCATTATGTCTATTGTCTGGCCCCTGTCTGGCCATGTCGAAGTTTTAAAATCTTGTTACATAAGGTCGTTATATTAGCAGTCCTTTCGATAATTGCTTCAGAACAATCGATGGCGGGACTCAGAAGGAGAGTTGATAGGGTTGAAATTTGAATCTACTGTTTTAATTTTGATAATTAAGCAACACCTCTGTCCTAGAACCTTAGAACTTTTGAGCTGTTAATTTCATGGTTTGGGTTCAAATTTGATAAGGTGCTACTTTATGTGGCTGCGTGTCGTCGTCATATGTTTGTGTTTATTAAAAATATTATAATTTACAAAGGAGTAGACTTGCAGGTGTCCTTCTGGCCCGATTATTTAATACCATTATTTACCAGCTGAGTTAAAAAGTACCTAAATTGTAAAACTAAAATGTGTGGTATTTTTGAAAAATATATCCTTAAGTTATTATCAGGCCAATTATAGACTTATAATTGTGTATAAATGTCTTAACTCATGCTATATTATTATGTAAGGTGGTTTCTACCATTGCATAATATGGCTCGATCATTCGTTACTAGCGCGAATGAAAAATTTGATGTATTTATCGTCTGCCTTGCTAGATCATAGATGTAGTTACTCTATGGTCACAAAACCTAAATACTAACTTAATAAGTGAACATCATCCGCCGGACCGCCACGGATTGCGCTACGAACTACATCGGGCCGACGATTTTAAAGATATGTAGCCACACACTGCCTTAGTAATAGGGCAACTTGATCGAAATTACGCTAATTAGGAACATTAATATTATCATGCGCCAACTCGTGTTCAATAGCTCACTTGTATCCCACTTCTATCATTATTCAATATTCTCAATATAATTATATTAACTGTTGTATGTCTAGAGTAACTGAGATTATAATATTATCATTATATTATTAATATTAAGTTTACCGTCAATTCAATGCAGTTAGCACTAAGCCGCCGAAGATCTGTACTATTCATTATAGAAATTATAGTAAGCAATACTATTGTCTTCAGTGGTCATATGTTAATATGTAAACACGCTTAAAGGTGCATGGGTTGAGGGCTCATGTGCAAGGGGTAAAGACTCGATATTGAGATGTGTGGGGTAATATTCGATATTCTGCTCATGCTTTCGTTTTGAAATTGAGTAAGGAAACCATCATTCTGATGACACATTTAAAAATCATTGTCTTGAAAATTTCGCTGCCAATAAAAGGTTATTATTATAAGTCGAGAAAACTCTTTCACCACCAAAACGTTTTATCCACAGTTAATGTAGCACTAATTTAAAACTTTTTTCGTTCAAAGTTAAATTTGTTAATTCAAATGTATTTGCAGTACTACTTTTTGCTACAATTTGTAGACCGTTTTATCTAATAACACGTTCATGATAGATTTTCACTACAGCTGTTTCAAATTTCGAAATGTGACTTACCTTTGATCTTGCAGTGGTGGTACTCCACCACCTATTACTGTTTATTAGTCGTCAACATGGTGACAGATCTAACGGACATCTAAGTTTATCGTGGTAGCTCGGCGGTTTATTTAAATAGAAACGGTACCACTGATAAGTTTCTACAGCTCGATTATTTCATTTAATCTGCCACTATTGAACAACTCCGGTACCAATTATGACGTATTTATCAAGGATCCCATTGTCGATCCATAGTCAGATAGGCACAGACAAAGCCTGCTTCTCCGTTACTCTGCAACTGATCGAGTTATCAGACACGCTTCTTAGTAACAGGTGCTGTGAGTGTTTCCACCAACCAGCGTGCTTTAAGGGGAACATCAGCCAATCAGAAGCCTTGTTTTCTGGTCACATTATCAAATGTACTTACCGTGCTCTTTAAAAAGACCCGATATCGGTCCAGGGATTCGTACTGACTCGTTAAGTGAATTTGTGTAATGGGTCTGGGCTTCGACAGCTTTTTCCCATTGTTCGGCCCTCACGATCCATCTGGATATTTTCACTGAATATTTCGTGTCCATCGATTTAGCTGCGGAGAAATCACTCTTCTGGAGCGTCGTGATGGCAAGATAAGAGGTCACCATATTTGTATCCGACCTTCATCGACTCAAGGTGCACAGCTGCTTTAAATTGTATAACTTTAAACTTGTTCTAGTGTAATCAAATAATAATATTTTACTAGTGATGACGATGGGTGATGTGACTGTGGCCGCTAACATAACACAAGCAGAGACAGTTAAAACTACAACCCGTCCCCACTTCACTAACACTAGTGCCCCAACTTCTGATGGACCCGTCTTTATTGCTGTCTTCGCAAGTAAGTTTATCGGATTGCACGACTTCCTTCTTTTTGAAATCATCAAGTGTGTCCCTCATTTCTTGAGTTTTCCTCATTTAACAACCTCGTTGGATATAAACAGATATATTTATTATATTATGTTTAATCATTTCTTACTGTACCTTCATTTGTGTTAATCCTTGGCTGATTTCTTTAAATAATTCGTTAGAAGGATAGGCATTGTTAAGCAGTTCAAATATTACCCATGAAATATAAATGATTTAAGTCAATTGACATGGTATTCATTGTAGGTTGCGACTCGAAATGGTATCGATTTTAATATTTTACACTTGAAATAAATATAATATGGAGATCCTATAAAAGTTCAAAAATCTCGGCGTACAGCAAACTCAGGCCCTCCCTACAAAAACCAAAACATTCCACACATTCCACACAAAACATCTTTTCTCCCAGACAGTTACTGGATATACGTGTACTTGGTGCTACAGTGCGTCTACGGAGTGTGTAGTATTTTTCTCAACAGTGTCGTTTTCTCTTTCTACTGGGGTCACGTGTCAGGTCTGTGCTATTATTTTTGGTGTTTTAAGTTCATTCTAAAACAAGTAGCTGATACTAGTCCAATTGTGACGAAATTACGCCAAAAAGAGAAGATATCTCATTTTGTGTTATAATGTCTGTTTCGAATAATTGTTCTCATAAAAGCAACGAACCATCACAAAACCTGACAGGCGAGAACCGGAACAGGAAACGGAACAGAGTGTACTACTTCCTGTATGTGATGTTGTCTTTAGCCGACCTTCTCCGAGGCATCACCGCTCTTTTTCATGCTCTTGTTCTCGGTGGGTCCACTCAGCACTGCTTATTTTCCCATTAATTATTATGGGATTATCTGCATATTTTCACATTAAAAAGTTATATGTTTTTCGAATTAGATAACTTCAGATTGAAAAGTTGTTATTTGTCCTAAATTGAAGCTATCTTGTCGTTTTTAGCAGCGAAGTATCTCGACACTTTACCTGTAGATACCTTCGTTAGTTAACAACCATACAATCCTGCCATTTTTTAAGTGGAAGTACTTGACGTTGAAGGACTAATTTTCTAAATTTGGTCGCCAAATCGACTATAATCGTACTAAGTTAACCCATCCTGTTCATTCCCGCAGGTTTTGTAATCCACTACGCGTCGAAGGTGATAGTGCCACTCTGTTACCTGATCCTGATCCTCTCCTCCCTCTCCAGCCACCTCTCCATCCTCCTCAATGTCCTGATCTCGGTTCTCCGGACATTCCACATAGTCAAGCCCACCATGACTCTCGAACCAGAGATCCTCCTCGCCCCTATAGTCATGTATTCTGTTCTTTGGGGTGCGCTGTCCTCCTATGATGTGTACCTCCTTGCAATGGACAATATTGCGGCTAAGGCGGAACATGTAATGCTGTACATCCTAATCGCACCAAGGATTTTCAGTTTATTTGGATATTTGGATAAGTTTGATCGCATGCTGGAGTATGCTTTGGTTGCTATAGGACTACCTTATATTATACCCACTATCATATGTATAGTTTGCGCCTGTGTGCAAGTCGCTTATCTGCTGAAGATGAATGTTCGAAGTACTGCAAACGCGAGGATCACTGTGACAATCTTCATTCTCACCATCTGCTTCTTCGCTTGCAATGTCCCGTACTTCCTTTACTTCTGTCTGTCTCTCAACGTTTGGACAGATTCATCCGACTTCATTGGTAGTCCTGGCACAATTTTCTGCTACTTCGTGGCTAACTTCCCCAGTACTATTAACTCCATCCTGAACCCCATGATCCTGCTCAGTCGAGGACGGACCCTCCAAAAACATTTCATATCTGTTATCCCGTTGGTCAGATCGTTTTTTCCTGGTTCAGAGCGGACGAGAGACCGCACCCACATGGAGAGTTATATGACGTCACGAGCTGAAACCAGAGCTGCAGTCGCGCGGCGCGACATGATGAGCACGTGTCCCGAGACAACAAGAGGCACCTGTGAGGCGTTCCGTGACGAAATGGAGCCAGACGTTAGCGTTAATATTCATAATGATAATAGAGTAGGGACCCTCGTTGACTGACCAGTCCATTTTATATTTTAATTTCGTACGGATAGGAATATTTAGAACTATAATCTTATTACAGACACAACAATAGTTATATTTGAGTTTTACATTTATAAATGATGCTAGTTTGGATGATATTTTAAAATAAACATTGGTGTATGTGTCCACTAGTCCCGTAGTGGATAGAGAAAGCAAAGAAATGTTGATTGTTGATGCATCAGAAGCTTATTGGTGACTGGGAACATTTCACATCCCTTATATCCATAAAATACATGATATACTGGGACAAATTTCACTAAATTGTTTTACTCTGGACACCCAACACCCAAATTAAATGGTTTTTGTTAGTGACTTATGTTCTGAGATGCCAAATTTGACAAATCTTATGTTTGTGCCAATTTTTAGAAAGCCTGTCGTTTTTTAAGGGAATAAGACAATTTTGGGAAATATTGAACTGCGACGAAATTTAAAACTTTCTGGATGGGGGGGGGGGGGGGGGGGGGGGGGGGGGGGGGGGCGATGTGGTTATTGACCAGATGGTTAGTGCGCCAGCTCCAGATCAATATCATATCAGGAGTTCAGTGTACACTGTACATTCTCGCATTGACGAGTAACCGCTCAAATCTGCTTCAGGTACCCAAACAAGAGTCTCTGAAAACTGCGGAGAACCGTATCATGCACATAATATGTTTGAAACACCTCCTGGAACTGGTTAAACCCCTATCCAATGCCATCAAAGACAGCCAGAACAACCTTTTTAAAGCAATGTTTGAGGTTGGGTTATATTAATATTATAGCAAAGCAAGTATATTCAATATTCATTCTAAAAATACTTTGTTATCAAGTTCATGATTTAATGGGAATATTCCTTACAAATTTAAAATATTCTTTAGTATTTCTAGATTTCAGGTCCCGAAATGTTATGAGCTTAAACATGATATTCGAATAGAATCTGCAAGACGAAAGGTTCAGCGAGATGAAGTCTAAAATAGACAAGATAATCCACGAGGACACATACTACCAGAAGGGAGCACTGAACATGCGAACACAGAAATGTTTTGCTGTAAGATACACTTTGCATTATTATTAAGATTTTATAGCTCGTAAACTTTGAATAATCTAAGAAAAATCACTCTATCAGGGAGCAAAAAATCTCTCATGATTATCTCCAGCTTAGAGTTTCTTCTCCATTGCCGTGATTCTTAGATATGTTTTCAGGTTAAACCAAACCTGAATGGTTTGTTAGACGTCGCCAGGAGAACTTATTCGGAGATGGTTGACGATGTTGCGGAGACCATCAAGAAGCTGGCACAAAAGTAGGGAAAACTATAAAATAGAGCATTAGTTTACTTTCAGGAAGGCCTTCGTCTTGCAGAACCATATTAATCAGGACCTACTTGAAGGTCCATCTAAGCAACCTTGATAATCCAGAGGTCCTTTGTTTCAGGTACAACCTCCCCCTCAAGACTGGGTTCACTTCTTCACGAGGGTTTTATATTATCATCTCCATGAAAGTCGTTCCGGATCTACCCTCGGTCTTTGTTAAGGTATGATTTACGACAGTAATAAATAGTGCTCCTTTTTATATTACCAAAATAACAAACGGTTAGGGCACACCTACTGCCGATTAAGAACCGTTTGAGATTCGCTCAAGAGCAGCCTATAAGGGGCAGCGGTTACTTACAGTTGACAGCGCTTAAAAGATAGTTGTTAATGTTATGTATGTAAGAGCTGACAGTGGTTACTTACTAGTGTCTAACCCCCTGGGTATGAGACTCATTCCTCATAAAATTTGTAAATTTGTACTCCTTACATGAACATCGGCGCGGCGTTCAGCTGGTTTTTTGCATCAAATCTAAACTTTGACATCAATTCTTTAAAACATGCCCTTAAGGTGCTGAAACAGAAGAACGGGGTGACCTGTACTACCGGAGACTTGATAAAACTAAACGACAGAATCAACGACTCTCTTAACGACATCTACCTTATGACGAACGAGGTATAGTGCCGTATCTTGTGAACTGTGACGTCACCAAGAATTGTTAAGCGATCAGGACCCGGCCCTTTATCTAGATAATATGTGTTACCAAGTTTTCGGGATATAATGTCCGGAGAAAATTACAACCACTGATTTTTTCCTTTTCACCCGTTTGAAAAAAGGCAATAGTGAAAGGTTACGAATGGACGTTTTTTGCAGAAAAACGTGGATTTTGGGGATTGCAGTAGGTGGGTCAAATATATGTCGTGTTCCTTACTTACTTGCTTCCGTTCGTTACCATGTCAACTTGCCGCGCACGCGCGCGAGGATTGCTTGCGGAGATGTGGTGTATAGCTAGTCTGTGGTCAATAAATGCGCGGCGCACGAGCGTATTTTAATGTATACTAGTAATGTATAATATTTTATAATAAGCCCAACTTGAACGTGGCACGCGTAGTGTACTGATGGTTCAATATTATTATTATAAGGTGAGCTGATTAGAGCTTATATTAATAGTTATACTTATAGTGAAATGGAAATCTAGCGTCCGCCAAAACGAAACAACGGGCGCAATTCTTGTTATAATCCAAAAGACGTCCTTCGCTCTGTGGGTGCCAGCATTGTATCACGTCGTAACCCCCACGGTCGTTTCACTATCGTTCTTACGATACAGGGGGAGCCGCGCACTCGTGCGTGGCGGGTCATACAACGTATGACAATGCCAGCATACTTAACCATATAATATCTTAATATATGTAAAATCGAAAATTAACTCTAAAATATTGCTTTGTAATTTCTCGATAGAGCTTGTAAAGATGAATATTATAATTGTCAAGTAACAAGCTATTAACCATTGATTACAAATCAATGGTTAGGAATAGGAAAACATCAACATATCAAACAAAACAAAAAACAGTACATATTATATCAACCAAAACAAAAAATAAACATCAAAATATGTAATCATTTATAAGTCAATACATTGTATCAATTGATGATGTTTTACACACAAAAAACAAGCAATGACTCTGTCCTAAAAGGACATGCTGATATGAATGAATATAACAAATAACAATCCAAACATGTATACTGACTAATACTGTAAGTGTTTAGTGTTTATGAATGAGACAACCATATGGCACATTGGCAGCCTCAAAGTTGAGATTACAGAGAGATCTCAAGAGTCAAGAGAGTCGTGCGTACCTCCGTCTGGTCCAAACTCTGATCCCAACTCTCAACGCGAACCCCACCACAGGCACAATCAGAAGAGAAATAATGGCGAGGTAGAACTGCAGTCCATGCCAGCAGTCACATTCCGTTGCCCTTCCCCTGCTGTCATAGTCACACCCACACGTATACCAGTTATTCTGGCTGATGATCAGACACAGAGTCCAATCACCGCCGTCCTCGTCGGTTACACAGAGCGGGTACCCAGTTGTGGAGTTGGTGGAACAGTAGTGGGACTTCTGGTCGCACTTGATGGTCTTGTTAACGTACTGCCCGTCCCCCGAGCACCTCTTGTCGTGGCAGCAGTACTGGTCGTAGTCGGCAATACAGCCTCCTGACTCGAGCTTGTCCGCTGACTTGACTAGCGTTTCTGCTAGAGAACTCTCCCCTAGTCCTGTTGCGACAAGGAGAAGGAGGAGGAGTGTAGTTGTGGGATGTGGTGACATCGCCTAGTGGAGTGAAATGTGGTAAAAATATTTTTGTTCGAATTTCTATTATAAATCTATAGAAAATTGAAGCGAACTAGGTGTAGGTACCTAGCTTGTGCAGTGTGCACTGTGCTGATGTATAATCCTAGCAATGCAAGAAAATAGATGAATTAACAGTGAGCAGTTTATTTCACATAAACTAATTAATCGAGAAGTATTTCCCCAAACAATTTATTAAACGCGAGAAGAGTGTTTCACTGTAAGAAAAAAAAGTAGTGAAGCGTTTCTCAACAATTTGGACACGTGGCTGGACACATGGTTTGTCCCGTGCCTATTATAAGTATATACTACTATAATACGTCAGCAATTCTACAGAAGAAATATCTCAAAAGTTTACTTATAGTTGATAATAAGGAAGTGTAAGGTAATCCAAGAACTGTATAGAAAACTGATCGAGAATTCTTCTGTTTTTTTCTTAGTCGATAAATATTTGCACAGTAAAATCCCGATTTACCGCAGTGTTTTGGGGAATGAAATGGCCGCGGTAAATCGGGCTTTACGGTAAACCAGGGTTTTAACTTTTATTTACATAGTACTACTCTAAGTCTAGTAGCAAGGTGTAGATGAGTGTGCACTTCGATGTTCACGATTTCTGACAACACAGGGTTGTTTGTTAGGTCATTCTAAACCAAAATCGTTTAGGTGCACAATTTGTTTCGCTAGAGACAACCCTACAGGGCAAATTTTCTAAATTACCCTCAGTCGCGTATACGGGATTTTCATATTTCGGCTCCTGAAGGTCATAGAGACTTCATTTTTAGCTTAAAATTACCACAATGACCACATTTATATACAACGTATTAATCAATGTATGGTCTAAAATTGTTTGTTTCCGAGATGCTAGTCCCATACTCACTTCTCGCACTGACAGAGAAGCTTGCTCACTGTGCACAAAGCTTGAAAAGAGCGCCGAGCATTAAGGGATTGGCCTGCCATGTATCCAGATAAGGAGATCACATTGTTTGGAGGTATGGAATGTAAGTAAGAGTAGATAAAAGTTCCATACTGAGTACTGACTGAGAGGAGTGAGGAATGTCACGAGCATTCTCATTAACTGGAGCTGAAGGAAGTTTTATCTTACAATGGGGCTCTAACAATGAAGCAGAAGAGGGAATGGTTGAAACCTGTTTGTGAGTAGATACATTACATACGAAACTCGGAATACAGTCATCTGATGCAAACCTATTAAGCGACCACCCCCTCTCCAGTTACGTCAGCTGTGCTAGACCCCCACCCTCGGCTGCTGACATAAAAGTGAACACTCCCTTTTAACAGTACCTCAACAGATCGTGATATTTTGATTTTAGAAAATAAGATTCTCTAGATCCAGATCATATTCATAACGATCACCCTTTGTCCCAGCAGCCAATGTCACTTCGCCCCGCACCGGCTCTTTTCAGAGCTACCCTCCTTCTTATCTTACTCGGAACAGGAGAGTGTCTTAATGACGTGGCAGAAAGTAGCTCTAGGTCTATTCGACAGTCGGATGAGTGGCTGCGCTGTAGAGACGCTGTCAACATCTCAACCGAGTACTGTGCTAACTGCTACAACAAGAAGTGTTGGGGAGAGGGATTACACACGTTTGATTCCATCGATTGTGACACCGAATGGAATCATTGTTCCAGTGTTAGAGACGGTAATCCGATCTGTGTGGTTGATAAAGAAGGGGGTGTTTATGGTATCTGCGAGAAAAAATACGGGTATTCTTGTAGCTGTGTTCTTGACGATCGTGGAATGGCAGACAAGTGCCGGTGTAAAGAGAAAGAGACAATTTAAAAAAAATTGTATACAATTTTTTAAAATTTGTATACAATTTTTTATTTGAATAAACTGACATTTTAAAATGCAAAAGCTTGATTGATTTTTTATAATAAGACGTCTAAATGTTACATAAGACTGAAAGTTAAAATCCAATGCAGTTCTTCTTTTGTCGTGAGTATCAAAAATTAAAGTGATCCGGCCGGAAAATGACCATTTAATCAACACAAACACAACAAAATATGTATTAATAGATCGATGTTTGGTTTTAACTTTTATATTTAGATCTATGCCGTGATAAAAGTTTATTTTCATATCTGAAAAAAAAAACTGAAAACAAAGTGTAAAATTAATTTTCATATCTCGATAACACCGGCTAAAGCTGAGTTGTCCGTTAACTAATATCTTATATTTTAGAATATACAATATCAATATCTTCTTCTTGCTCTCAGCTGTCCGACTTCGTAATAATGAAAACCATGAACCCAACATAACCGCTCACCAATTACAAGCTGACACAAAATGCCGACACAAAAGCTGACAAAAAATGCCGCGTTGAACACGCTATTGCAGCCATCACCCATCAGCCTCTCCACAAACGTTGTAGTGACACTCGTTGGTCACCAACATACTGCAGACAAGAGCGCACAATTCCGGTGCCGTGATCAGAAGGGGTATACAGGTCGGATAACCGGTCTTATTTGTATAGTTTGACTCCTGGTCACAGCCAATAGAAACTTCACCTTCCCAGCACGTCTTGTTGTACTTTGTAGCAACACAATACTTCACTGCAGATCGTGGGCATCAGGTCGGCAGAATCATTGGTTATTTCTGCTGCACAGATCGTGGTAATAAGTACGAAAAAGTTGATCCAGAGTGAATGTGCCATATTATTATTCGCTGAAAAAAGTTTATATTTAATAACTAATGAAATTATGTTTTCTAATGTATTTAACTAAAAATGTGACGTAGTGAACAGTTAATATGGAAATAATAAATTCAAGACAAGAAAAATCCTAAGAGGTAATCCTTTAACGCGATGCTAGATTAGAGCGGAATTTTGACGTGAAAACCGAGGTTTTCAATCAGGATTCAGTAGTTTTAATTTTATAAGCTCGCCAAGTAATGAGTAAGCGCAGTGTCGCCGCTATATCAGCTGCTATGGCCACAGACAACTTGGCGTCTTAGAAGATCTATACGTTCTTATATAATATTTATCCGTTTTTCATTTTATCCGTTCATAAAATACCAACCGGTGCACTACATTGCAACTTCTTGTCTAGGATTATACTTATAGTTATAGTATTTGACGAAATCTAAGACTGTTTTTTAGGTCAATGCATGACTTCTTCCTTGTCCCTCCCCGCTGAACTTTGTTCACCCGAGTGGCGAGTCAAACCGTAAAACTTCTGGTTTCGACTCAGACCTCATAGTGTTAATACGCTATGGTTGTAGAATGTCACAATCATAGATTCGTAGGGTTAATGTCAATATCAGATTGAAAATCTACCATTCCCAATGCCAGGTAACGAAAGGTTTGCTACAAGAGATTTACCCGCTTGTGGGCTGTCTCTACAAGCTGTCGGAATGTACTGCTATGCTTGACATGATAACATCCTTCGCTGCTGTCTGTGCATTGTCTGACTTCATCAGGTTTATTTCAAAGACTTATGTTTGCTCTTTGTTACCATCTTATAGTTTCGATTTTTAAATTTTATAGGTTTGTCAAATAAAAACTAAATTCTTTAGACCGGAATTCACCGACACCATGGCTCTAAAAGACTCTGTCCACCCGATTATCAGTAAAATAGACTCTGTCAAGCTGTCCCTAACGATGTGTTCGCTTCTTCTTCCAGTTCATTCAACATCATCACCGGTAAATTATTCTACATGCTCTATGAACGTCAGTATCTTAGATGTTGAGGGTTTCAAGACTGGCTGAAATACTGGTGCCAAAATAATTTCCACACAATGTCCTTATGTAAACCTTATGTAAACTTATGTAAACTTATGTAAACTTTCACTTTCACTTTCACTAATCACCACTTCACCAGGCCCCAACATGAGTGGCAAAAGCACTTACATCAAGCAGATAGCACTTCTCCAGGTCATGGCTCAGGTGGGATGCTTCATCCCAGCCTCGTACGCGTCCCTAAAACTGGTCGATAATATTTTCTCCCGTATCGGGTGCGATGATGATATCGAGACAAATGCCTCGACCTTTACACTGGAGATGAGGGAGATTAAGTATATTTTGGATAACGTCACCGACAAGTCAGTAGATGTCTTTCTTCTCATCAATTCAATTTCAATGTCATATTCGTTGCCATAAAAATTATGATTTTCACGTATGTTTATCATTTGTTTCAAGATTGCTGCACTTTTACGAATTCGTGTGTCCGTCTTTGATCAAGCTTACAGCTGAATAGCCTCCTTTGTTTTTCTATGCAAGACCTGATGAATAATATTTATATTTCTTCTTGTCTAGTCCTCATCTTCCCAGGAGTTTAGTTATAGTAGACGAGTTGGGGCGTGGCACTGGTGTGGAGGAGGGTGCAGCACTCTGTTTTGCAATCTCCGAACACATCCTAACCCGGGCCAAACCTTTTGTTTTCTTCGTCACACACTTTCAGGAGTTGGAACATCTTGAGAATATCTATCCCAATGTGGTCAACTATCATTTTCAGGTACCTGTAACTCAGGTTTTTGGCTCAGTCATTTTCAATACAATCTTCATGTTTCGACTTTCGATAAGAATCTTATTTGACCATTCAAAAATAGTTCAATGGTTTCCTAAATATAAAAATAGAAATACGACGTTTTTGTAGTTTTACCCTTTTAAAATCAATCTCCAAAGGTTAACTACGAGTTGGCACCCGGATCAACTTGTGAGAAAGTACAATTCCTTCGAAAGTTGAGCAAAGGACCAGGTCCTCATCGAAACTACGGTATAAAACTCGCTAAACTCTCCGCCCTGCCGTCAGAAATCACTTCAGAGGCGGAGAAACTTTCGGCTGAGCTGAGGAAAAAGTGTGGCTACTCGGCTGTCCCTCAGAAAAATGAAAGAGAAATAAACGAACAAAATGTCTACTCACTCGCCGAACATCTCCTGCAGGCCGTGAAAAACACTGCTATGAGCGGGGAGGAAATGAGGAATTATTTAAAGAATTTACAGGAGGAATGTATGAAGATGAATGATTCTAGAACGACGGAAGGGAGTGATGGGATGACGTCGAATGAGGTCTCGTTTGACAGTTCTGCTAATAATCAGAGCAACTCGTCTGTCGAATTCCAACTGAATAATGACATGACTGATACACACGTTGTTGGCAGGACACTTCTAGGAAAGGGCTTGAGGCGCCCAAGAGATATAACCTCTGAAAACCAGACCGACAACGAACTCGAAGAATCTTTTGGTCTAACCGATAAAAGGCGGCAATACAGTGTCGAGTACACAACTACAAAAACATCATCCGATGATATGTTGAGACGGTCCAATATTGAAGACTCCGATTCGAAAACAGATCAATATGCAAACACAGGACATCAATACCACGAGGTAGATTACTCTGAAACGTTGGATGAGATCCGGGGAAATGGACAACGTTTTAACGTTGAGTATTCCACGTCTAACGGTCAAACGTTCGATTCCTCTGAGGAAAGGAACTTTCAATTCCATGAGTCATCTTCCTCCGGCATGTCCAGTGATGTTGCTAAGTTTTACACTGGATTGTCTGTCAAAAGAAAGCTTCGTTAATTTAAGATTTACATAGTTATATATTTTGATACTGTTCGTTACAAAGTTATAACAAAGTTCTTTAATTTGTAACATAATGGGAAATGCTTTCCAAATCTTGTTTCAGATAATTGTTAATTAATACGGTGAACAGATCGTGGTAAAATGCGAGTCTGGTTAATGGTTAATGGTTATATGTTGTTGGGTTAAATTTGTTTAATTTGAAAATTAAACAAAAATTTCTTTAATACATTTTTCTGCGAGGTTTTGAGGTTTTCAAAGGTTTTTTTTTTCATCTCAGCAAGTGTATACTTATTATGAAGGGTTTATACATTACATACTACATAGTGGTGTCAACATTTTTGTTTTTTAGGTACAGTTTTGAAATCGTTGTATTAGCATGTTGAAGATTATGTTTTGTCAATATCTATAATTGTACCGTAATCATTTTACAAGCAATGATAATTGATAATTTTAAATGGTTTTGTAAATCCGAAATTTCTGAGCTCCACTTTTCTTACATACTACTATACAATATACATTCATGCACATAATTTATTATTAATTTCTTGAATTATCCCTAAATTGCCCTGTACATAAAATTATAAGCTAAACTTTTAGCGAGCCCCCGGAAACCCATTATTCAATAAGGTCCAGTCCTCAAAGTCGGAGAGGGCCTAATATTGCCTTGTAACGGCCACTAATCTGTGCGTGCTTGGCTAGGTAATGGTCCAGGTGCATGCAATAAAGCTGGGGCTCAACCCAAGGAGACTAATTCTAGTCCCCTTGATCACGACACAGTTATATCCAAGTAGGGTTGACCTGGAGCGTTCTGTTAGACGGTGAAAAGTCTTAGTTGGAGGTTTGTGTTTTGTTGGTGTATTGTTTGTGCCCATGCTTATTATGGTATAATGTATTTCTAATCTTCAGGCAGTTATAGTTAGATACTTGTAGTTGTCATTTGCGTGTGTTTTATACTTGGTTAGGAGACTTTGATACTGGATAAACTATAATTACTAATTAGTAATTAGGCTCATGACTAACCCCAATTTTTATGCACCTCCTCAAGTTCATCATTTTCAAATACCGCTACAATGTATGTATAAGTCAAAATATTTGGAACGTTTAGCTTTTATATACGAAAACGTTTGTTTTCAAATCATGAGTCTTAGTTAACCATTATGCAAACTTTCAAAGCCACAAACAGGTCTGTGGAGTGTTCTACTTTGGATCATATTTCCATTCTACCAGCGTGTAACACAAGACAGTGATAGTCTAGAATGGCGAATTAACCCAACTAAATCCTAAAATAATCTCCCAAACTTTGCCCGACCACACTTAATCTTATACAATGCAAAATGCAAATTTCCAGTCCGCATTTCCACAAGTTACCCCAAAGCCGTGTCTAGTACCAGTCAAAGAGTTCAGCTGGATATAAGGACCTTATGTAACTACTGCGCTTGAATCCTCCTGTCTTCAGGATGCAGAATGTGAGGAATATAGTTGAGTAACTCTGTTTTATGAGCTGCGTGTTTGCTAAGATGGCTAGCACGTCCAAAGTGGTTTACGAGAAGAGGAGGACGGTGCCACCTGTCGCATGGAAGCTGACCTCGGTAAGTCATACCGTCCAGCACTTACTTCGTACAATCGTACTTACTCGCCAAACCGTAGCATATTGTATTTGAGATGGTCGTATTGGAGTTCGGTTTCGAGATTACGACTCGAGGTGTACCCAGCGCGCCCACGTGGCAGGGGCTGCTAGCTCCTCCTGCACCGTCTTATCAGGTTAGTGCATGGTACCTGTATCGTCTTATCAGGTTACTGTTATTGCACGGTACTGTACCGTCTTATCAGGTTAGTGCACGGTACTGTATCGTCTTATCAGGTTAGTGCACAGTACTGTATCGTCTTATCAGGTTAGTGCACTGTACTGTATCGTCTTATCAGGTTAGTGCACGGTACTGTATCGTCTTATCAGGTTAGTGCACTGTACTGTATCGTCTTATCAGGTTAGTGCACGGTACTGTATCGTCTTACTCTTATCAGGTTAGTGTACGATACTGTATCGTCTTATCAGGTTAGTGCACTGTACTGGGGGCCGGGGGGGGGGGGGGGGTAATGACTACTTTTGGGGACTTGGGGAATTACGTCAATTCCCCATGATTTTTAGTCCCCATTAGTCCCCAAAAGTCTCCATTAGTCCCCATTTAGATTTCAAAAAATCTGGCTTCTCCAGACCAGATCGTAAACTTCTCAAGACTGAAGTCTAGAATATTTATAAATGGTCACTGGACATTCCTGACTTCTTGGGAGCTACTTGAGGGCTGTTAGAGTACCTCAGGTTATTAAACTAACTTGAAAACCATAAATAACTGTCAAAAATTCTGGGGACTTATGGGGACAAATGGTGAATTACGTCAACGAGTTGACCTCTAGTCCCCACGATTTTTAGTCCCCATTAGTCCCCAAAAGTCTCCATTGGTAGTCATTACCCCCCCCCCCCACTGTACTGTATCGTCTTATCAGGTTAGTGCACTGTACTGTATCGTCTTATCAGGTTAGTGCACTGTACTGTATCGTCTTATCAGGTTAGTGCACGGTACTGTATCGTCTTATCAGGTTAGTGCACTGTACTGTATCGTCTTATCAGGTTAGTGCACGGTACTGTATCGTCTTATCAGGTTAGTGCACGGTACTGTATCGTCTTATCAGGTTAGTGCACGGTACTGTATCGACTTATCAGGTTAGTGCACTGTACTGTATCGTCTTATCAGGTTAGTGCACGGTACTGTATCGACTTATCAGGTTAGTGCACTGTACTGTATCGTATTATCAGGTTAGTGCACGGTACTGTACCGTCTTATCAGGTTAATGCACTGTACTGTATCGTCTTATCAGGTTAGTGCACGGTACTGTATCGTCTTATCAGGTTAGTGCACGGTACTGTATCGTCTTATCAGGTTAATGCACGGTACTGTATCGTCTTATCAGGTTAGTGCACGGTACTGTATCGTCTTATCAGGTTAGTGCACGGTACTGTATCGTCTTATCAGGTTAGTGCACGGTACTGTACCGTCTTATCAGGTTAGTGCACGGTGCAGGGGAAAATGTGCTCGATTATCTAAATGGGTTCGAAATTTTTGCCATTTTAAAAACGCTCTGAATATTTAATAATTTTAGTTTTTGGCCTCGCGTGCCGAAGTTTTTTACTCAATCTTGGCCTTCTTGGGCCACAAGCATTTGATGTTAAAGTCAACTTTTAAGGGAAGCGTGAATTCTAAAATTGTAAAATAGTGGTATTTTCTCAGTAAATTATAAATTGGGTGCTAGTCTGCGATACTGCAATCCTCTAGATTTTATGCCTTAATATACCCTAATAAATGGTATACATTGACTGGTAATTAGCCGATATAAATAAGTATAACAGAGCATAAAGTCTAGTCAGGCTTTGTTCTTCCAACGCTCCACCATGGTACTATTAAGCTATTATACTAACCACTCAACTTGAGTGGCTAAGTGAGATTCAACATGAACATTGCATTTGCGCGGATCCCGACATCCCGTAAAATCTCCTTATTATCTTGCATTCAAATAATATGTTAAATAATTGTATTTACCTTACTGGGCGGCGCTCAGCCTGTCATTCCGCCTAATCTCATTCCGCCTATGATTATGAACATGAATATAATAGCAGCTTTCCCAAGATCTTTTCGTCTACACTTCTCTAACTGTTTTATTGCAACAAATATGCATATGCACTGCAGAACTAAACAAAATACTTGTTTAGTTCTGGATTCGGACCAGTCTCCCAATCCTTCTTTAGCTCATCCACTTACAGCCTTGTAGCAAGCTCTGGGATCTTTGATTCGTAGAATTATGGTCACCGTTTTTATTAATTATGTTGATAGTTGCACAAATATGCAATATCAATATACCAATTCTCATTCATCATCAATAGTATGGTATTACTTCTACTTGTAAGATCAATATCCTAACTAATACTAATAGCTTCATGGAGGTCGGAGGAATCATGATTAATTTCCGCTCCTTGGTTCAACAGAGTATAATGATTAGATTTTAATGGTTTGACATCATAATTCCTCTTGGCATATCATAATATTTTGATCCTTGGTTAATTGTAAACTCCTGCCCGAAACATAAAAAGAGTCTCAGTCCCCAATCACCAGACATCAGCTAATTTTAGGATCATAACGTTTTAGATTCATCGTTTCTGATGAACAAAGATGTTACGCGAGGATACGTCTCTGACACAAATCATAACAATCAGATCACGCCACACCGATCTTTTGTAGACTCCATATACCATTATATTTATAAATAGAATGATATTATCAAAGAAATTGTCCGCTACCGGTAGTGGCACTCCATTACAACCTTTCTGCGGAGATGGACAGTTCGCCGTAAACATTGGACCAGTCAATGTATTGCTATTGTGACGTCAGGCATGCTGTACGGATCCCCTCTTTAGACCCCCTAATCTACCTGCAATCTACATGTAATTGTATAAGTAGTTGTTTGGCTCATCATACAATCCCAATTACCTCAGATTCTTACATTTAGTTCTCTTCATCTTGTCTGCTATTTGATCTACATGTCATGATAGAGATAATGTTTTCTAGTGTTTCAGCTTCTTTGATCATGTAGATCATTGGTTTTATCGCGAGCGGCGAGCCTCGATTTATTTATAGTTTCGAGACCTCGAGGCTGTACTAACTTAAGTACCGTCTCTGTCAGCAGATCATATCGTTTGAGCTGAGTTTTTGTTAGTTGCATAAAGGCGGATATGGCTTTTCGGTCGAACACCGCTTCAAAGGTGAGTGACTCGCTGATTCCTAATTTATATGACTAATGAGTCATGTTCGACTCGGTGACTAAGCATTAGGATTTAGAATCTTTAAAAACAGCTAATAGGCTTCTGAGATTATTTACATTCTGAAACGTTTTCACCATATTAGTATTACTCAAAATATATTCGTCTCGACTGTGGTATAGTCGAAACACCTACACCACACAGTAACATTGCATATGGACGTCAGATCCTACCTACGACAAAGACCAGCTAGCTGCCAGTATACATGATTGACCGCGTCCTTCCGACCGTCGCGAACTAATACCATACTCTGAGACTACCTTATCGGACTTTATTTTAACGGACATTACTTGGACACTGGAGGCCCTAGCGATCATTCTAAATTTCTAATGTCCGTTCAATTAAAGTCCGACAAGGTAGTTAAATTAAATATATTAAATGAATGCATTTGAGAGTTCACTTTAATGTCCGTTCAAAATTATGTCCGTTCATAAAATGTCCGGTCAAATAACGTCCGATAAGGTATGGTAATCTCTGAGACTACCATGTACCATAGTCTCAGCAACTCCTGTGTCGGTTGACTGTCTGTTGAAACTCTTCAAACTGGAAATGGAATTTCCGAAGCTGGACTCTTTCCAGAAAACGTATGGTGGCTTATAATGAAATAATAGTAACTATGGTAATATTGGATTCAGCAATTAGGTCTGGCGTCCTTTTAATTGGTCTGTGAGTAACCCGTAAGAGCATTAGCCTTCCGACCGATCCTTCAATTAAACAGGTGCAAAAACCGCAGCAGAAGATTGAATTTTTCACCGTGAACTACTAAATTCTAGTTTTGTTCCATTCCTTGTGTCCTGGACTAACTTCAAACTTATCTCATTAGAAACACTCGCATAGTTTCACCACTGACTTACCAACTATTGCTGTTGTTTTTAAATTTATCCGTCGAGAATTTCGAATTAAACTGTCCGTTGTTGCCCCTGACAACGGTCGCAGGTCATTGAATTTAGAGTCGTTGCCCCTAGCAACAAGTTGGGTGACGTGCCCAGAGGACGTGCCCCTGGGATAAGGTTTCATCTCAAGGATTCAAACCAGTTAGGAGGTCTGGAGGACCCAGGATTGGTTAAAGGATGCCACCTGAGAGAGGAGCAGTCCCAGTGAGCAGCGGACAGCGGAGCCTGGCCTGTGTAACATATTCTGAAGTTATTATAGACCTGATTTATAGCAAGTCATAGTTGCCGAGTTATTGACTGTTTATGAAATATAGGTGCTCTGTTACTCTTAGTTTTGAAGCAACCTTTTGTGTCGTTTAATCTATTTGAATTGCTTGCAACCTCACTATTTTCTGGTAGTTGAGCCCATTTTCAAACCTAGTGATCGGAATTTATTTGCGCACCAACAGAACTTGCCGTTTCTTGTGTTATTAAAATTTGTGTGCAGATTAAACACAAAAATAATGAATGATCAAGTTAACTTAAGCTTGACGACTACTATTATATCTGTAGCGAGGGAAGCGCTATGAACGAGGAAGATGTCACCAATTTGTCCAGCGAAGTAAGGATCCTATGGTGTTTAGCTTTTTTTAGTCCACTTTTTTTTCTACTGCGCGGCCGTAACGGGTTCGAGGATCTGGTCATGTCACATTGCAGACCCGATACCTTAGCGTAGATCCGGACTTCGCACTCTGTGAAACCATCACGTTATCTGCTGTTTTTTATAGAATTTAATGTATCACGAGGTGCTTTGGTGTTAATGTTTGTTTTACAGAGCTAGGTACTCATGTTGATAATAAACTTTACAGTTTACTCCTACCCTAACATCTCCTTATTTTCAGATAGCGTACCCACAGCACGGTGAGACGTTTGAAGAGTGGGCCACCCTCTCCCACCTCAAGGACAGCACACTAGAGGTGCTTCGGAGTAACGAGATTGATGATCTCAGCACTGTTAGATTACTAAACGCTGACGACATCAAGGTTATAATCCTGCTCTGTTTACACGATCATTTCTATATATAAGCTTGTTGTATATCCATACTTTTACAATACAGGAAAAATGTTAATTCTTTTGCGACCATACTTTGAAGTTATTTATGTAATGACATGCGCTAACTTATAAATAAAATTATCGTATTTCAGAAATTACCAATCAAGTTAGGCCAGGCCAAGTTACTGGAGTATGCTGTGAAGAAATTAAAACGGTCTGATGCATCGCTCAATACCAGGTAAACATCTTTAATGCTTTTTAATTTGTTCGATACTATTTTCCCGAAATAAAACTGGCCCCACTGGAGAATATCTTGAGTGTCTAGTGAGCCTCAACCTGGATACTTCCTGTACCTAAGAGAAATCCCGGTTTGCTTATAATTTTCTAACAGCTGCTCGGTTTCGAGATTGATCTGACTTGTACGGTAAAGTCTATTGTAATTACACAATATAACACATTTAGTTGGATTTCCTTACATTACCAATTCGTATTAATATTGCAGTCGGTTAGATTACTTAGATTTTCTATGTTGAAATTATCTCGTCTTATAGAAAATAACTGTACAAAGTGAAGGGATACGATTCAATAAATTATTCAAATGACATAAGTATGAAATCATGAAATACAAAACGCAATGAAGCAAATATAAACGTTTCCAAATAACTCCTCCGGCCATAGGTCGAGTTCTCAGTCGCTGTATTCGTACGAAGGTTTGTAACTAGAACTGATCTGTCCATGTTCCATCTCCCTCAAAATCTGGGTCATTCTGGTGAACTTGACGGCCACAACTTTCAGAGCAGCAAAACAAAGGTCCAGTTCACGTTCTATACCGTCCCTCTTCTCCAGTAGTCTCGTTCTATCACATGATTTTAAATCGTGTTTGGTGTTTTTAAGGTGACCTGAACATCTGCTTTTAGTGGGAACAGTAGGTGATGGTGTTGAGCAAAGTTTGGTCTGACTTTTATCAGCTATGATGTACGATTTTTGACTTGATGTTGCAGAAGTTTTCTGTGGTTCGTAACATTTCCCTGACGAAGATATGATCTGGAGACGTTTGTCCACCAGGATCCGGGCGTCTAACAGCCTGGACACCATCAGATGAAGACGAGTCTGAGCTCTGACAAGGGTTGACAAGGCAGAGAGGATTGTAGATCTGCTGCGCTTAGTATGATTCATTGAGGACATCATTATCAATTACAGTTGATTAGATCGAGAGGAAATCAGAAACTTGCTTGAACGTTGTCAAGTGGGTTGTACTTGTAGAATGTGAAATTAAACTGGGCACGAAAGACATCTGATTATGGCGGACGGGGTCATTATTATACCCTAGATTGCAACCTCCTGTCACTCCTCAGGGCATGCTGCACCTAGGGGATCGTCAATTAATGGACAAATATGAGAAGGGTGTCGCTAAATGAGATCACGTGTCCTACATATGAGATCACGTGATCGCAGAGGTGGAGATCGGTTGCTGGTCACGTTAGAACCTAATCTTGCTTGATACCTCCAAGGTATCACGTGTCTCAATCTCATGTCACTAGATTGGAATGCGAGCAGACAGTCGACACCTTGTTGTTTCGTGCCATCAAGCAGAACATTATAACTGTAGAGTGTAGATAAGGTATATATACTGGCCACAGCCTGGATAATTACATCTACTTTTTATACCATCATCAAAACTACAAGTATTTACCAAACAACTCCTTCCAACACTACTTCCTTAAAACTAACTCAAAAAACTCCTGACTATAATAATGAACCCTCTGATGGATCTTCACTCCACCTCCTCTATCTTCCTCCAGATGACTGAATCCCAAGTACAACTCCTCTCCACCTTCACTTCCTCCCTCTCCAATGCTGTCACCTCCCTCCACTCAGCAGCACAACAAGTCTCATCCCACAACTACAATGACGGTCACTACACTGAGCAGGAAATAGCTGTCTACGAACATGAGGATGTTGGAACCAGACGGGTTTTGAGGGCTGAAATAGAGGTGCAGAGACAACAGGTCCAGGAACTGGAGAGACAGCTGGAGATGATGGAGACCCAGATGGAAATGGTGATTAGTCTGGCTGGTGGTGCTGCAGATCCTGCTGTTATTTGTGATGTTGAAGCAGTTTTGGAAATTAGTCCAACTATTGCGGAGATGAGACTTGTTGCTGAGCCGGTGATTGTGGGGATGTCTGTAAACGAGCTGAGCGGAGAGATGATGGGAGAGACCGGACAGAGGACCATCCAGCAGAGATGAGACTACCAACACATTTTCCTGAGTCTAACTACTGAATACAACAGCTGTTTGTTGGATAATAAAAATACACTTCTCCCGTTTGAGTTTAATACTTTATGTTCAGTTGAAATTTTGTAACTTTTATTCATATAATTTATGAGATAAATATTGAGTACCAACCACATATTTTATTAATCTCAAACACTGATCCTAACAGGTCCTAAGCCCCTAAATACGGTCCCTAATTGTGTATAAAGTCCAGTAAATGACATAACGAGGCCAATATGAAACCAGCTTTACCTCAGTGCCTTGTACATCAGGTACAAGCTGTAATTTTCTTTACGGAGCTTGTGGTCGTTTCTTTCAACCTTACTCTATAGAATCTGGCAGGTTTATGAATTAGGTTCATTTCAATCATGGTCTGTTTTTTGCCGTTAATTATTAATTCGTAACACCCAGTGTGAATATTTTCTTCAAGCGTAGAACTATTAAATCTACGCTCTGATATCGCTAAATTGTTCATTTATGATCCGATACCTACATATATCTACTTTTAGACTGTACAGCGATTCGCTCATAGGTAGAAAGCCTAAATAGTCAGTAAATGTCAACTTATATTGAGTACATTTAAACTGATACGGTTCATCACTAGTTTGTAAGTATGTATAAACTCTAGATATAGTTATATATTGGATCCAGGAAGGGTTTCAATGTTCAGTGAGTCGTTTAACATGATCGATTATCTTCAATAAATTGGACATCTGATGTACTTGTCTAAGGCAAAACGGCGAAGACTGAACGGCCTTATTGTATGTACCAATTGTCTTGGTCATGCTTTACGGATATATTAGCATTTCAACTTGTAGCAACACTAAATACTTTTCTTGATGTTTTTATTTTAATTGTTACCGTCAGAATCAACAATTAATTCATTGAAGTAGCCACATCGTCTTCCTGTCGGGATTGTTAGCTTCAAATTGCTAGCTTTAGATAGCTAGTATTTATTGCTGACTTGTAATTGAGCACCACCGCCGCCTTAACTATAACTGACATCCAACGTACGAACTATTCTTGCCCATACTGTAAATCTTAACTTGGTTACTGAATAATACCTTGGTAACTAAACAGTAACTCAGTAATCTTTCCAACAGCAAAGAAACATCCTACTCCCGCGGTTCCTCCCCGGACAGATCTAAATCAGACAGCTTCTACATCGTTCCTTCTCCCCATAAGGTTAGTGTTGAATGTGCGCTGGAATCCCTGGAATTCTGTCGCGAAATGGCCGTGTTTGCTGTCAATATGTGGCCAATAAAATACATTTTATCTTATCGAAATTGATTTCTAGTGCGGTTGGATATATCCTCAAATGGTTTCGGCCCCTGCAGCAAATTAATGTTTTCAATAATTTAAAATTGTTAAGCTACTGTTCACGATGAGATGTCACTTCACTTCGAAGAACTCGAAAAATAAGTAGCAGTAAAAAATGAAGTTCAACAATTTATCATCAAATTCAATAAAAAAAATTCACAAAACAACGACAACTACGTACTATCTTAAAATCTAGAATTCGCTGTAAAAAAAATGGAAAAAACAAATTATCCTGGCTCTGCCAGTTTAAAATTCTAAAGTAGAGTTTCTAAAGGAGCAGAGTTTCAATCTTCACGAGTGGTCAGGCTTGAATTTCTACATTCGATCGTCTTAAGCTGCTTGACACAACAGCTTTCAATTTAAGCTTTCAATTAAAACATCAATATCACTGCGATCTTCAATTTCATTCCTGAATCCTGACCCTTGCATTGTCTGTGTCAACTGTCAATGCAGTATCGTGGGGCGTAATCTTTCAGTTTTATGATGAAATCTCGGGTTTTACAACGGAAGGCCGTATTAACAAGTTCGACATTCATCCCATTGTAGCTCTTAGCACTAAGGCTAGATAAATCAGAACTGAGTATGTAACTCCCACAGTGGCGCTATCTGTATCTTTCTCAGTCTCATTTATACTTGGGTCATCTACATCATATTCCGAGTCATTCTTCAGATCCGTTTCCTCCGAAGTTGTATTATCTTCATCGTTTGAATCTTCCTTATCTTCCTTATCCGGATGTCCTTCCTCCGGAGTCAAATTCACTTCTTCGTCTGTGTCTTCTTCGTCAACTTTAGGTTCCTTGGTCGGATCAGGTGTATGGGTAACAGTACCCCAGGAAGAAGACGGAGACACCGTCTTGTCACAAGACTCCACAGACGGTAAACATACTCTGACGCAACCCTCAAAAGTGGAACAAACAGGTTTGTCAGGATAACAACCGTAGGAGACACCAACTTTTGAAACCAGTCCAAAACAGAACTCACCCCGGATAGGACACCTGTGGGAAAACGCACTGCAGTCCTCCGTGGGTCTCTGGGTCGCTGTGACGTACTCTTCCGGCGGATCTGTTGCGTCGAAGTTCACATGAGACACGGTTGTCGCTGAAGAACTCATGGTCCAACTTGTAGTAGTACCCAGATCCCTGACCAAGCCTGTCGGGAAGTTGAACTCGGTGTAGAGTGTTGTTGAGCCCAAGGTAGACAGTGGCCCGTCCGTCGCGTGTACTCCTACACTAAAATCTATCCTGTGATCCATGCCCACCACCACATGTCTCCTACAGCTCGCATCTTGCTTGAAATCACACAGTTCACTTTCCGGAGCACATATGTGAGCCACTATTTGGGGCACTTGAGGATCCTGACTGACATAACACTCCTGGTTACACGGAGTCTCACATTTCTCCAGATAGAGCTCGGGCAGGTAGGTTCCTTCTACTCGTCTGAGAAAGCGACCTTGGGTTTGATCGATTACACACAGGGTGGGACATTTGATTTCATCACTTCGTTTTTTTCTGGTGTGGGCTGATCTGGTTACAACATGTGATGTCAAGGTGGTCAGCAACAATACGGTGAGTAATGTGGAGGTATCTGACATGTATCTCATACCTAGTCTCTGGTTCTCAGAGTTCTTTTTCCACTACAAAATGCTGGGTTAAATACGAGGTAATGTAAGAATTGTTCTTCATATTAGAATAATATAATCTTTCAACTTTATTCCAATCTGAAATCGAATATCTGCACCCTATTTAAGCAGTAAATCAGTAATCACACAGAGAAAACCACGAAGTCTATTATATCGAAGCAAGAAACAACAGTGAATTATTGTGGGCGGGGGAGGCCACCCTAGAAACCGTCATCGAAACATGTTGGCTCTGAGAACATTGCTTAGAATAGTTACGGACATATTGCATAATGACACAAACGAACAATAAACAACATGCAATATTGCACTTACAGAAAACACTTAATTACGATACTGAAATACAGTAAACACTACAGACTAGAAGTAGACACGTCACCTGACAAAACTAACTATAATGACGTTGTAAACTAGATTTAAAAGAACATGGCAGAACATTTATCAAATCTATCAATCGTCTAATTATTGTCTCAAACCGGCATAAAAATTGGCCTAATAGATTCAAATTGCCAATTATTTCAGTCAATATGAACCCAATAACAAGTCATGATCTGGCAAATCTGGAACATTCGAGAGAAACGATCAACGGAGAAAATAAACTATCTATTTTCGTAACTTTGATGAAAGCGGAACTGCAATAATAGTAATACTCGGATATTAATAAACTGCAGACAGCAAATTATTCCTGGACATCAATTATTCCTGGACGGGCTTGGATTAGTTAATATTCAAAGAAACCTGTTTGACCAGAACTAAAATACCAGCGGGTGAGATTAAACGCACGCTGAACCAGGCGCTCATTATAAACTATGTCAGGCATTTAGAAGGTGGTTAGAGGAAACGTCAAATACAGACTCGGAATGTGAGTGGGAATATTGTAGTTACAGTGCTTCTCTAAGTTATCGGTAGCGGGTAAATTATTCAAGATATGCTGAACCAATGAACCATCATAGCATAAACTTGTTCAGGTTAATTTGCTAAGTAAGTTAGAAGTGGCAGCGTACTTTTATTTGCCCGTACAAGTTTACAGACTTTACACACAAGGATGTACGGTTTACAAAAATGTTGAACAACACGCTAACAGATATTATGACACCTGAAGCGGCTATCTCTACTATAAAAACCAACAATTAACCAATTTTAACAGTTTTTAGCTAAACTCATCTGTTGTGCACAGTGCCTAGCACCTAGTGAGGTGTTATAAGTATTGGGGCTTGACCAAGTCAGAAACTTTCCGGAATTCAGGAAACATTCCGATGCGCATCGGAATTCCATGTCAATCAATCGGAAACTTCAGGCTTCAACAACGAGAAAGTTCAGGTTTCATTTTGTCTCAGTACATATTTAGCGAGTTAGAGGTCATCAGTTGATATTAATTGGTATTGTTGAGGTAAAGTCGGTGTTGAATATTACACTCTTTGTGCTACTCTTAATTAACCGCCAACCGAATAATAATATTGTTATAAATATAATAATATTGTAATATATATAATAATGTTGTAATATATATGTTAACCAAGTGTCTAAGTGGGTGACTAAAGTAGCAAACTAGATAAATAAACTGGGCAGTGTACAATGTTATACGCCTATAATACAGACAACTCTATGTACGCTGGACAAGGAATAAGAAATGAGGAATAAGGAATGATGCTGTTAGCTCTATTTCGGGATATAATACTATAATTGTGGTATCTTGCTATGATCAGTATTCAGTATCTTGCTGTTGAAGTCAGTGCTATGACAAATTTCAGAAGGAGGTGTTTTGGACTAAATTCTTTTGAGCTAAATTCCATTGGACTGTATTCTCTTTGAAAAAAAATGCTATCAGGATGGAACAACCCCGACCGAGTCAAGTTGACTGATGTAATTGTTCGATATTTCGTAATAACATTTATTTAAAAGTAGACATGTGAGAAATGTAGAGTTGTGAGAAATTGTTTCTTATCTTAGGGCCTGAAAACGTTCAGTGGTGGTAGATTAGACAACCGACGCACAGTTTCAAAGAAAACGAAAGAATCCAAAATACTTGATACAAACACCGGAACTGAAAAAGAATCTGAATATTTCTGATTATCTATCAACGAAGACTCCTGACAGAAAAATGAATCCAGGCACTGAAAAGCACTGATATGTCGATGACAGTTTCTAAGGTCTGTTTTCTTCTCTAGACATCATGTTTGTTTCATCACTCTACGAAGAAAGGTTCGGGTGGTTTTGTCGCATGAGAAGAAACGCGAAATATATTCTTAAAATTTTAAACAAATTTCTCACATCTACGTGTGAAAAAGTAAACTGTAAAATCTCCCCGCCAAACGAGACAGGAAAGCTGCTACTCACAAAAAATGTAGATTTATTAATTATAAAATAAAAAGTCCTGTTCGTACAATACCTATAGAACTATGTGTTAAAAGCTTGGGATGATAATTAGGCTGTTATACTGCAAGTGCAATAGTGCTATGATGCGGAGGTGGATTGTAAATCGAGAAAACATGTCACAGGACGACAGGTCACACATTTCATCGCGGGATTAGTGACGGGAAAATAACCCGTCCATCATCTGACACCTTCACTGTCAAAGACGGGCGGTTTTCCTAAAGCCCGGTCAAAGGGGCCTAAAATAACTAAATAATCTTTAATATTTATTTATTTCAGGGTAGGAAGTCCCCCACTAAGTTTTCACAAGTGGAAGTAGATGATATCACACCTGAAGACCCAGAAAATTCACCTTGCACCATTCGCATAACTATAGGTAAGGAGAGTATTTATTTTAAACGTTTCTCTGTTTTAAACTTTAGCACTGACATAATGTGATAATGTAAGCAACATTCTTGCCACAAGTAAAGGAGTCTTTTGTTATAAGTTTAGAAATGTACTCCCTTGAGGCTCGATATGTTGACGTACAGTAATTGTAATACAAAAATAATATTGACATGATGATCGGACAATCCAATTTGTTAATTGACCGCGGACGATTACTTAATCATTAATCACTATTACAACAATTAAACTCCCAGAAACAAAGAAGGACGAGGACATGGACCCAGAAGAAACGAGCTATATCGAGGAAATCGTCAACCCTAGTAGAAATCTATTCCAAGAGCTGGACGAACCCACAATCATGGAAGGTATGTTTGCATGGTTTTATACTGGTCTGGTTTTTGTAATCGATGATTAGGTATTCTAGATATTTTATTTCATCAGGCGGTTAGTTAATTGATTCGTACACGATCTGTCATTACATAGAGCTTTTTTTTCTCAACTTGTACATTCACACCACAGACTAATCGAGAAATAAGAAATGTTCGGTTATAACTATAAACTTATAAACTAAAACTGGTCAAAAGAATCAAGATTAAATATATCAACCATGCGAACTATTTTGTGACTGTGAAATGAATCAGAATCAGAAGATCACCTCCCCACATTTTATGTGGAAGAACCCGTGGAAGAACACCCCGACGAAGAAGGTTCGCCTAAATGTATGTCTGTGAGCGGTAAACTGCATTTAAGTGGTACAAATGTGCCGAGGTGGACAAAATTCAAATACCTCTATTATCGTCTCGTGTGTTACGTTCGCTGGCGTGTATTGCTGATTTTAAATGAAAATTGTCAGGGTTCTCAAGCCTCTGCGATCTAAGAGAAGTTAAATAAGAGAAATAAAAATAAATTCTAAACAAACCAGATACGTCGGACACTGACGCTGAGCATGGTGAACCTGCCACTGACGATGACGAAGGTTCGGATAAACTACGTGTTAAGTGTCGCTGTGTTTCGCATGATTTTTGTTCTTCGAAAGCAAACTCGGCTACAGATTTTCGTTATTAAACTCGTTTGTTTAATAAAAACTTCCTCTTTAAATTCTGTAGTGTGGTCAGCAATCCGCTTTCTTCCGACTGGATATATTTGTCAGATGATGGTTTGGGAATAGGAGTTCACAGTCTACGCGACGAAGGAAGTCGGCAGTCTCCAGTCTCGTTTGCTGGTTTTTGACCTTACTAATTATCGTTTGTCAATTGTTGCTGGTCTACTGCATAGCAAAATGTGCCATCTTTTCTCCATGACTCGTGGGGTTTATCTTTAAATGACCTTTTAGCACCTTTATAATCAGGCGAATCCATCCTTGCATTAACCATTTCTTAAAATTGTGTTGCACGAAACCGTTGTAGTTTCTTCGGTGTGTCTTCGATAAGTCTCTTTTTCGAGCAGCTAATTTTACTAACAAAACAGAGGTAGAAAACGAAGATCTTGAAACAGTAGAGGATGCAGAAAACCCAGAAAAAGAAGATAGGACAGAGGATATAAAAGATGGAGAGCATTCTGCATCTGCAGGAGAAATAGAAGAGGGGGAGGAACCAAACGATGGAGATGATGAAGGGGAAGCAGAAGAGGTTGAAGAAGAAAAAGGGGAGCTAGAGGAAGAGGATGGAGGGGGGAAGGAAGGTCTGTACTGGGTGTTACTGTCTGATGTCATTACAACATTGTCTCTAGAGTCGTGGGTCTGCTCACTACAATTAACCTGGAGTGTAATTACAGTCTAAATTAAACTCCGAGTGTTATCCAAATTATCTTCTTAATCTTATGTCTCTTATTTGGTTGCGAAATAGTCCGCCTAGATGCGCTTAGCTGTTTGTTCTGAAATTTTGGTATTTAAGGTAGGAATTAAACGCGTACTATTTATCCGGGTTTTGGCTGGTTTAGTCCGCGTTCGGCAAAGTTTTCAACGAACTTCTGCCAAATCTTTCCGGGACTAAAATAATACAAATATTGCATAAATGTCCCCTTTTGTCAATTAACATGAAACTATCGAGATAATGATCATTTCCTGTACAGTGTCTACACGTCAAATCATTTGCAGTTTCACATTAAATAGGGTTACATAATGCTCATACGATGGCTGCTAAAAGTTCGGTTCGGCTCATTTCCAGTTTTGGACGTTCAGCGTTCTCTAACCTAAATTATTCCGCAGAGCCAGAACCCTCAGAAGAGGACGATAAACCTGACGAGCCCGAGGAACCAGATGAAGGTGAGAGCTATATTTACTATTTGTTTCATATTTGAGAGGAGTTAAACTTAAACGCTTAAAATGCTGTTAAACATCCTACACAGTGCACCACTAGCTCGAACGAACCTTCGAAAGTCGGAACTAAAATTATCGCACAAATTTGAAAACCATTTTTTTCGTTTCCGAACATAGTATGTTAATGTTATCATTGTGCCTATTTGTTGGGTCCTAGCTTAATTTACTTTACATTAAATGGATGTACGTGTTAATGTCAGTGTTTTGTAATTATGACGGATAGAGTTGAACTGAAATGGGTTATTTACAGAATTTCGGTCTTACTGTAACATTATAACGGGACAGAGAAAATGTACCACGAATCATCAGATTAGCTATCGAGTGTAAATTACAGATTGGGGTTAGGACAGATTTTAGTGTATGTGACTGAGTTATTTTTAGAGTTAAAGTTTTGCAGCTGCAGTTTCGTCATATATGATAGTGATACGTAGGACGTAGTTATCATGCCATGATAATCTTGCAGTTTATTCTGAATCGTAGTTTATTTTCAAACGAATGCATTTTTTAATTTCTGTATTTTAAAATTTTTACACCAGCACTCAGTAGGTCCAGCACCTTCACTTACAAGAATCAATTTTACGAGCACTATTAGCACGGAACTAATTCGTCACTATTCATAGAATCTAAGACTTCAATTTCATATTTATTTACATTGGTATTTCCGATTGCATTCTCAGTCCCTAGAGTGAGCTATGGGGTCCAGGTAGATCAACACTGGGGTGCAAACTCGCGGCCTTTAGATCACGAGCCAGATAATTCCTCCGCTATACACCGCGTAGTGAAAAAGAAAGCATGATCTATATCTTCCTTCCAAACTTTCGTATTGGCGAGTAGTCATTGGTCCTAGAAATGATAATTATAATTATTAGAAAATGAGCCCGGAGCCGGATGAACAGTACAAGCGTTTGGAGGGAGAGGAAGAGGTGGAAAATAAAGAGTCTGAGGAGAAGGAGAGTGCCTCTGAAAGACTAACCGTGGAAGAGATGGTGAATAAGACGATTGGAGCTGATAACTCTAGAGCCAACCTTTTCAAATTTCTTGGACTTTACATCATTTTAATGATGGTAAAGATGACCGCTCCGGCTCTAGCGTATATGCCGATCTTCGCGGGTTTTTTGAACTACAAGGACTGGAAATGTGCGTCAGGAAAATGCATTGAACTGATGACAAACTTCACGGACAAACCCGAATTGTTTTTCAGTCGTGACACGATCTGCGATAATGCTCTGCAACCTAATGTTGATTTCACTTGGACGCTGCAGAGGACGAGTTACGCCATGGAGTGGGGTCTCATATGTTCCAACGAGAGCATGGGATCCAATCTAAAGAGTTTTTTCTTCATCGGGTCTTTCATAGGTCTCGTCTTAGGGATTGCTGCATTTGATAGATTCGGTAGGAAACCAACTACTGTGATAGCACTGGTGATAACATGTCTCTCAACTCTTGGTGGATACTTTGTGAACAGCTACAACGTGATGCTTCCTGTCAGGATAATACAGGGTATGGGCACCTTCACAGTTCTTAACGGAATTGAACTGCTCTCAATTGAGTTTACCCCATCCAAGCTTAGAAACCTCTGTCAGATCTTCGCATCTTGTGGCTGGACTTTTGGAGCTTTTATGATTGTAGGTGTTTCCTATGGTGTGACGGACTGGCATCATATATTCTTGATTCAGGGGTGTTTCGCGAGTATCACAACCATAATTGTCCTCATCTATCCAGAGTCACCAAGATTTCAACTTATAAAAGGAAGGGAGAAGGAAGCGCGAGCCACGTTCAGAAGAATGTCCAAAATCTTCAACACCCAAGAAGTATCTGAAAAAGCCGAGTTGACCTACAAAGATTATGATCAGAGCTATTTGGCCCAAATCAAAGACTTCTGGAAGTATCCTCTGATGCTGAAGAACACTTTGTTATTGGTTGTTTGCTATTTCGTGATAGCCTGCATATCCTACGGTCTGCTCTTCAGCTGGGGTAAACTAGGGGCAGATATCTACTCCACCATATTTTTTGGTTCTCTCGGTGGTTTCATCGCTAAGGGATCTGGAATGATATATTTTACGATTCACTACTTTGGCCGAAAAAAAGCTGTGATGATATCCTTTGCTGGGATAGCTGTAGTCTTCTTCATTTCTATTCCCAGCTTCGGGGTCCGTCTCTCGGATACCTGGAATCTGGACCATGTTGTCTGTCTTTGTGCTGCTCCCTTCCTTTCAGGGGTTTGGGGTTCCATATCACTTCTTACCAAAGAGTTGTCTCCAACATCTCACAGGGGAACTATATTGTGTATGGGTTCTGCTGGTGCTAGGGTCGGTGCGATTGTTGGACCCTACATGTCCCTTCTCTACAACACTATGGATCCCCGAATTGTTCTGGCGATATTCGGAGGCATCGCCGCCCTGGCTTCATTCATTACCTACTTCAACAGTGATAGCACTGGTAAGCCGATACCGTCGACTCCTGAAGAGCTCATGGACCTGTATTCGGACGCTAAGCATAAGAAACTGGTGGATCAAGAGGACGCGTAATGAAATAATCGGGAAACTTTACTGATTAGTAAACTGATCATGCAATGAAAAATCAAGATAGATTTCAGTGTTGTTAGTTCAAAAGAGACAGAAATATTTTGCAGCAAATCGGGTCATTAAACAGTTAAACGATCTCGATCATTATTTTTCCGGGCTGAAAATTAATTTCAGAGATTATTGAGCCTTATCGATACGATTCAACATTCCTGACCCTGCAAATTAGCCGATCATATATTCAAAGTTAATAATTTAAAAAATAAATTACAGCGTTTATTTTCCGGTTGATGGTACTAATTATTTGGGAAAGTCTTTGATTAGAGCACCGCTACAATGATGTTAAACTAGTCTTGCAGTCAAATTCATGACCAGTAAACTACTAAAATTGGCGACCGCGTGGCCGTATTGAATGTATATTAGAACGTGTTTTACACCTCAACTGTTGTCATAATTTGGATCACTGAGTGATACTGTTGATAAGATAAAGCCTACATTGAATTTGAAATAAAGTTTAGAACTATTATAGTCAATGAAATCTATGTACAAATCTATATACAAAACAATGAGTAAAAATACACAGAACAGAGCAAGATTTAGAAGTCTTCAAAGAAGCTCTCTCCGTGAACGATCTCCAGGTGTTTAGGTTGTCTGCTCTTCTTGGAGAAAATCTTCCTCAACTTCTGCTTCAAGATTGTCTTCAGGGATCTTCTGAAGACCGCTGCCTTCGTTCTCTTGGGCTTATCCAGGAACTGGGCTCCGACGTTAACTTCCACCACAAACTGCGAGACGTTCATCATACGGATACCCATATGAGGGTAGTAGACAGCAATCTGGGAGGAGGATTGGGTCGCATCTGGAGAGGTCACTCCAGATGATGGGTGGTGGACAAAGGTTCTCTCCATAAAGGTCTCCTCAGTGGTGATCTTGGTGTAGTAGGAGTCTGATGTAGAGGTCCTCATTTGTTCGTAGTGAGCTTCACGGTAGCTGGTCTGAGGACTCAGAGGGGCGAAACTGAGGTAGTCACAGCTGGTTTCAGTGGGGCAGAGGAAAGATTGGTCCATCTGTGTTCCAGTATCTGACGTTTGAGCAAAGTGAAGGCAGCATGGGATAGCAGCCCGGGAACAAAGAGGTTTGGAGTTGTCAACTGTGGTAATGCTGTGGTTACACATCTTGTCGGAGGAATTTCGGGGTTCGTAAAACGCAGTTGAAAGATAAGTTGAAAGTTTGTGAGGTTTTCTGGTGAAAGCTGAGTAGATGTATCGTTTGATGGGAGATAGAACTGATGGCATCCAACCTCCAGCTCTGTGATATATACTCTCATCCTCGTTAGACCACATCCGTTTCGTGTTAGGTATCACTTCCGTATTAGTGAGCATCGTAGGTGTACGTCAGATGATGTTTCACCAGTAGTTAGACTGAGAAGGAATCTGTGGTTCCGTATTCGTAACAAAGGACATTTGATTCCAGTGATACGTCATCAGCTTTTATACCTCTAGTCCCCCAGTTATATGAGAGCATGAGGGGTATTCTCGTCTAACTAGGTCACGTGTTGTTGGGAGACAGTCACGTGCAGGATGGAATGTTGTGCTCGTGATCTTGTTTCTGAAGATCACGTGATAGACTGAGGACATGTCTGAGCCTGTAGGAGTGTCAAGACATGTGATCACGTGATCTGGCTAAACACCGGTTCTGAAATTTCAGATATGTCAAATCAAAATGGTTTGGTCTAAGGATCTTAAATTTAAGTAGACTAAAGAAATCGAGACTGTTATATGTCGCATCATAAGAGGTAGTGACAGTGAAATTGAATATGTTTGATAATCACTAACTACACAGTTACATAGGTCTAGTCTAGATCTTAAAAATGTGCCCACTAATTTAATATTAAATCAAATTTGACTCTTCCCTTAGTTTACTATTTTCATCTAAAGGTAACGAAGAAGAAAATACGCCTGGAGATGAGGAGAAAAAGGATGAGGAAGAAGAAGTTGAAGAAGAAAAAGAAGATGAAGTTGAAGATAATCCACCAGCTGGTAATTGGAATTTGTTTGAAAGCTTGATAAGTGATTTTTGTAAGTGAATTGACCCATTTTGAAATGTTTTATCCGGATGTATTTAAGTTTCATCATCCGAACAATCTGTTTTCAGGAGAAATGGATGAGACAGTGACAGACTTGGATCTGGAAGTGAAGGGTGAAGCTCTCTTACCTCCTCCCCCTCCTCCTATTGAAGTTCCGTCTGAGGTAACTGCCTTAACACGAACAGTAGAAAGTGGGATGGGGTTGAAAAACAGGAATAAAACGATTCACAGAGTTGAATTCCAGAAATGATAAGTTTAAGTTTCCCTGCCAACTTAAGTAAGGCAGATTGCTTATCAGATCCGATTTCTTTCTCACGCAATAATTACTGCTCCTGGCCTCACATCTGAGTGGTAATTGACTGTGTGACCATATAGCTAGGTCAAATCACTCCCGAATCTCTTCTAATGAGGATCGAGTGTCAGTCACTATCTGAAGTTATGGGCCTCCCAGCAACCTCCCAGTCACGTGATCTACGTTTCACTGGTGGGTGGCGTGAGAATTGTAGTCTGGAATAGCAAATTTTAATCACTCAGTCGATAATAAATAACATTAATTTAACATTATTTTCCAAATTACCGAGGACGTTTTCAGGTGAGCAGAATGACTCTTGAGATAGAAGCCAATGCTGCGGATCTTGAGACACAAGTTCTGATATCATCTGACAGACAATCTCTGTTCATTCCGTGCATGGTAAGTCGTCAACATAATTACGTCGAAATCTCAAAATAGGCCTTTTCCCCAAAATTAAATGTAATTTAATTTTCCGTACAAAATAATTTTGATTTCATGAAACTTAAAACTGCTCGTCTAACAGCTCTAGCATCTATTTATTCCTGAATATGAAGGTTAATACGAATAATTAATATAATCCGACCACCAGGAGTCACTAGCAAACAGAAGAGAGGAGCTTATAAAACACGCCGCACGAAGGATCGTCGCAGAGTCAATGTCCGATAACACCGGTAATGATGACGAACACACCAGGGACAAACTCGTCGCTTTCTTGGAGGTAGGTTCTATAATTCCAAAGATTTATAGTTTGTTTGATTAGTATTTATAATTGATAATATTCAGAAAATACATGTTACATTTCCCTAACAACCCTTGCTATTTAACCATGTATGCGGGCTCTTTTGATCATGATCCTTGTAAGTTTTTATCCTGACTGTTTAGTCGGTCGATTATCTTCGTTTAGTTACTGCTCTTCCGATCCGGCTCGTGAACATTTAGATGTCATGAAACGTCAATGAGATAAATTGCTAATGACCCATTTGCTTTAGACTCTTCTACATGTTCTAGATCGATGTCATCCTCGCAATTGTTTACTGTTTTCTCACGAATATATTCGTCACGCGTTTAAAACGTGCTTTATAATTTCAAACTTTCAGCTACGTAATAATAACTCAACTTCCTGCTCTTATCTGGTAAACCTCGCTAAATTTAAACACCTGAATAATTGCCGGACTATGTCCTCCGCAAACATTCCTGTTAAATACCTAAATACTGGTCGTCCTAGCAACAGACTCTCAGATCATGTAGCTTAGTCCATTTAGGCAGACCAGCCGAGTGTTCTGACAAATAATCAGAGCTCGATTTTGGAAATCCTGCAGCGGAATGGTGGAGATTGGGTCAAACATTCCGAGAGTAATGACCTGGATTAAACTTGAGTGTCCTGGAATTATTGGCTGTAACTCTGACCAGCAACAAAAGATTCACTCTCGTCTTCTAAATTAAAAGATGATTAAGTCATTAAATTATTGCGTACTCTAACAGGAAATGCGGCCAATAAGAAATATCTCTAGCCCACGTGTTATGAGCTTGTATATATGATCTCTGGTAGAGACAGACTCGTTAACGTAGACTATACCTCTTCCTGTATCCTTGTATTTTCATCCATCCACTTACCTTTTCTTTTGGGTTTCGTTTTTATCCTTCTCCTTTGACTTTGACGATTATGGCCACCGAAGAGTATGCTGATATGATGTATGTGCCAGATGACACACAACTAGAAAATGATGTTGAAAATGAAAATCAACAGAAGTGTCCTCATGGTTGTGATAATACGGTAAGATATCACCTTGCTCGGTGTGATGTTTTGAGCTGTCTGGCATGATTTGGTAAATTTAAACCGTGCACAATCTTGTGTTAAATTTTCTATCCTTGAAAGAGAAGCTATGGCGTGTAAAATAACGTGTGAATAACCTGAATTTTGTACCAAGAGACAACACCCGTTACGCTGTACCACAAGCACAATATTGTGAATTGACGTTGACTCATCGCTGAAAAAAATCCACCTATTGTCTATCATCTTTATTTTGAATGCTGCAATTCAACAACCTCAAATCTAAGAGGCCAATTTTACTATGTATGGAAAGTTTTTGGCAAGATATCAATCAACATTTTTCCACTTAGATACTGTGAATATACCAAAGCACCTTTCACCTATATATACTAGCAGGAACCCGTATAATCCTAAAATGTTGTCAAGACTGAAGAGTCAAGAGACTAAAATAATTATTACCTAATTTTAATTCGCGTTTTTACACCGTCTTGGGGTCCAAATTTTGGGCACTAAAATTATTATTCCTTGGCCAATTTTTTATTTTTTCATGCTGATTTGAAGGTCATTAAGGCATTTGAGCCAGTCATAAAGTTTCAGTTTTATATCTTTTACGGTTTTTGCGGAACGTCGTGTTAAAGTTGAAGCCATGGTGTCAGTAAAATGGTACAGATATATACACATATATCGTCTCGCTTTACATATAGTAAGATTATTATTATTGCACGATCCTCTACGTAGCGATCAAAATAGGATGTAAAATTATTAAATCCAAAGTTTATTCTTCCGTCCTTGAAGTGAAGGTTCGAAATATATTATGTATCTAGTATCTATATTAGTGAAATTTGAATTGCCCAATGTAGTTTGTAGGTGATTGCACTTTTAGAATTTTCCACCAGTTCTAGATCTACCATGGTTTTTATGTTTGATAGAAACGTCTAAAGTAATATATGACAAATTATCACCAGTTTATAAAAGGTGGGTTCCCTTTGAACACATCCTTATACCAGCTCATACTCATGAGTTCTTGTAGTTCTACTTGCCAGCAGTAAGTAAAACTACAAGATCCCAAGCCAACCTATATGCCACTGGACCAGAAATGAATTATACCTACTCTAGCTATCTAGTTCTATACCACAAGTTCCCTCCAAATTACCAGTTCCATCCAATCTCATACTCCATCCCAACTTGTTGTAAACGAATCTATAATTAGCTGTAATGAGTTCACAATAATGAGCTAATGATCTCATTATAACGTTGTATTCCCACAATTCCCCGCTAAGAGACAGTCTACATCTCCTAGCTCTGTTTTAACTTGCTCCCGGAAAAGGTGGATGATCCAGGTACGGTATCCAGGGCAACCTGGTCCATTACCCCGGTAACTGTCTCCAATTAAGGCTCTGGCTAGCTTGGAACGGTCCAATACGGACCTGTCCTGTAGTCTGTTAACCACAGGGTCACGAGGTTCTGCTTATGTTCTCTGATTAGTTCGAGCTGGAGTGGTGCTTCTTCCTCATTGGTACATCGTGTGAGTCTGCTTGGGAGAGGATGAGTCTGCCAATAGAGGTTGAGTCTGCCGAGTTAGTGGTATTTAATTACAGTGATGTACTACACCGAATAGCTGCTGGTTTGCTTGCCACGCGATATTTTCTACTTCTTTAAACGCAAACCTGTTTGGAGCTCTTCTCGTTATCTTGTTCACCGTCGGTTTTCTAGCTTGTCTGCTCAAACTCTTCCTTACCACACAACTTCCGAAAACACAATCCTCTAAAGGCAATATCCCACATAAAGTCAACCTTTCCGACTCCCCAATAGAGTGCCTGAACATGGCTCAATCGGTCGGTTCAACCCGGTCAGCGTTGATGAAGGTTATGATAAGTCGGTACATGAGAAGACACGGCATCAAGGACGAACCCGATCAGTCTACTCCCGGATACTACACAGCAGATGTGTGCAATCATCCCTGTGGTGATCAGGCATTTAGGGTAAGCTTAATAATCGGTGAGAAGGGAAGGAAACTTACCAGCGAATATGTGTATTTTCGTGACAAGCTTTTTGACCTTTTTATTTATAATCTGTTCATCATTTGCATCATTAATAGACATATTTTAATTTAATTTATAAAAAACAAGCTTTTCTTCTCTTAATTTACATTGACTCCACTTATTGAACTGCTGATTAGCAAATGGTTGTTTATCACAACCGATCTCCATGGTTTTTCCATAAGATGCTCCCCTTTTTCCAACTTTCTCGGAATTTATTCTCACATACTATTAAGTTTTTACTCTGGCAATCTCCCAAGTATGACAAGTTGTGTAACTGCGACTCCACGTAACACTCAGTGCCACCAGGGCACAACGTCACGACTCTGCTTTAAACCGTCGCATCAAGTTTCCCTCATGCAGTTGTTGCTATGGGCTACCAAAAATTCTGGACATTTTCCACCGTTCAGCTCATGCAATTGGTACAATTAACGGTCTCCTCTAATGGCATTACTTGCCAGGTCGTTGCAGAGGTCGTTCCCCGCAACTCAGATTGTAATTATTTCAAAGTGACCCAAACCCCGCACAATACGATTCCTAATCCAATTAGACGGGTCCTGGGAAAGATCCTTGAGAATTGATGGGCTGAGACTAATCCTGTCAAAAATTAAGTCAAACTCAAGCAAGAAAAGGTCACTTACTTCCTCCATGAACTTCATGTATTAAAATGTAGCACGACTAGAAAATACCTCTGGCTATCAGGAATTTAAACAAGCAGACGAGGAGATAACCCCACAACCAGCATCACGTTCCCAAGGAGATAGGAGCACAGGTGGCACTCCCCTCTCCAGGGACCTTGGTCCAGGTGGCGTTGTTGTAACAACCCTCCCCTCACTATCCCCTCACTCTCTTCTCTGATTCGAGTGTGTGCCATGTCTCTTGTTGAAGTTGTGCCTCCACCGGCCCCTCTGGGCGAGGTTGTCCCCCTTCCAGCCCCATGCTATGACTCTTCTATGCCAGATTGTTCACCAGAACAGCCACCAGAACAGGCTTCTTTACTGGCTGGTTTCTACGCACTGTCTCTTCAGGTATTTTAGTCTAAAGTGCTGTGATTACCTCCTGATTTCAGGTTGTCGGGTCGTAAAGGTTTTCTCATAATCCACCGTTGAGTTGCCATAATAGCAGAATCTGCTCTGACAAAAGAGACCCAAAGTCAGATACATTTACGTTCGTCTCCAATCAATGTTTAGGCCTTTGTATTTTGATCATTTTATGACACCGACCGTTGAATATTAATAAATTCTTGCTACACTTACGATATCTATATTCTATGATTTATAAGTATATTATAATTAATCCTCTTAGATTTCCAAGTCCTAACTGCCAGAATGAGTTAACAACCGCTGACAAGTCCAGTATTCCTAATTAATATTGTAAATACCTCTCAACTTCAGGGCGCGTACGGAACTACACTGATCCGCCTGAGTAACGACCAGGGTACTCTCAAGTTCCTGGTACCCCAGTTATCAGAAACAGCCATGCAGACAGAGGAGGATAAGGAGGAGGAAGTAGCAGCAGAGGAGGAAGCGGCCGAAGAGGAGGCAGCAGAAGAAGGTAAGTGATGGGCCAAGTGCTTTAGGAGGCCTTTTTGAGAAAAATATCAGTTGTCCTCCAAAATGTTTTTAATAATGAGTTTTATAATGCTCTAACTTTCTGATAAAGCGTCGTTGGATTGTTGAAACTTCCCACACAACCCCGCAATTTAGGGCCACTGTGTGGCTGCGACGGTCCGGGGCCCTCTAAACAGGTAGACAATCTATCCCCGGCCCGGCCCTCATCGCCACCACGCGCTAACGTCTATAAGTTAGCTTCTGGTCTTATGAGTTGGAAACGAAAAGCCCTGGCCTCCAAGTCTAAACATGGTCTGTTTGTGGTCGTATTTTCCAGCTCCAAGGCACCCGTTCGCTGAAGGCTTGATATTAGCTTCAAGTCTTGTCCTTCCGAAATCTCAGTTTCATGTTGGTTTTCACAACCAAACAAGGAGGATCCGCCAACATTTTCATTTAAATAATCCATGTATCAGTGTTCGTACTATTATTTGTTGACCATTTAAACTGAGAGAAAAATCTTTCGTCCTCAAACCTGTTATTGTGTTTATAAAAGATGTTTTGCACCTTTACTTTTGTTGGATTCAATTTCAAGTACACTGAAAACTACCGAAGGATTTGTCATTGAATGAACATAAAATTATAAATGTTCAGCACTTAAAATCCCATTTAATTGGCTTCTTGCGAAGTTTAGCCAACTTCATTCAAAAGCTATTATGTAAACACGAATTCGCAAAAGATATTGTGCTTTTAGAATCTTAACAGTATTGAGATCTTATTCTTTAATTGCCCCCATTTCAGAAAAAGAAGACGACGCCGGGTAATTACATTTTATCAAATTTTAGATATTTCTTCATGGTGTAATTTTTAATCGATCGTAGTAAAGCATTTGGATTATGTGTGAAATCTAACCGCACTGTTATTCCTTTTTAGCCAGTTACATGTGTTGCACTCGCATTCCATACTATATTAATTAATGTTCAATGTCTTTATGTTTAGTGACAAAGATAGCATTACTGAGGAGCTTGCAAAACCTTACCGTTTGCCTTGGAAGTAGGTTCATGCTACCAAACCTATACAGCAGCACGGCTCTAAAAAATGTTTCCAAGCACTAGCAAGTAACAATTACACTTCGCTGCCCACGTTGCCAGCCAAATTCGGCTGGCAGGAGCCGCGCGGCTCGGCTTAAAGGTCGAAATCGCCCGAATTGAAGTTCCAATATGCATGACGCTAAATGCTAATGCTATCTCCCGACGTTGGGGATTACACTAAATACCTGCCCTTTTTGCTAATTTTGCTAATCTGCTGTGTAGAGCTGATAACAAAGATTTGGACAGCATCTCGGGTGAGCTAAGCACACCGCTGTGTGAAGACTCTGACCTGCCACCCCCGGCTGAGTGTGATGAGGAGAGGGACAGGTTGGTGCGCTCTAAATGTCTCTAGTACTATGTTGAGACACGGTCTCTAACCCTCTAGAGACGCGGTCTTACTATAAAAGGATTCGATTCCTACGTCTCTAAGTGTGCAAAGCAGAAACTCAAGACCTCACATCTTATTTTAGATTTTCTTAAATAGCAAAATTACTTCTAAATAAAATGATGCTTTGATTGAATGAAAAAGGTTGCTATCGCTATGATGCTAAGCTGTGCTATAATTTGCAGAATGCCAGATCCACCCCAAATCGAAGAACCTGGTGATGTTCAAAAACCGTGAGTAGAGTGTTGTGTTACTATTCTTCCTAAGAAACAGAAATATCTGTTTGTCAATCCTGTTGAATGATATTTTGGTAATAAAATGGAAAATCCACCAAAGTATCCCATACAACAGAGAGTTGACTAGTAAACATTCCTTTTAGAGTTGACAGAAAGGAAAGCATTGCGTATGATCCCGAGGACAGTCCCAACGCAATTTCTAACTTCCACACTCCTAAAGCTGTCAACAAACACGGAAATTATACTCAGGTACTGGTTACAGATTATATCTCAAAAAGTTTAAAAGTATGACCGTAGAAAATTGCAATTTATTTATAAAAGAGTTTTTAGACTCTTGACTCAACTTTGTGTTAAGAAAAAAAGAAACCCCGCCCAATGCCCATACATGATAAATCTGTTTTCAATTAACTAGTAGTAGTTCAAGTTAAGAAAAGGAGAGAAAATATAAAGCAACGTACTATTTGACAGTAAAACTTAAAAGCTAAACCAATTTAAACCAGTTTTAATAGCTAGGCCAACCCGGAGTAAATCTAAAATAATATAACTATTTTCAGGTACCTGTAATGTTGGGTGAAGATTTACAGGCCCACCCCACCACTCGACGACCCATGTCGCCAGTGGTGTCCCAGCCTATCCGTTGGGAGTGTAACAGGTCACAGAAGGGATCTTCACCGCCAAGGATCACCAAGGGAGGCTCAAACAAGAACACAAGTCCGGTTAGGCACAGAACACCAAGTCCTCAGAGATTCAAGAGTCCGGACAGGGGCCCTAGGGTAAGGCTCATTTTCACAGCTTATATTTGTCCTTTTTTCTATTAGATTCCATGGTTTTTATATTGGCTGTATTATCGATTTCAACTTTAAGCGAGACTTATTCAATGAATAAGTCTCACTTAAAATTCAATGAACTGCCGAACTAATATCCTCTTTATTCAGGTACGAGTATCAAACGGTCTACCAGCTGGAACTGCTTACAAACATTCCGGAGAGATAGACCCCAAGATAAAAGAGAGCCCTCCCAAGGATATCGTCAATAAGATAAGGAACACGATCGAATCTCCTTCCAGAGTAAAATCTCCTCCTAAACCAAGATGTAAGTTTAACATTGTGTTCAAGGTTTAAATATAAAAACCCTATTTATGTCAATTTTTCACCGTCTAATTCAAATGTCAAATCTCTAATTTCTGTTTTATTTCCGAATAGTTAAATAGTTGAAAATTCTCAGGAGTAACCTCGATTCATTTTCAGCCCCATCTCCAGTAAAACCATTTGACACTGACGCCTTTAGACTAGCCAGAAAGCTGGCCCAGGAGGTTGCTGATTGTCCACCCGACTGCATTGTAAGTATCACGTGCCCTGTTTTTGCTGCTGTATTGCGTGGGTTGAATTATTTTGATACAAAACGTGTAACGTGATCTTCATGAAAAATCGAAAAAGGCTACCAGCAGCTTTTTTTAGTGCTCTAGAAATAGAAATGAGAGAGAATCTTCTAGGTCTTGAGTATTTACGACCTACAAAGGTGCCCCAAGTTCCTCCTTCCCCCGGAGTTGAACCGATGTAGACTCGAAGACTACGTTACAGATTCTCAGTTCTTGAGAAACTTTAGGATGACTCGAGGAGAATACGCGGAGTTGCCATTCTGGCGGCAGTGTCTCATCAAAAAGCGCATGGACATGTTTTAGATTAGGGTAGGCTTGATGGGCCGCTTTTCTCGGAGTCACGTGTTCAACGTAGCTAGTTATTTCGAGTCTTTTGTTCGAGTCTTTTGTTTGAGTTTAATGTCTGGTTTATCGTCAAGGAGTCTCCTGTTTTACACGTACAGTAAAATTGTTTCGCAAATCTCGATATCGACTATTGTAAAGCACTGTGGCGAAGTCTCCTTTGGCTTCGTCTCATTGATCTGGTCAGTCAGTCTTGCTTATAATGAATGCTAAATTGGCGTGTTCAGCTCGTGGATGTTGCTACCATCAATATTGTTAAATAGTTGTCTCCTGTCTTCAACAGTTGTCTCCTGTCTTCATATCCTCGTATCACCAACTATCTGGAGGTCAATGGATTCCTGGGCACCGTGTAGTCTAAATATTTGTGCTGCAGATCGTTCATCAACGGAATGTTCCTCTTCGTTTGCTATCCGAAAATTCGAGTAATGAAGCACTCGTAGTAATACTAATATAATTTATGCATTTAAATGTTCAGTTTTAATTGTAGATTTAACGGTGAAACAAATTTTTGATATGAAACTATCTGATAAGCAAACAGCACTGATTTTTAACAAAACCTCGATCTTTATTCTAACTCTCCCTCTCTCCACCAGATGGTCCGAGTAAAGGATCTACAGAGGTGTCCCAAAGCGCTTCTCCCCCCAGAGCTTGACAAGGCCAGACTGGAGGAATACATCTCGGACACGGAATTCCGCAGAACTCTGGGCCTATCCCGGGGAGAGTACGATACTTTCAGCGAGTGGAAACAGCAGGAGATCAAAAAGGAGCTCGGACTCTTCTAAGATTTGTGCATTTTTCTGGAAATTTCAAGAATTGTCTAGGATTATCTTGAACATAATATTATGATCTCTAAACTTGTGGTTTGGTTATTGATATTGTTGATGGTTATTAATAACGATAATGATTATAGGACCGTTTTGATCGTACATTTATTGAGCAGTTTTTGAGGAAAGATATCAGCACACTGGTTATTATTTATGGCAAAGGAGCCCTTACGTTTTGATCAAATTCCCCGTGATTAATTACAGATCTATAATCTGCTATGGATTCCAATTGATTGATTTTCTTACGCCCAACTTCATATTAATTATCTTATGACTTAATTGTCTGATCATAATTTTCTTTTACAAATGACTCATTTGTTGATACAGAATCTTATTCCCCTACCCTCTTTCAATCTTATTCACTTACTTCTGATATTTTCAGATCGAACTGCTTCCAAACCAACAAAGCAGTATTATCAATCATGAAAGTATTATATTTTATGTCATGTATTATAGTGTATATAATTAAAAATGTTACAAATTATTTAAGAAACTTGTTTAGATTTTACCTTAAGATTTGACCACTAAAAATAACAGTATGATAATAATACCTCAAAAATTAATCAACCTCTAGATCTGCAACTTGGGATGTATCACTGAAAATCAAGAAAATTTATCCATGTCGATCGATTAAGTCAAATCTTCAGCAGGTAATTATATTGAAATTGAAAACCAGGGCTATGATATTCTCATTATATCACGACTGTAAGTGTATCATCACTGATAAGACAGAAAGGACTGCACGATAAGACTTATTGATAAAACACAGCGAATTTACACGCAATTTTAAATGGTAGTAGGCAATGATACGTGCTGCCTTTTGTTGCTAATAGACAGTTAAATAGGTCCAAGAAGTTTATTTGCGTTTGCTCTTAAAACATATTCACAAAACTGGTCTACCGAACAAATTATAGCATACAGTAGACAGCCATTATTTTAGCAAAATGATATTTATTGCTCATAATTAGGGCTGCTCACTGTGTCCAATCCAAAGTTTAAATAAAACATTTTAGTATTCAATGGTACTCTGGTATTTTTACGTCTGATTGCATTTTAACTTATAGCCGACCAGTCAAACAATTAAATACAAGCAATTTCAGTTCTTTCAAGGCGATCAATTTACAATCGAATTATGTAAATGCAATATCCGGATCGGAACATTAATTATTAGTCTCATCGTGTTATGATAATTGCTCGAATTTTGTTTCAATAACTCGTTGTTGCGACAAATGATAAACTGCTCTTTTAGCATAACAAAAAAGATCTGCATATCATTTGTCGCAACCGCTACAAGAAATTTAGAACAATTATCATAACTATAACACAAATATAATATTATATTGTAAATGACAAATGTTATAATTGATGGTACTGGTAGTCATGTACACACGAAAACGACGTATCTCGAGTGTATAATCTTAAACATTTTACACTCGTTTATCATATTCATGGGTCGACTGCGGCTGAATACCATCATAGCTGACTTTTTATTTCATATCAAACGTCAGGTAACGCTCATTATAAGTGTAATTAGTTTTATTTATAGTACGATAGTCAATTTCAATCCATTGCGATTTGTTGCATCTTCATTTGTGTGTAGAACTAGATCTTTATCTTGTCAAGGATCATTGTTAAAAACTACAAAAATAAAACTTGTGAGCGGCTCTAATTTCAGCAAATTGTCCTTCTCTGCTTATAACTAGGGCGTGCCATAATTAAATTAATAATTTGGTCCGCTCACATTTTCGTCGATAAGGTAGATTGATGTTTGATATTATATCTTTCCATTGTTTATATGCTGAGTGATGACAATTAAATGTCTTCAGTATTTTCATTGAACGTGTTATGTATAAAACAATTCATGAAATCATGGTTCCTGAATTTCGTTGGAACACCAAATTGTATCCTTCAAGTTCAACAGCTCCAGCTTTTACTTTTCACCATGACCAACTTTTCAATTCAATAAATATCACCTTTTCACGAGACACTCCTTAACAATTAAACGGAATGGAAGTTTCCCTGAACTGTTAGCATCAAACAATAAAACTTCCTGTTATCATTGTCCGTTGAACCCATTGTGAAACACAACCCACCACCTCTGCTCATATTCAGGGCTTTAATTGACTGCTGTCGTTGCAGGGCAGGGCTGGTGCTCTAATTAGATTAACCTAGTCAAACTTCCACAATACTCAGTGAGTAGAGTTTGTGAGTCCAGCGTTAATTGGGCCAATTTATGTCCTTGAAGTTGGAGTACAATCTTGCTTATTGTTTGTTTTAATTCAGGCCTTGTCCTGGATTGCATGGCATACACTAGTATTCTCTCTTACTGACACTGGCTTAATTATTCGAGTAACTTTCTTAATTTATACTTGTGTTGGTACTCTGTTGCTCGTTAATGCTGAGGTCCAAAAGTCGAATATCAATGGTGACCTAATTTTGGCGGTGCCTGATAGATTCCTTTTATATTTTTATCGGGGTTTATGTTTGTTGTCTATTGTATATGGTGCCATTATTTTGGGGTCAAATTTGAAATCAACCAAATTACGTGGGACTTCACCTGTCAACCTCTCAGCACTCAAATGGTTCAATTCTGTCACCACCGCTGACATCACCTTTCAGATCATTACCGAAACATTTTTCTTTTATTATTTCTGCCGATGTTTAGACAGGGTTAAGATGGAATTTGAAGCCATTAATTGTAATCATGATTACGTGACGTACGCGTATTTCATAGCTAGTTCTGAGTACTGTAGTACTACATACTAGTAGCTTTCTTTCGTCGGATCTTCTTTGTTCTTTATAGATTTAATTATTCTTGCAAGAAATTAGAAATATAAATATTAACATTAAGGGATCTACCAAAAATTCGAATATATGCAGTAGGTACTCACTACGGTACTGGGTATTGATAAAATCATTTTGACTCGGATACGAGATAGGCTGGAATGTTTTGTTTTGAAGCCTTATCAAGACGGGATACAGAAGGTAATACTTAGACTTAGCAGGGTACTGGGCGAATCACCAACTACGTCAGCGAAATTCATAGCTCCCACCTTGTTTGGTAATTGATAAAACAAATTATGTAATGGGTGGCATGCGAATGCTTGACGTTACTATTTCAACAGCTTGCCTGTAAAAACTTGTCACGTCTAAAAGACGCCTTATCACAACCTGTAATACTAATACTTGAAGAGCGAAGTTGTTCTCTGCAACTGTCATACTTCAGTAGCCTTAAGTAAGATGTCTGAATAGTTTTGTTTCCTCACAGTAATGCATATTCTTGTCTTTTTAATTTTTTATTTGAATTACATGGATCAGACGTAGGTTGATTGTTGCACCTAGTGCAGTATTGGACTTGTGAATGTAAGGGAGCTTGTGAGAGTTAATATGCTGTCCGGTGTCCTGTACTAGGCGTATACTGTAGTAGTGCTATCTTTTGAGAGTGTTCCTCGCACTGCGTCAACCGTTGTAGACACAAGGTCTGTGAATCATTTCTAACGAATTTTAAGCTTGTTGCTGTTGCGAAAATTAAATGTTTTAAGAATGAGCCACTACTACATCTAAATGATGACACTGACTGCTAGGCTTTTATTTTTTAAACTACCAACATTATACTATGCCGTTTATTCAATATTCCTTGCTTTATTATTGCCGCCACGTTTTAACGGTTAGTTTCTGTAGATATGTTTTGGTCCAGTTAAATTTGTGCTTTAAAGTTTATTTAACCCTGCAGAACCTCAAGCTAGTGCTACACTTAACTTGGCTACAGCAGTGTTTTTAAAAGTAGAAAGAGGCACTGTTCCTAGGAGTAGCAAAATAGTTACCACAACAGCACTCAGAATCAGATAGGCGAGGACACCGGACACTTTGTAATCCGTCAATTCTTGAGTTGAGCAGTTAAAACTGAATACTGGTCCCGGTTTGTGTCGGGCTGCTATCTTTACTCCAGGTTGTCGCAATTAGGTGGGGCTGTTATTTCTTCCTTGAAGGTTGGAGTTCACTTTGCTGTAGAGTCTAGATCAGTCTTTATGGTGCAATATCTAGTCTATACTCATAGAGTCATAGTTATATCCATTACCCAACACTGATTTTCTTTGGTACATAAATATTCGGCCAATGGAGTCTAGCATTTTGTTGGAAATGGGTTAACTATCTTGATTATAAATATAACAACTTACCGTGTTCTTAATGCTTTCTTCACAAAGTTTATCATAAGTGTCACTTTTTCACTAACTATAATATTAATAGATAATGAAAGCTGTTGAACAGTGAAGTCCGATGACATGGATGATACTTCGCTTAGTTTCACCTTAAAAGGAATTTTGCGTTTATGCTTTATTTATGCTATACTTTATTTTCAAAAATAACTGTTTAATCTGTCAACTTTTGCTTACAGTAAGCCGTATTATGGATTCCATCATTACTGAATTAGTGATAACAATTTATTCAGAATGAAAAATAGCTCTAAAAGCTCTGTTTGCTACAATAATTAAGTTTTATCCCATGATGTTGATAGACGAACAATTACAAATGCAGTTCGTCAACTTTAAGGCTTCTTCATCTTAGTCAAAGGCTTATTTAGATTTGTGAAGTATCAAATTGTTGTTTCCTAACGTCTCCCATCTATACCGTATACAGAGGAGAGACGACCGAAAATAACCATATTATGTACAGATCACTGATCAGAAACCTTTTTCTTTCCTTATCTCTATCGCCGACAGTCACAACTTGTGTCGATCGTACTATAAAGTATAAGAGCCAAAAAGAGACCGCCGCTTTAAGGCGAGGCAAAGTCAATTGTCGGGGATTAACATGGCACTAAATCACTTGTATCCCCATCATAATCCAGCTGCAGTTCTAGTTCTAGGTACAGCGGGATTACTGCTACAACAATGTCAGGATCACTCGCATGGCTAACTTTAGGGTATCTCCCCTGTAACTTAACCTACTGAGATCATTGTCACTGTCAGTTACTCTTTTACAATGGATTGTTCACGACATCCGGCACCAGGACATTAACTTGTCACCCGAGCCCAGGATAGCCGTATCACGGTAACTAGGTAGCAGGTCACTAACTGATCACTAACAGTTACTAACTGATCACTAACAGTTACTAACAGTTACTAACTCATCGGTAACTAGGCAGCAGGTCACTAACTGATCACTAACAGTTACTAACTAGTTACTAACTGAGAACTAACAGTTACTAACAGTTACTAACTGAGAACTAACAGTTACTAACTCATCGGATCACTCGTATAAGTTACTCCGAAGTTTTAAGAGTACAAGTAGGGAGTTTTTAACTTTTACCTCTTCAAACATGACGTGTGTTCGGAGCATGGAGATGGAAAGTTTACTCAACCAGAAGGAGTATTAGAGGTGCAGTAGATACCTACCACTACTTCAGAGCATTAGAGTATTAGAGTATTAGAGGTGCAGTAGATACCTACCACTACCACTACTTCACAGCTATTCAGTGCTAATACCAATCAAATAGACCGGCACCTGTGTGGAGTGTGATTATTAGGTTTAACAGCTACTAATCAATTCCGTGTAAACACACAGGTTTTATCAACTTTTAGGTTAAGAAGGTAGTTAGACTTCCGGGTGGCACTGTTTACAGGATATGAGATCAGGTTGAGTTACACATTTAACAGCACGTACATTACATCACGACTACACCGGGTTACATAATATTTCAGTGTCTGCAAATGACGAGAGTATTTTGTGGCCCCGATCTCAATCACTCTCTTAAAGTGGTGTGTAGAATATTGTAACCGATTGTCTTACTCTTTGTGTAATTTAATGATATTCATTTACCGATCCATGTAAATACATTCCAACCAATGTGAGCTGATTTCTTAAATTATATTATGAACACTTACTACTTAGTCAGATCGATTTATTTGAGTATGTTATTGGTTGTGTTCTTGTTCATTTTATAAACATGGTATGATCTATACTTGTAATTGTGTGATCTACTTGTATGATCCATTATAACCTTGGTTAATGGTTACTGGTTAGGCTACTGTTACTGGTTAGGTTGTTGTGTGTTGTTTTTTCGAGTATCCTGATCTTATCATGTTTTGATTTTAAAATTGTAGCTTTGTAGCTTGATATTGCCCGTTTATGATAAGCTAACACTCGTCACTTAGTAAGTGATCTCAACTTGTAATGGCAAACCTGTCGGTTAAATCCAAGTAATGCAATATTTGGATTGAACCGACAGGTTTGAACTAACCAAGGGTCTAAGTTAAACTTTACGGATAGAAGCAAGATCAGACTAAGGTTTGTCCCACTACGCAGGACCCTCTATCTCAACTTTAAGTTTTCGTGGTTTGGCTCAGTAGAACAAGGATGAGGTGTGAAGTGCGACGCTATTTGTGTCCGAATTCAAAATGAGGGCCTCGAAGATACATGCACTGATTACCATATGTTACAAAGACCTAGGTACTATTTTGTACTGACACTTTACTGGTGCTACTTATCGGTTATCCATTTCTATCAGGTCTATTTTAAGTTCTATATCCCACACCCTCCATGAATTTTACGCGAATTATTGATGATTGATGACCTTTGGAAGTTTAAGTAAAAATCTATTTCTCCACTTGTAAAGCTTATCGTCTGTTTTTATTGAGTATGGGCGAGGTTTTGTCGCTCGAACTGTTATGCCGTATACGGCATAAATGTTTCAATCTTCTCCATATTTCATTTGTAAATGTGAGATCATTGAAAATCTCAACACTACTCTCCAAAAGTTGCTAAGTTGGTACCTGACCGTCTCTGCCCGTGTCCGTCTAGACATCCCTTTTTTGTCGTCAGACGCCCAGAGTTCAGACCAGGTTTCGTGGATCACTCAAGTTTTATAAATCAGATTACAGGAAATTATAGAGATTCTCGTTCTCAATGTCTCATTGGATGTCGCGTGAAGCACCTAACTTGCAACGTCCAGTTATTTTGGCGTTTCCCAGCACGAAGCAATCAGGTACTTTATCTGAGGTTTCGTTCTAATTAAAAACTTAAAATCTCGTGTCCTACAACATATCCCCATACAAATGCACTTGAGGTTTTGCTGTCAGAGTCGCTTACAATCACAACGGCAGTACTGAACGAAACCCTAAACCATTCGTTTTTAAAAACGTGCGACCTGCGTCAAAACACAATATTTTTATTTGTTTGCAGTCAGAGAGACATTGACGGATGAGGCAGAAACTACTCAGCCAAATGTATGCTCCTTGGGTCGCAGGCCACCACCATGTATTTCACGTGCACTGTATGGTAGTTACGCCCCTGGGGGTCACTTGAGCAGCCATTTATCCTCATTAACCTTATAACTTTCTACTATAGTTGATGGATTCGAGCTCGGGTGACACTGACAGTTCGAACTTTGTGTACAACTTGATCGATCTCCCTTCACCCCCGCAAGTGCCGCCAACTAAAATACAGGGTGAGTTTCCTTACGAATTATTGTTTTATTTATTTTGTAAAACTGATATTTCCTTGAAAGTTGACCAACATGACCACTAATACATTTTGATGTTTTCATAACCGCATCCTCAAGTTATACTGAAGTCTTAGCTTACTTCGCACCTTTTACCTGCTACAGACTACCGATTACCGACCAATAGTATTCAGTTTCATACTCATGATCATAATTCATAAACACCCACTAGCTTATTTTCGATACTGAGCATTTGCTACATCTCTAATAGTACTGAACTCTGTACATATTTTACATCGAGCAGAGGCATTATATCATCAATCCATTGGTAAGCAGATTACACGATTGTCTAGTTTGAGTTTATACCTTTGGTAATTTTATAATACTTACTCCATTAATTAGCTCAACTTCATGTTATGTAGATTGAAAATCATGGACATGATCTATGGAAAATTAGCCAATAATTATACACATGATAGGTTATAGTTTCTACCTGATTTAATAAGCTGACCTTTATCAAATGACAGCATTGTGATGTATAAAGATACATGTAATAATAACAGATCATTTGCAATACTAAGATTTTTTGGACTCTCTGGGAATTATACAATCTTCTTAGTGTAATGTTTTTCTTAGTTTCTTGCTGGATCGAAGGGAATATTAAAATGTAAATTTTTCCTGTACACTTGCACTGTAGGTTTTACAACGATCCCTGAGGGCCTCACTCTTTGTAGAAAATTCCAATTGCTATTTTGGGCTTACACTATACACAATATAGTATTCATGATGCGAATTTGTGTTGAATTATCTGTATGATTTAATAAATATCTAAGATTATCCTAACCATGGCGTTACGCTTTAGTTTGTAACAGTATCCCGTGTAGGTCTTGTAATTATCCAATTTGCACCAGTTTATGCCCCGTCACTTCTCCACTACGATGATCGATAACTTCCTATATAAGTACAATAGTTATCTGACCCCTGCACAGTTGTATTTGTACCCTTTGTGTTATACGAGACGTTGTATGTGGTGATAGGCTACGTGGTTCCTTGTCTTCCTTGACTATTTATTGTACTTTATTGTATACCGAACAGATTCTGACTTGATCATGATGAACTTCAGATATGATTGTGATCCAGGCAAAGCCTGATAAACTGCGATCTAGTCATATTTGGATTTGGTGCCATCAAGATAGATTCTGATTTGGTGCCATCACGATACACTCTGATTTCTGGGATCAGGTTAACTTCTTTGATGTGATGAACTATGAAGTCGGATTTTTCATTTTAGCTCGATGTGACTTATCTGACCAATTGCAATATAGTTTCTTTGATGCTAAAACTGTTTCAATAAGATGGATGTAATTCAGTACTATGGTCTATGATGAAGACAAACTTTAATGTGAGATCGTCATATTCTATGAGATTCTACCATTATAGACCCCCTCTCCACATACTTTAGAGCTATTGTGTAGAAATTACACCTGATAAGCATTTTCAAACCACCTCCCTTTTTACGTTGCTTACGTTATAACTATAATATTAGTGAACGAACCCTTTGACATGTAAAATGCTACACGGTCCTTGTTGGTTTTGAACACAAGTGCCGTTGATGAAATCAATGATAGTTTTAAAGTTAACTGCAAGTTTGATTAGCTGCCATATTTTATCTGCATTGAGATGTGTAGACTGATATTTGAAGATAACAACTTTTATAAAGCTTCAACACAGTCGCATTATGTATCAAAAGCTGCCACCGGCACGAGATTCCACCATTCACCAGTGTCCAGCACGGGCCGCATGAAATCAGTTCCCAATCGAACTCCTATTCTGATGAAGGGAAGCTTTATTACCCGATAAGTCACATAACTCATGCTCTCAACTAGCCGCACAGTTAACGATGACAGACGCCTGAGAAATTTCCTCGTTTAACACTTTTCCGATTTCTATAGTTGACACCCCACCACAGCCACATGTTTAGGTGATGATAGCTGGCGCGCTGCTAACACCATTCCCACAGCTGCACATCCCCTCCATATCCCATAGTTTAACTATAACCCATTCATTTGTTAGGTGTTTCCGTTGAGGACAGAGTTGATGCATATGAATGTAGAAGCAACCTACTGGAGGTCCTAGATACGATGGGGGTTTCAAAGAGCCATTCGCCACTGCAAACCAACGAATATCCCATACATCCCTCTCCAAGGAGGACAGTCACCACAAGAATATGGAAAAGTTCTCCTGCCGTTTCTAAGGTTCGTCTAAATGCTTGCTCATGTGTTATAGATGATTTGTATATATTTGCGGTTTTTAGGTGATAAAAAGAAGATCCGATTTTCTGAAAATGGTTTTAATCCTGCATGAGTTGTATTTGATGATGGTGCAAAAATGCGAGGTTAGTGATTTTGATTAGTCACTTAATTAAAGTTAGTCACATGATGTACATTCCAACCATCTAAAATCTACCTATTCTTACAGGTTGAATCAGACTATGAGACGATGCTGCCACAAATAGAAAAGCTGAACCTCAGCCAGTCCCCGATCAAGAGACGACCCCTCCCTCGAGAACCTGACTACAGCGACCAACCCTCCTCTACCACCACTTCTACTGAAAGCCATGCCTCACAACCAGGAAAATATGTCATATTCAAAGACAGATCTAAACTTTTTATGAGCTCTTCCTCGAGCAAATACGAGGAGCCACTCTACGCCAGGATCGACGAACTTTGGTCTGAGAATGACCGGTCGACTGACTCCGGTTTTTCAGATCGGCCTGAGGTGTACGGTAATCCGAGCACTATCCTGACTTCCGATGAAGTCTCCCTCATTTCAAGATACCAGAGAGTTCTGAAAAACAGGACGAAGAAGTCCAGATTCAGAAGGCTATCAGAGTATCTTCGTTGTGGAGGGAGTGTTTCTGATGAAGAGGATCATATTAGCGAGGAGAGCTTGTACGATTCGCTTTTGTCAAGTGGAACCAGCTTCGCTTCCTTGACGGCCAGATCCGGCGTCCACAGCCCCAGTCCCTCTGAAATAACCGCAGACTCCTCAGTTTTTGATTCTCCAACTTCCTCCATCTCCAGTCCTGACGATACCATGGTCAGATACTCAAAGAAACACTTCTTTTACACCCCCTCAAAACTGGAACTGGCGAGCCCATCTGGTCACTCTGAGTATGTTCTTCCAGAACAATGGCAGAAAACCCCCACCACCAGACTCTCGAAGGATCCTCTCTCATTTTCATCAGGATCCTCTCCTCTGAAACCTCAGCGAAGACCACCGAGGTCGGTAATGTCTCCGCTGGCTCTCAGCCATGATTATGAGAACATAAGAGATTTTACTAAACGAAGAAAAGAAAAATCCGAACAGGTTTCGTGACACAACATGGACCGGTTCATGTTTAAAGGTTTTTTGAAGTTTGCAGAGCTGACTTAAATTCTGTGGGGCTATTTTCTTCAACATTTTGATAGGTTTAATTTAAATTGACGAATTTTGATAAATTACTTTAACCCTCCCATTTTGCAAATTTTGCTTTTGCACATTATGTGTACGATAAACTGTATAACAATTGATAAATTTTACTTATATTATTTAATGCTAAAGTGTAAATCCCGTTTTAAAAGAATAAGGCAGACGTTTTGCATAAATTATTGTTTTATTAATTTCATTCTCAATCAAGTGTTTGCTTCGTCTTCTGTAGTAGGAAATATCACATTATGAACTATGAAGTCAAAAATTGGCTGGTTGGTCTAATATAAAACATAACATTGGATCATGCATCATCTCATAAAATCAAGATATTTTCATCAAATAAGAGCCGGCTCAAAAAGAAATAAAAGATAACGATGACACCCAGATTTACTTTAAGTGAACAATTTACAAAAGTCCACGTAGCTTATATGCCCTTCTGTGCTAGCCCCACATCTCTTCAGAGCCTGTAACAGTGAAATGTGAGTGAAATGAGTGATGTTTTGGTCTTATCTAGTATCTTTTTATGTTTATTTGGTGCACAATCATTTTCTCGTCTTAAAGTAAGTTAAAATGGTAGACCCATTGAAGTAGTAACGTAGACCTAAAGAAATCTCACCTCATCAAAAAAATACATATATTCTCCTAAATACCTTGTCAATAACATGGCCCGGAACTTGGAGATTAAAATTATCCGTAAGGGTCTTCATCAACTTTTCCTTGTCGATAAACCCAGACCGGTCCTCATCCAGGTGAAGAAAGGCTTGCTGCATGTTGGCATGCTGCTCAAAATTATTCTTTTTCATCACTGCTTTTATCGTTTCGGCTATATCATCCTCGTTTTGATCGAAATTATCATTTGATTCCGACTGATCCTCGCTCTCTTGCGCACTGAGTGAAATGTGAATGAAGTGGTGTGAACTGTGAAGTGACATATTCATTATATTATGTTGTCTTGAGAGTATGAGATTACAATATAATGTTCAGACACGTATTTTCCGATTATGTAAAACAACTATACACACATTAATACACAGCATTCTTTACAGTATAAATTGGAATTTGACCTAAAAGGTGTGCAAAAAGCAAATCATAGGAGAAAAGTATAAAGTTCTCAAAAATCAGCTCACTGAAAATATATCATCCGCTCGTTTTTATAAAAGAAGCCTAATTTGCAATAAATTATCCCAGAAAAGCGTTTTGAAAACAGTTTTCTACGTTATTAATAAGATCAAAGTAGTGTGGAAAGTCCTTCAATGTTATGTCCTGATATTCTGCGATTTTCAGTGACTCCGTCTTTCCTCTGAGTGATTTGTTCATCACTTTAATGATGACCTTATTCTGTAAAATTTTAAAGTCATAATCAAATGCCGCAAACACTAGTGCAACTTTAGTGATTTGATTGAAATTCTGGTGATGAGAGAATATCCTTGGTCTTGTTGTAAAACTATCGATGATCGTTGTTCTTGGGATGTTCATGTTGTTTGAGGGGTGATATGTTTTATTTTTAAAACTCTCGTCATGGACTCATGGCTAAGGAGCCAGATGATGATGTAATGTGTAGATGGTATAGTTTAAAACAAAATGTAGTATATCATCATTAATTTTATTTTCTAAGTGCAATCAAACTTATGAATTCTAAATCAACTCTGAAATTAACGAACATAAAACAGGACTCACCACAATTTATCGGCGTGGATAGCTCTGATTGACTCGATGGTAGCAGCAGGGAATCTTGAGCCATTAGCTTCAAGATACTTCAGAACGTACAGATCGCAATCTGAAATATTAAGTTAAATAAGTTGCGTTCGAAAAAACGTTTTACCTCAGCTCTAGACTCACGATAAATGAAATATGATGCATACATACTCTAACTAATATAATTGAGAATTACGTAATCCACTCTTGAATCTGTCTTGTCATTACTTACATAAATATTAATTAGGCGTCCAAATATTATGGGGTATCTTGTTATTGCGTAATAGTTTCACTGGATTGTTTTGATTTTATCAAATTACATTTGTAACCATGGTAACGAGCGCAAAAGCTAGCGCGCGTTGAACACGCTGTTTTACATCGATGCTTTCTACATAATAAGCTACGCAAAACTAGCAATAGTCTGTAGACCGTTTCGTTATTATTTCCACCGACCCTTGCTATACCTGCGATTTTGAACTTCCGAGAGAATACTTCGATGGTTGCTCCGATGGCAAAGTCAGCAGGAGTATAATATTCAGGATTGTCAATAGAACTTCCAGGTTTTCGCACTTGGCTGTATTCTAGGAATTTGCCCTCGATGATGCCAGCGTTTCTGAAATGGAGTATTATAAATATTCAAGTATCCAAATGTAGAGAATTGATAAATTCAAATGTAGCCACAATTTATGTTTAAGAGTACATAAATTGGATTCATAATTGTACGTGATCGATTAGAAGGAAAGGGTACCTCTGATGTGGCTCGTATATCTGCATTTCGTCTTTAGCAAGGCTGTAGGAAATAATGAACTTCCTGTTTTTATCCTCCGGGTTGGGAGATTCCTGAAATTTTAGGGAATTTAAGATACTAAATTCAAATCTCAGATGCAACACATCCATATTAAAGTTTGTGAAAGGGACGCGGTTTAAAGATCGTGAGTGACGCTTGGATAACATGACAATCATACCATCATAATTCATATGCGACTAAAATACCTTAGGTTTACCTCAAGATATTATTGTCATGTGATATCTGTAATAAACTCGCTGTTTCCATAAATCAACCAAGATTACCACTATCACTTACCATTACTGCTGCGTATCTCAAAATCTTCAAATCGTTTTCCAGCATTTTCATGACATCTTTCTTGGGTGGCTGAGCAATCAATGATAAACAGTTCTGTTTGGAATCCTGGGGACTTCCAAATCCGTTATAGGGAGGAATCTCACGTTTCACCTCAACCTTACGTTCACCTAACTCAACTGGCACCCTGTTGAAGTTGAGATTGTATTTCTGTTGATAGTAACTCTGAGTGAAGTCGTCACAATCGTACAAGAAGAATGGTCGGTCCATAATGACGACAGTTTCGCCCACTCTCAGGTCTTTCTCGGTCAGCCATTCAGTTATTTCGTGCTCGGAAATCTCCATCACCGCGCAGGGGAAGTTGCCTGTGGGGTAAATATTGTTACCACGACAGTTACCTTGACGGCAATAGCCGTGATCACAGTGCTGGCAAGCACGACCGGTGCATTTATTGTGGGTATACTATGTACCCCCTTTACTATTATACCCCCTTTACTATTACACCCCCTTTACTATTATACCCCCTTTGGTACACGTTACAAGCCTCTTTCGTGCACGCGAAGCGTGCACTCCGGCCGGAGGCGGCGGAGTTTTTCAGGCATTAAGAATCATCGGAAGTCGTTCAGCAGATTTATTTTTAGTTCAAAACATTCTAATTTGATGTCAAAGATGACAGGAATAAAAAATAGTTATGTTGAGATTTTTAAGAAATTTGCATAAAATACTCGCCAGCACTGTTATACGAAATTCGGTAAAAAACCCAAAATCGCCATATTCAGGTGCCTTAAAAACCATGTTAAAATCGAGTTAGAGATCTGAAATTTTTCAGGGCGTCTAGACGTTGACCAAATCGACTGCAAAAAAAGTTTCAGGTTTCAGGAACATCGGGAAGTGGGTTTTCTAGAACCCCTGTTTTACGACAGATTGTCGTGATATCTATCTATATAATATATACATATATATTCAGGGATAGACGCTTTGCCAGTCAATTGTAGCCTGTATTTAATTGTCCATAGATTCAAAAGTATAAAAGATACAGCCATTTCCGACCACAGGTCTTGAAAATAATTGTTTACACTTTAGTTTACATTGTATAAACAAATTATTTGACCTCATGAACACCCCTTGATGACGTCATCAAGTTAACCGTTTTTAAAACTTGATTTTTGACAAAGTAATAACTTTTAAAAATGATTTTACACCATTAAAAAGTAATTGTATTCAAAATCTGAGGAAATTTTTACCTTAGATAATTGTTCAAGCATTCTGAAAATCTACCGGAAAGTTTTTCTAGCTTGCTCCTTCATAAAGATATTCGTCATTGAAGTTTGTGCTTTTTTGAAGAATTATTTTATAAAAACGTCAATTTTGCGATTTAGTATTCTCTGGTGTTGGGCCATGCCTTAGGTTGTGGAGCTCAGTTCTGCTTCCTATAGGTATAAATTGTGCATTAGGCTAGTTTTAAAGTTAAAAATCGAAAAGTTGCACACGTGGGGACACGCCCAAATTTATAAAAAATTGCTAAAATCACTGAAAATTGCTGTTTTCGTCATTTTCTGTCAACTTTAGAGTGCCGTTGTGATTACAGTTCTTCTTGAAATACTTTGAAACTTTGCGTGCTTATCAAGCTATATATAAAACAATTACATGCAAAAATTTACGGCGATTCAATATTGGATGCGCACGCAACGTCCGCTCAAAGTTTGCACGTGCGAAAGGTGAGAATTTTGCTCATTCGTGATTTCCAACAAATTCTGCTTTGCCACGACAGTTTAATGTCATTATAAATGAATTTAATGCCAACTTGAATTAGTATTAAGTGGCATATTCAGTCAGTGATCGACCGATATGCTTACCTAAACACAAGGAAATGTTTTTAAAGGAAAAATTTCGAAATTGTTGAAACTTCCTCCTTATTAATGAAGATATTAGTTTATATTTCGACTTTATAAAGTACCCTGACATTATAATCAAAAAGAGATGATATTTGACCAAAACCCATAATCATGGGTAGAGTGTACCGCTGCCAGTGTCTCTCTTTTCCAAACAAAAGGAAATGATATTAATTTGAATAACCGTCCGCAAATGCAAATTGATACCGAGAATGAAATCGGTCGCTCGCTTTTTCCATTCGATCACGGCTTACGAATTGTAATATAAAGCTTATTGATTGGAAAAAGCGAGCGACCGATTTCATTCTCGGTATCAATTTGCATTTTCGGACGGTTATTCAAATTAATTATATCATTTCCTTTTGTTTGGAAAAGAGAGACACTGGCAGCGGTACACTCTACCCATGATTATGGGTTTTGGTCAAATTAAGGTAAAAGAAATAAGTGGGCTTGTCCTTAAGTTACTGTATCGTATTACTGAACAGATATTGTCTGTATGATGTATCCATGGAAACGATAACATAGCATCGTTTACATGGTAAAGTGTACAATGTACAACATATGGGAAATATTGGGAGCTTTATACGGAGATAATACAATTCTTTGACAGATTTTGAATTGTTTGCGATAGACGTGGTGGATAAAGGCGCAAGTTTGTTTTGACACGTGACAGTGAAAAACATAGCTATAAATACCAAATTCACTATCTGGCGTTAAAACAAAGTTGCGCCACCATCACCCGGGAGTATCATATTGATGATACTCTGATAGAAGATACATACTATTGGATGAGATAATAAATAACTAAAATTTTTGAAGAAACTTACTGGGAATATTAGATCTAGATTTGGGAACCTTCTTTCGTCCAATAAGCACAGGGAAAGGATCATGTCCATCGTTAGGCTGCCTCTGTTCCCTAATCTCAATAGTATCATCAACTCTATAGAAGTGCAGAGTATAAGGTCTCATTTCTCCAAACATATTGTTCCTATCGTCCCAAACAGCACTGAACCTCAACACCTGACGATCCAAGTCGATGAACTGTTTGAGTTTGTCGAATGTGGGAGGTGTAACGTAGCTATGTTGGGGCTCTTTTCGGGAGAGGGTGTAGGGATCCGCTGGACATCCCTCAGGGGCATTAAGCATGATTCCCTCGCTTGCCATGAAATCTTTGGTGTAGTTGTTGCAGTCGTTGATGTGGAATGTTTTGCCGTAGAAGACCACATCGTTGCCGACATTCAGATCTTTCCACTGCCAGTGCTCTCCTGTTAGAAGGTGTGTTGTGTTTGCTCATGTTATATACTACAGAAATTAGCTCCACGCTACAAAAAGTTGGAGCAGCAGTCATCTTTCTATTTTAAACTTCAGATTCTCTGTAAATAGCATGCACTAGCATTTTACACGTGAAACACAACATGGTGCGTCAGACTCACTTTTCATACAGTGCTGAAGAGCAATTGTCATTCAGAATTGTAAATGAAATCACTCGCAAAAGAAACATGCCAAATTTCATATTCCTAGTCCTTACCTTGATCATTTTTGGGTAGTCGCTGTCTCTTGATAAGTTTACCCTGAGGAATGCCACTGTTCTCAACAATTGGTTCCACAACACTGATACTATCATCCTCAAGATAGTAGTAGATCTTGACAGGTCTGACTCTGTAGTATTCCTTGTCTGATTCGTTCAGGGTTTGTTTGAAGTACGCGTTAAACAGCAGGACCTGATGATTTAAGTTTAAAGTTTAGTGCTCAGTTTTTAGAGGTAACATCTTAGAAATCTATCCAATTTAGACAAACACGTCTAGTGTAAACCAATCTGTAATAATCAGAGAATGAGCGATAGCAAAATCAACATGCACATACTATAGTATACTATGAATACTATAAATGTCTTACCTTTTTATCGAAAGCTACGTGAGCAGGTACAAAGTCTTGAGGAGGTTCAGCTTTAGCCTTGCCGTAAGTAAGAGTAGGTTGTAAGTTGGCAAGTTCATCAATTTCTGCTTCTGTCAGTCCCGCGATGGGGCCGGTTTTGGGGATAGCAAATCCGTTCTTGTAGGTCATCGTCTGAGCCCTGAAGATAGAGAAATTAAATAATGTATAATATCATCTTCACAGAGCTTAAGCCAAAGTGGGATGGTCAATGGTCAAGCTAAAATCTACTGAAAAGTGGGCAGATAACGTGCACTACAGGCTAGGTTCACTAAGTGACTTCGAACAGAACTAATATTTACCTGTGAAAGTTGACTCTTGTTGGGTCAGTGAAGGTGTTTCCCGGGAGGAAAGGTAGTGCTGTTGAATCACCCATCCTTACTACTAAATAAGGACATTTGATTAGTCAACTGATAATATTCTGTTACTATTAGAAGGATTGCGATCAGATTAGAAACGAGATCCATCTACTCATAATAAGTTATATTTGAAAGACTTGATTGCTGTTCAAGTTATTGAAACGCAATCATTAAAAACATAAAACCATTGTAATTCATTAAGTTATACAGCACATTTACACGACTCACATGCTTATAATTCCAGGGCATTTCTTTGGTGGTTAATGATATTAAAAGAATGGACGGTCGTACGAAAAACATGGTAAATATTTACAATCTTAGTAACCATAAGTGTTCACAAAGCACCAGGCCAGAAAATTTGCATGCAAAGTTTTTTCTGAATTAGTATTTTATACCACAGAAAGTAACTTATAGCGAACAGTGAATACATCTCATAAAATTGTTTGGCGCGTAAAGTTTGCACAAAACACCGGTCTATCTACAACCACATCACCTATTCGAAACACCCAAGTCCCGAGCTGAACAGAAACAATTGAACTCCACAAATCTAGCAGTCCGTGTTCTAGTGGGTAATAAGAGAGGTCTGAGGTTTCATGGCACGACGTGACACTTCGTTAACGTATTTGGACGGTACTCCAGCTCCTTGAAGCTCCTCCAACTTCTTCTTCTTGATCTCATCCAGTCGCTTTCTACGCTCCTGTGCTTCCTGATCAAGTTTTATTCCCTCCTCGAAGAAGCATTGTCTCGCTTGGATAAGCTCGGACTCCTTCTCCTTGATTTGGTTTCGTACTTCTTCTGCATGTTGGAGACGCTTCGAACGAGCGTTACTGTCCTTGACCTCTTCCTGTTTCTGTCCTTGTTGTTGAACGGCGAGAACTCGTTCGAATTCCTGTCGCTCACGCTGAGCCTCAATTGCAAGGAAGTGCTCTTGCATTTGTACCTGTAACAGACAACGTTGAGATTTTGGCTTATTAAATTTGATTAAATTTCACTAAATCATAAGTTAAATGAGTTAATCAGGTAGGCTAGGTTGAATTATTCGAAAAGATTTAACTTCAAACCTGTTGTTCTCGTGCACGCCTCAGCTGTGACTCTGTCTGAGCCTTCTTGACGGCTGTCTCCTTATCTTTCTTCCTCTGATCTCTCTCAACCTGGGAACAGAGTGAAACATTTATAATAAATATGCTACTTTTTTAGGTAATCTTTGCTAAGCATCAAAAAATGAACTGAAAAATCAATAAAATGACAAAGTTCCTTACATTTTACTAAAAATACAACTAAAAGGAAACTGAAAAATGCAGGGACAGTGAAAAACAATGTACCTCTTCCTGGATACGTTTAGCTCTAAGAGCATCCTTCTCAGCCTGCTGATCTTTAGCCCTCTCTTGAAGTGCCCTCATGTGAGCGATCTCTTTCTCCTTCTCAATTCTTTGCTTCTCCAACTCAGCCTGGTATGCGATCTCTCTCGCCTCTTTCTCCTTTAAATATTCCATCACCTTGGTCTCCTGGAATTTCTCCTGTCGGACTCGTTCCTCCTTCTGTCTCCTTATTTCCTCGTTTGCCTTGGCGACATCTGCCATGATCTTCTTTTGGCTCTCCTTCTTCTTCTCCAACTGGTTGATGTCTTCTCTCTGGAGTTTCTCAAGATATCTCAACATAGCAAGTTTCTCTTGTTCCCGCTTCTCGTCCTCCAGGATTCGTCTCTGTTCGTTGTCGTTGATCTGTGTTTTGATGATGTTAGCTCCCTCGACCTGCTTGTACTGGCGATCTAGTTCCCTTTGTTCATACTGCTGCAATGCCCTCAGTCTCTCAATCTCCATCATCTCGTCCAGTCGCTTGTTCTCTTCAGCTAGCTCGTCCTTAATTTCTTTCTTCTCGTCTAACTGAGCGTCTCTGATTGCGTGACATTTAGCATTCAGGATTATCTCGTTCAGTTTCTTGATCTCGTCCTCCTGTTCGTTGAGCTGTTCCTCTGCTTTAGCAAGCAGAACTCTGCTCTTGTCCTTTCCTTCTCTTTCTAGATCAGAAGGTTTCTCTCGTTTTAATCTCTGTGCTTCCATTTCTGTCATGTAGTTCTTCCTGTCCTGAGATGCAGCCTGTGCTTCCTCCTTCATCGCCTTGATTGCTTGTGCACGTGCTGCTTTCTCCGCGGGAGTCAGTACTTTGGCAGCCCCTTTGATCCGGGCATACTCACCGCTAGTCAGAACAATACTCAGTTCAGACGGATCTTTTGCTGGAACTTTTATCTTTCTGATCAGATCTTTTGTAATGACGGACACTTCCTCCTTCCTGGGGGCAGGGTTGGAAGGACCGGCCTTGTTGGCGCCCTTTTTAGGGGAACCAAACAGAGTTTCATCTGCACCACTGTACCGGCTGACCGTTCGGTAACGTGAGCTCTTCACGTTCCCTGTCGACCGGACAGATTCTCGGGAGGCTAGTGACATATTCATTACTTCATTCTATGCCTGGGAGAGGGTTCATTAGAGTCAGTGAGGGTAATGCAATGTATGATGACAGACATATAATATACAGTGTACGATGTACATATTGTACATACGATGTACAAGTTACAGATTGTAGTCCAATTGAAGATTGACTTCGCTTAGACAAATCAATATGGAAAGGTTTAATCCCTTTAATAGAATACAAAGTCATTAATTAAGATACAATAAGAGAGATCAATAATACATCATGGTAAGTAAATAAATTTCATAGTCTGAATAATATCAAATAATAATACGTTATAGTAAGTCAAAAAACGGAGCATAACGAAATCAGTCCTCAGCAAAACTCAATAAATCAAGTATTAACACATATCACTATGTCAGCAAAAAGCAATCAACATATCAAGCATCTGCTAACTCATTCTATAGATTGTCAAGCAAAAAAATTTGCATATTTTCACTAACATCCCAGCTCAAGTTGAATGTTATAACATTTACTAATTATTTGATTCAATCAATTTAGATTTAATCAGTTTTATAATTGTTACTTTGTCATTTCGCATTTGTAACCATGCTTTCTTAAATCAGAGTCAACTGTAGGGTCTTTACGACTTTCCCTAAAAGGGTGTATTTAAAACCACCAATAAAACCTGGATTATATACAGCAGTTTAAGTTAATACCATATATGGAAACCATTTAAAATAATGAGCCTGTACAGTGTACACGGCATTTGTCATATTAAAGGTTTGTGTTAAAAGAAATCGTACTAAACACTTACATTGGTAAAACTTAAGAATAGTTAGCCGATTTATGGTAAAATTCATAATATTTTACGGCAAGAAAATCGCAGCATTATTAGCACATTTAGTACAAAAAAGCTTAAAAGAACACTCAGAGTCATAACCAATATTATTCAAACCAACCACAGCACTAGAAAACTAATATATCAATACTGAATACATACAAAACAAAATAATCATCAAATACAACACACCCACTTACATTAATAATCAATATTTCTTGGTGAGTGTTCCCACATATATCCAAACAGAGAGTACGTTGTTAGCATAAGGGTGAATATAAACAGTCAGCGCAAACTCGACAGTAGGGTCCTCAGCAACATGGACATTAGTACTGTACACAGTCTCAATAATAGTGCTGGCATCTGAGTATCTCATGTTAATAGGAAACCCAGTGACATTATGGGAGCTCATTATCTCGGACATGGCGCTCACCTGGTCCTCCTCGGACAGACTCCCCATCTCCAGTTGGGGTAGAAGTTGGCGCATCACAACACGACAGTGTCTGTTCCAGCGGGTCACGTGACGCTCCCTCCACTCCATGATCTTGTCCATTAGCATCTTCTCCAGGTTACTCTCCAGAGTCTGGATGGCGGGTACGTTTGTCTCGGTGTAATCCAGTCTGGAAACTTGAACTGTGGACAGTTTGGGGCTTTCTTTTCCAGCGAAGAAAGTTTTCCAGTTTTTAGTGTTATTGAAGTTGAAATCTAACCTGCCCGGATCATCGTACGGTTGAATATTGGCCCAGATATTCTCATTATTAAAACAGAAGTGAACGCTGACCAGAGAGTGATAAGGTCGTGACTGAGGGTGATAGTCTCCAGTAGAGGGGTTCCACAAAACATTACCCTCCATCTGTTTGGTCAACACGTAACAGGTCTCCCCTTCTGGGATACCTATACCTTTTATAATGTACGAGTCAATACCCATGTACAAAAAATAGTTACACAGCAAGATCGCGTGTTCCTCTTCGTCTCCAGCTAGCATCTTGAGGAAGAGCTCAGATGTCGCCCAGATATCACATGATCCAGAGAACGCGATACTGTCCTGATAGTATGGTATCAAGGACACGAACTTGGCTATTTTCTGCAGTTCCACCAGACTCTTCCTCATATTCCTATCCTCCGGAACAAGTTCATTAGGAGGGTTCTGAGGTCCGATATACCGCGTGATGAACACACTCTTACCATTAACATCAGTAACTAAACTCCTGACACTTCGTGATCCGTGTTCACCGTTGTAGAGAAGCTCCCAAGCTGCAGCTGCTCTGATCAACCTGGGCTCCTCGTTCGTATCAAAGACCTCCCTGAGAGCTGGGTGTGGAGCTAGTGGTGGTTCCACTGTTATGAATATGGTTAGATAACTGTTTTTGTCGGTTTGACCCGTCAGGCTGGTTTGGGAGAGCAACATGTCAGATGTCATTAGATGAGGGAGTAAGCCGTGGTCTTTGTTGTAGCCCATCAGTGTTGAGGGGACGTTGAGCTTGAATTTTCCTTCGATCCGAGAGTTGATGTAGATGGTTGAGAATGGGATCTGGAAACTACCAAGCCACCTTCTCTCCAGTCTCTGATGAATGTTGGTGTCTCTCAATCGGTCATCTGCCAGAATATCAACTATGATCTCGTCGAAGACGTTGAAGTAAACGATGTCAGTTATTTCTCTGAGATTGCTTGCGGAGAACTCATTATTGATAACGTTTAACGGAAGGACAAGTTCCTGGTTCCAGTGAGGATTGGGACCGTCTGCCACGTGAGTAACACTGCTCTGTCTCTGGAATGTGACCTCCACAAACGGTCTGAGTTGGATAGTGGATCTAGCGGTGTTTGGATCGAGAGTCATCCTTTGCTCCGAAGCTGTGGTCCTACTTCTGATAGGTAGACATTGAGCTTGAGAAACGTTAACGAGGAGATCCACCTTAGTGATACCCACAGCTTGGTTTGTGACTTTCTTTCTCTCTTTCCGCTGTGGTCTCAGTGGATGTCTTGGTTCTAGAAGTTTCGCGATGCTTCTTCCAAGGGTGCTGATGTCAGGAACCTGATCCTCAACCACAACATCAGAAAGCTCCAACATCGGTCTGACTTTCCGAGACCTGGACGCGATCTTCTCCTGTATCTCCTGCATGAAGCGTACCACTGCTGCTCGGTGGTGCTCAAATACGTCACCCTCCTCTTTCAGCGACACTTTCTCTTCTTTCTCCGTCTGAGCATACTCGAAATGGGTCACCTCGGAGGAGTACATGGGCACCATTTTCATGGGTTTGTATTCCGGGACACCCTGGTTACGGAGAGACAGGAGGCTGAATCTGCGGTCGTTTTCCAACTCCTCGGTAGATACGAAATATGTGCTCTTTTCCAGGTGGTCAAGACGGAAGTATTTTGTATCTCCTGGAGCATCTTTCCTGGTTCTGTTCATGAGATGGAGCAAGGGAGCATTTCGGGGATCGTTTGGGTCCAGTTTAGCCTCGCTAATCCATTGGATTACTTTCTCCATGTCGTTCAAACTTCTTGCGCCAATAGCATGGATCGGATCAGCACGGCCGAATGTTGCAGCAATGTCGTGACGAACAGGAGCGAGGATCTTGCCACTCGCATCTTTAACCCATGCAGTGGATCCAAACAACTTTCCTGAGGTCAGGAGAATCTTTCCATCGACTGATTCTGGAACACCACTCCCAACAGCGGTTGAGTTAGGATATGTAACTTTGTGGCTCGAACTGAATTCCAAAGAATCCAGTTCAGCATTTCCGGTATGTCTATCATTTGGTGGTATGACAAGGAATATTTCAGAAAGCTTCTCTGAGATGGACCAAAGTTCAAACTTGATGCTTTCCGGCCAGTGAACAACTTGCAAACACACACTCTCCCCAAAATTCAGAGTGAAATCAGAAGTGAGATTGATATTTGGTGACCTGGTTACTTCAGAGTTGTTGTAGAAAAGTTTGCCGTAGCACGAGGATTTCAGGATATCTTTACGACGTTTCTGCTCGACTGGTGGACACTCTTCTATCGGCGTAATGGTCACAGTGTGGGTCAGCTCAATTCTCAGAATGGGATCCCCAGGAACTTTCCTACATTTAACAGCGTTGCTCTGAATTTCGTTTAACAAACTGCTAGTCTGGGGTTTGGCTGGAGCAACTGGTTTTGGAGGTAAAACCCCCGTCGTAGCTTCCTCGCCTTCTTCTGTTATTACTTCCTTACTCTTACTAGCTTTCATCCTCTTCTTTATTTCTCGAGCTTGCATCTTCCATTCAGCCATTTCGTTGTAGTGAATTTTCATTTTTTCGTCATATTCAGCCATCATTTCCTCTTTGCTCTCTTCAAATGTGCTCTTGATCTGTTTCTGCCATTCTTTGTCCTCCTTCGCAAAGTTAGTTTGCTCTTTGTAAACTAGAATCTTTGCATTTGTTGCAATAAATCCCTGAGTTTCACGAAGGGTTTTTATCTCTTTCCAAACAGTGAGAATGGTTCTTATCATGGTTTTATCCTTCATACACTCAATATCCCACATTTCTCTTACATTCCTGATCTCCTCGCTGTAATCCTCAAGGTTTGCAACACAGTCCTTGTTGAATGGTTTGCTCATATCCCAAGGTTTGGCTCCCAGAGTGTACTGCAACTCCTGAACTGCGTTCCGCAGCGACTGAAGCCGATCTCCCAGGTGGGAGGCGAGATTGTGGCGCTGGCGGCTGGTGTACTGCATGTGTAAGTCGCGCAGCTGTGACACAAGCACGTGTTCTTTTGAAAAGAGAGGATGATGAGAGAATTGTACCTGGGTGATGCTAACAGACAACTGATTTACACTACTCTCCCCAATAAACTTACCAGTCTGAGAAAGAGAGATACATTTAGCGGTTCTCTGAATTGTGGGGTCCACGTCGAAATCTATCATGGGACGGGAGGAGATCTGCTTCAGAGGATCCGGAGCTACAATCATATTTCCATCAATACCAAACCACTTCTTCCCACTCTCAGTTTGGATAAGCCGTTGCTCCATTTTGTTCCAGTTACTAGAGTTAACCCCCGGTGGTTCTCCAACATAAATCCCCTCATCGTCAAGAAAGCAGGGTGCACCACCGTGTAGTGTCACTGTTTCAGCAGGTGCCGAGGTGGGGGCAAACAATATGGGGGAAGCATTGTGCTTCGGTAACTCTGGCTTTGTGACCACGTACAAACTGTCGTATTGGGCAAAGTTCGTGTCGTCGACTTCTGGTATTATGAGGGCTGACTTCTTGGGCTGTTTCTCGTGTCCACCAACGGGTTCATAGACTTTTGTAAAAAAAGAGTACTCGTCTATTTTCTCTTCCGGTTCTTCAGCAATTTTGCCCCGTTTAGCCAACATCTTCCAGCGTAGGGATGTAGACAATTGGTTAGTTGAGTCAGTATGATCTTCAGTTATTTCATCATCCCTTGAATGTTTTTCTTCAGGAGGCGCGCTGTCCTCAGACTCAATATCAAACCTCGTTTGTAAGTCACGATTCCTCAGACCACGCAACTTTCTAGCTGGTTCTTTCTGCATGGCAGAATCTTGCTGAATCTTAGCTCTGTCCTTTAACCGATCCCGTATCGATGTACTGAGATTTACTGAGGAAGATAGAGGTTTCAATTGAGATTTGTCCAAATCTTGATCGTCCACATTTATTGTGGGTATACTAGGAATTTCTCCATCACCTCTCATACTTTTACCCATACTCTGATCTAAGTTTTGTTTTCGCACTTGTCGTCTCTGCATCATACTGCTTACAAGTTTACTGCTTTCTAAGCTACGTGATTTCGATAACGAGTCCTCCAGTATCTCCTTCTCGCGCAGCGCTGCTTCACTGGCTATGGTGTCGGTGGTGACATTGAGGTCCCGGCGCCGCTGCGCTAGTTGCTGCTTGAGCGACAGCTGAGTTTCTGGTCTTTGTACTTCTATCATGTTCACTGAGAGGTTATGTTATTAGAATATGCTTGGCACAGTAGATATATTCGAATCTAAAAATAAATAATGAATGCCACGAAATATTAAAAATAGATGAAGATCTCATTATTTATAACTTGAATAAGGTGAGATTCAGAATAAATCAAGAAGAAGTAATAAAACATGAAATAAATCAGAAAATACACAATTTAACACCCAGTCAAAACACTAAATTTTCAAATTAGACCCATAACACACCAATCTGAAGTCATCAATCCTCAAATAGACCCAAAAAATCAAAACAGAGGAGGTACATCAAGATCATCAACAAAATCAGCTGAAACAACTTTTTCTTTAACTACGGTACGTTTGGCCACAATCGGTCTGGATTTTGATGAATCATTAACAATGTTACTGAAGTCAAGATTTGACTTTTTAGAAGGATCAACTTCGAGATAACCAGTCGTCTTTGAGGGTTTTTTCTTAACTAAGTTAGAGTTTTCATCTCTGAAGGATGGTTTGTTATTGACCTTCTCAGGAACAATTGTCTGTTTTGCTGTAGGCATGGTCAACACTAGAATACCTGTCATCTGAGACCGCTGACACGAACTTTTATCTGGACATATTTCATCGTTTAACACAAGCTGGAAATGCCTGTTCTCTGCTACTATCTTTACGTATGTCGGCTGTACATCAACATCGACGCTATGAGTAGAAAGATATTTTGGTATGCTTACTTCTAACTTTACTGAATTCTCGTTAGTCGAATCGTCCAATTTAAATGGCCACTTCGCTTGATTCAGATTTAATCTTTTTCCTTCACGTTCCAGAACAGTTTCTCTTTTAGGAACTTTATTCGTTCTTATCCCCTTTCTTTGTTCCTCAACTGCAGCCTTTTCCTCCTCCAACTTTTTGTGTATTGCTTTCCTTGTCTCCGGAGTATTTTCAGCCGGCGATTTCCAAAACGCATCATTTTTTTGCTTTATTTCCTCTGGCGTAAGTTCACTGTCCGGTTTCAACTCTTCGATGGTCGCTGTTTCAGGTGCCTCTGCCCCAATGTCAGTGTACCAACGACCACCAGCACCTTCTTTAGTTTTCTGTTGCTTAATGAAGTAGTCTTTCTGCTGCCACACGATAGATTCTCTGATCGATTTCAAACTTTGCATTGCTTCGAGTCTTTCAGTGTTGGTGACCTCTATTCCGTCTAACCGTTCAACTTGCGGAAGAGTCGCAATCACGTACTCGCGGTAGTTGTCGAATTTAGCACAAGGATTGCCTGTCATGTACATTTCTTGCAAAAACCCATTACTCTGAAGAGACTCTATTGATGTTAGCTCTGCAATAAAATTGACGGTCAGGTCTAGTTTCTTTAGATTTTCGCATTTTTCAAGATTTTCCACTTTAGTAACATTGTTCAAGGCTAGGTTGAGGTATTCCAATTGTTTTAATTTTCCGACGTTTTCGATCTTGTCGATCAGATTGCTTTGAAGGTAAAGAATTTTCAGATCACGGCACCATTTGTCGATGTTCTCAATCTTCTCGATGTCACTCTGATGTAAACTGATTTCTTCAAGGGAGTATATCAAACCTTCATTGTGTTCAGCTCGTTTCCGGATTAGTCCTTCAGTTATAAAAACCATCCTAGATGGTGGACGTTAAAAATTTAATGTGAAAGTTACGAATGGTTAATAAAAGCAAAAGTTAAAAGCATTTGGTGTCTTTAATCAGTATCTACAAATAAAATACATCATCCGTGCTTAACTTGTATCAGAGACTTGAGGGTGTAAAGCTAAAGCTCATCATCGATACCGAAGCTTGTTATAAATCAAGAGGCTTGCATATAATGAACATATTGACACGGGTGCAGAGTTGAGTCTGTACGGAACCTAGTAGTTTCAGATCCTTGTTTAACTTGCCGTACAGCAAGGTCATCCACTACTTTAGCCCGGCGAGGCACATAACTCCCTCCACAACTCCATGACAAATGTTTCATATATACTAGCCGAGTTCACAAGACACATCCCTGCGTTTGAGAAGAGCTCGTTAGAACTGCTTCCTTTCCCTTCAGTATCCCACAGTCTCTCGAGTTTCGTAACTGCCAGAGAACTCTCTTAAACAATTACTAGACTCGGTGATTATAAATCAAGAGGCTTGCATATAATGAACATATTGACACGGGTGCAGAGTTGAGTCTGTACGGAACCTAGTAGTTTCAGATCCTTGTTTAACTTGCCGTACAGCAAGGTCATCCACTACTTTAGCCCGGCGAGGCACATAACTCCCTCCACAACTCCATGACAAATGTTTCATATATACTAGCCGAGTTCACAAGACACATCCCTGCGTTTGAGAAGAGCTCGTTAGAACTGCTTCCTTTCCCTTCAGTATCCCACAGTCTCTCGAGTTTCGTAACTGCCAGAGAACTCCCTTAAACAATTACTAGACTCGGTGATTATAAATCAAGAGGCTTGCATATAATGAACATATTGACACGGGTGCAGAGATGAGTCTGTACGGAACCTAGTAGTTTCAGATCCTTGTTTAACTTGCCGTACAGCAAGGTCATCCACTACTTTAGCCCGGCGAGGCACATAACTCCCTCCACAACTCCATGACAAATGTTTCATATATACTAGCCGAGTTCACAAGACACATCCCTGCGTTTGAGAAGAGCTCGTTAGAACTGCTTCCTTTCCCTTCAGTATCCCACAGTCTCTCGAGTTTCGTAACTGCCAGAGAACTCTCTTAAACAATTACTAGACTCGGTGATTATAAATCAAGAGGCTTGCATATAATGAACATATTGACACGGGTGCAGAGTTGAGTCTGTACGGAACCTAGTAGTTTCAGATCCTTGTTTAACTTGCCGTACAGCAAGGTCATCCACTACTTTAGCCCGGCGAGGCACATAACTCCCTCCACAACTCCATGACAAATGTTTCATATATACTAGCCGAGTTCACAAGACACATCCCTGCGTTTGAGAAGAGCTCGTTAGAACTGCTTTTTTTCCCTTCAGTATCCCACAGTCTCTCGAGTTTCGTAACTGCCAGAGAACTCTCTTAAACAATTACTAGACTCGGTGATTATAAATCAAGAGGCTTGCATATAATGAACATATTGACACGGGTGCAGAGTTGAGTCTGTACGGAACCTAGTAGTTTCAGATCCTTGTTTAACTTGCCGTACAGCAAGGTCATCCACTACTTTAGCCCGGCGAGGCACATAACTCCCTCCACAACTCCATGACAAATGTTTCATATATACTAGCCGAGTTCACAAGACACATCCCTGCGTTTGAGAAGAGCTCGTTAGAACTGCTTCCTTTCCTATATGATTTTCACAAGAACCATTTGCAATAATTGTAGCTTATCAAAGTTCAAACGAATTAAGTCCGAAGGCTGGTAGAGCGAAAAAAAGCTACAAAATCGAACATGTCGAGCAGTACAAATATTGTGTAATATCACTGTGCCGTCCCGTTAATTTCAGTCCCGTGAACTTTCTTAAAATATGCCATCTTTAAAAATGTTAACCAAATGTTTCATTAATTTCATGGTTTGTCATAGACCAAGCGAAGGCACAATCAACTGAATCCGAGCGAATATAGAGCTGCTCGATTCCGTATTAAAACACTAATTTTTCAAATGTATTCGAAAATCAAATTCAAAACTGATCAACACGTTAACACGAACATTTCAATTGTAAGAGTATGGGCACAACACAAAGAGGCCAACCCACTGTAAACTGAGTATATATATAAACTGAAGCAAGGTCAACACTTTCACTGGAAACATTACCTACAATATAACTTTTTAACGATACATCAGTCGTCGAATAAAGTAAGTCACCCTAGTTACTTTGATCCAACGCGACACCAAAGTGCGCAAACTGGAGCTCAAATTGTTTACAAGAAATAAGACTAGCTGCGCGGCGCACAAATATTGCAACCGTGCGTATAGTAGTCTTGTATAGTAGTGGCAAAACAAATTTCTTTGATATCGTGAATTCATTCAATTGTGAACAGATTAGTTGCTTCTTATAAATAACTTACATTTTGAATATTCGAAATCATTATATTTGTAATAAAAAAATGTAATTTCAATGTGTAATAAAAAACAAACATTTTAAAAATTTTGAAATTAGATAATATAAATAATAAACTAATGCATCTATTTAAATTGTAAATCAACACAAAAATTAAAAATAAGATAAGTTTCTATAGCATTATATGTAGTTTATATTATAAATGAATATTTGTTTTTTACAAGAGTTTAATATTAAATATGGACTTTTAAATTATTTTCTTTGCGCCGCGCATACGATATAATACGATCAAATCGAGCGTCTGATCTTAATAAAAATTTGCTGCTATGCGAGCAGAAACTGATTTTAATTATCTAACCACTTATTCAATGTGCAGTTTGAAAGCTGATCTTACTTTATTTCAATGTTGGTTGTTCAAAATCATTTGTTCAATATTTTCTTAATATAATAATTGTTTTAGTACTTGCTAGAGTGTAGCGGTGTGAAACGTGTTCCCTTTGTTTATGTTATATATTTATTTTCATGATCATAAAATTAATTGCCAAAGAGTGAAACCCTCCATGCAAATTTGCTTTCCCACGACAGTTTAAATTAATGTATTCTAAGTAAGCAAGTAAGTATGGTCAAGTTTTTAAAAGTGTTATGACAGGAGTAGAATGGCTCAATAAACCCCGGCTCTGCTGGCATAATTGTCGCTTTCGATGACGGATCTAACTCCATATGATAAATAACAACTTGTATTACCAGTACTGTAAAATTTATTTTTAATTTCGAAGTTGTGTGTTTTATTGACGTCGTGACTTAACTGTCAGAATATCAAAAGATAGTTACAGACAGTTCTAAATAACAATTAAAAATTCTGTTTCCCTTATTATTATTAGTTATTTCTTTGCTTTACACTACCATGTTAGTTGGCATATCCAGGCAAATGGAGAGGATATTGATTTATGAACCTGATCTCCATTGTCCATGACGTTTGTACGGTGTTTTCTGTGACTTGATTTCATGAGATAGTTTCAATTCATGATTTTTGTTACAATGGAATATACCTGCTGTACAGATCGCTCAACATACTTTTATAGCATATATGTCTTTTTCTGTTTCTTTCTTAAAGTTATCCTGATGAAAAACCTTGTGACTTGTGCACACAACCTCCTTTCTTGGCAGACAGTTTTATCTGCAACTGACAGTCTATTGCAGCTTAGCAAAAATTCTATGGTGCCGTTAAGATGTCATCTTCGACTATGCAGCAAATGGCTCCCCCGATTGGTCCTTGTATGTGTTGCTGGGTTTGCTGTTTTATCGTTTGACAAGGATCTCAAACTACGTTTATTTTGTTTTTTAAATTTACAATAGAATATCCACAATGCAGAGTTTTGAAGCCATATTATGTATCCTCCAATCTGTGATATACTCTCTCCAGGGTTGGCTGTACTTAACACACATTTTTCCCTAGCATGCCGTTACCAGCAAATGGCAAACCATTGTGCATATGTCAGATCTGTGAATGCGGGTAAGTTTCTTGATATTAATTGAGACGAAAATTGTATCTCGTTAAATCACCAAGTTAAGTATATACAAAATATTCTGCAACAATTATTCCGCTGGTCTTTATCAATAGAAAAGGTCATAAACTGCATAATTAAATGAATTCGTAATAAATCTATTTAACTAATTTGGAGCGTTCATCTTTAAAAATTATATTCTCTCATCATAGTTTTTGTTTTACTATCATCTTTCTATCAGCAAAACCAAAAAGGTGAAACTCAAATATTTTCCACTGTTCAACACGTTCATGAATATTTGTTTACCATGCACGACATTTAAGTCTCTTCAGTCTTCAAGCTGTAGATATACTGGGAAAAGTATCTAAAACATCTGCTAAATTGGTTTCTGACAGGGATTTTTCGACGAGTAAATCAATAACTTTCTTCTTGTACAGCTCCTGATATTCGAGGTATCTGAAGAATTTAAATGAACGTTTCGTTACATTTTGGGTATATTAAGATCCGTATATTAAAAGTATGATCCGTGCAACTTAAAGTTCGAGATAAGTCACAACCTCAAAAAAAAACACTGCTGAACATGTGCCCTGTTGTATAACTAACCTGGCAATCCAACTGGCGGGCCCTTTGTACTGCCCCTTGCTGCTCTGTTCTGTTCCTTTCAGAGACTTTCTCCAACGTGCTCTCCTGTTTTGAAACCACACCTGAAATTGTCAGAATTACTGGAATGAACAAACATAATGCTTGGCACTGCTTTTCTGCAGAATATAACGAATAGAGTGTTGAATATCATATTGTATTCTGTAATTTGCCTGGTTGTCAATAATCCTGGATGAAGTAGGTTACAGACTGAACGTTTGCATGATACTATAAAATTTAGTTAGTAACTTAAGTAACTTTTAGAACACTTGTTATGAAAGTTTCCCACACGTCAAATCACTGATTTGCTCATTCCATGCTCGTTAGTGTAACGGAACCAATACTAACTGACAAGCACAACTTGACAAGCAGCCTGGATACTAATATAAGGATGTTTGGAGCAGCATGATTGTTGTGATTGCTGAGGTGGCAGTACTGTGAGCCGTCCCCTCCGCAATATGAAGAACATAATAATATGGATTGTGGAGCATGAGTTTTATTAGATTACTTGTCTGAGGTTGGGAGGAAAACAATGATAATATGATTGATATGACAACAGTTGGAGTTAAATGTAGAATTATAAACACGAGCGAACACACTGATAAACACACACTATAAACACACTATAAACACACTATAAACACACTATAAACACACTATAAACGCACTATAAACACACTATAAACACACTATAAACACACCTGAACGCAGCTCTCTGATAATCCGATATCTCTAGCTATTTTCTCCCTGTTTCCCAGGTCAGGGTACTGAGTGTCATTAAACGCCTCCTCTAATCTCTCCAGCTGACCACTGTTGAACCTGAGTGAGTTAGAATTGAGAGGTTTTGTTAACTTATCTAAGTTACTAAGATCTAAGATTTAGGGTGATGAACACAACATATCATTACTAGGCTCCGTAATAAGGTATTAATTCATCCGAGTATTCAAGTATTCTATAAATTTGAACATAATTGCAATGATACTGAACAGTGCTGAATACTAAGTCCCAAGTATCGAGTGAAAGGTTGTTACCTGGTTCGATGTCTCATCGTACGTTTACAACTGTTGCTCCTCGACTTGAAGGTCATGTTTGCAGCGTTACTTTTATCAAACGTAACCAGGACTTGGTCCCCGGAGGACACATTTGGAGTCTCAACACTCTGTGGTGTGGAGTGAGGTGGAACTGCGAGTGTGTTGGTTATTGAGTGAGGTGAGGATGATAGATTAGGAGATTGAGGAGTTAACTTGCTTGCTAAAGGCTGGTAGACTGGCATATGGGAGGCAAATGTTGAGTTGAGGACTGAAGTTATGAGGTTTGTAGTGATAGTGTTGGTAAGGTTAGTGGAGGTGATAGGGAGATGGGTGGTGTGGTGTTGTGTGAAGGTGTTTGCTGGGATTAGACTGGGCAAGGTTGAAGAGAGGGAGATAAGGGCGGCTTGTTTCTCGGTGTTATCTCTGTAACACGGAGATAAGGGTTCAGTCTCTTGTTTACAGCTCACTCCGATATCAATGTCATCTGATCTCACTGTATTGTCATCTGATCTCACTGCATATGTCTCTGTTTGTGATATAGAGAATGCTGGTTGTGAACGAGGTGAGGTTATGTTGTTTTCCTCTCTTCTCGTTTTTGCAGTAAGCTCACCTGAAAGTTTTACCCTGTTACCCTGCGTCATTAAAACTGTGATCTAAGTTGAAATGCATGTTAATATTTTAATTTAAGATTTGTTAATTGGGTGATAGGCTCCAACAAAGTGCTCCACTAAAAAACTAAGAGGGAATTCTAATTGATGATTTAAGTTGCAGTTAGAAATGGTCTGACTATACCATCAAAAATGTTCTGTCTTACCTGCCATTATGATGTTGGAAAATGCTGAAAATTTCCTTTTTGAACCGAGAATGTTATCGATGGAATGACTTGCCATAATGACTCAAAACAACAAACGATCGATCAAACTTTGAAAAACTTTTCTCAAAAATACTGCGTGAAGTTTAAAGCTTGTAGTCCACGGAAAATAATAAATCAATCAGCGGAATGGCGGCACTTTAGAATTAGTTCCCATCTTCCAGGAGGGATTTCCCATAATTGAAACCTGAGGTAGCCACGTTCCGTGCACCTGAGTGGTTGGTACAAGTCACGTGGCAGCTAACCCGTCCGATGATTGGTCCATTGAGATTTGTGGAACTGTAGTTTGATGTGATAACAATTGTGATTTTAAACCCTCTCCAGGGTCCCCTCAGTAAGCACTAAGCAAGGACTCATTAAAAACTTGAATCTCGTGATTTTGTTGTGATGTTCTGAGCGGGCTTTTAATTAAAGAATTAACGTGGCGTTATTATCGGGATTTAAATTTATAATAGTTCAGTTTTGGAAAATGGAATGCAGTGAAGGATTCTGTGAGGTATCGATCTTTGAGCCATGGTATCTTGATTATTAGATACAGATTAAAGATCTTTATAAACGACTTGCAGTGCCTAACTCTTATTTATTCGATAAAAGTAGAACTTTTAATTAAAGTTGAGGATATTAAAGTTTAGGAAAATAATCTTACTTGGGTTAGGTTAAACATGCTATTTAATTATTATTTTATTGTCTTTACGTCATTACAGTGACATATCATGATTGTATTCTCGTAATGTACGAAATCGAATGGCAAATAACTTAATTCGTTCTTTTCATGAATATGAGATAAATATATTTCTCTCATCCTAATAATGCGGAACTGTAAACAGGATGGATTGTAATTGGGTAATAGGGACCTGTAAAACTGAATTTCCCAGTACTTTAATATTTCTTTCCTTGGAATTTATATAAGATTTAGTGTCGATGTTTAGTGACTGAATTTTAATGAGGAAAGTAATCACCCGTTCCCGAATTTCTTACCCCTAATGAAAGTTCGACAAAACCGATTTACTTTTCCATTACTATATTTCATCGAATCTATCTCTATGAAATCACTAACAAAATTACCAGCGGAGAAGTTTAGTTGTATATCCGAATAGTGTCATACTGTATTAGTTCACATGGTTACCATGGTGACAAATCTCAATGTTCATACTAGGTATTAGGTTACGGTTTGATATATACGTTGTCGTGGCAACGCGTACTGCAGTCATTGAACAAAATCAAGTTTGATATATTAAGTGAGTTTTCTTACTGCAAAATATGTTGAACACATCCGACAATATGAGTAATTAATTGGCTAAAATAGCTCCTGATAGACTCCCTAATCACCTTGCTATTACTAAAGCTATGAAGAGAGCAATTAGTAAGTCAATTAAGTAATTAAGCATGTCAACAGAAAGTAAGAGAACTAGTAACTCGTGCTGGCGCAGGTGGTCTTGAAGTGAGAGTGTTAGTAAATGTTGCCATGGTTACCTGCAGCAACTATCCACTAGAACCAATTAAATCGCTACTGTGCTATGAAATGATGGTAAAATATGGCCGATTTGATCTCAAATCTTTCTTTATTAAAGTTGGAAAATGTCCAAATTATTCTCATAATTCTTACGTTGTTTTATCGACGAATAACCCAGATAACTAATGCAGTTAAATATGTAATGGGATTGTTCTAAACGTTGGTTAGGGACCCATGTAATTTTTAAACTGACGAGTGTGCGCTGATGTTTTAAAGGAATATCATTGGTACACCGTACACATACGAGTATTTCTTATTTTAATATTACAGTATTATGGTCCAAGAGCTCTTATTTTTGGCTTAAAGATCCAAAAGTTGATTTCAGGTTTTGCTCGAAAACCCCACTTTCGTCCATTTTTGTGGCAATTCCCCCAAAAACATGGTCCAAGATGAAAAACTACTCCATTATTAATATTAAAAAGTTGAGCAGCTCCTGCAATATAGTCTACACAAACATGTCAATTGTCGGACATGCTTGCTATACAATCACTGCTGTATCACTTCAATACAGTCAGTACACATTGTGCACATTGTGCTGCTGTCCATGTTGTCATGACAACCACTTCAAACTAACACGTGACTAACACGTGACGCTTTCATCAAATATTAATACTCTCCTGCTCAACTTAGGTTGTAGTTAGGAACTACTGAACGAGTTGACCTGCTGGCGATATGATTGCATAATATCATCATCACAAATGTTTCTTTACGGTCAATATCCGTGGTCCGAGGCCATGTGAACGGTAGAAGAGGATGTAAGACTAAATAATCTCCAGTGTACGGTGTTGTTCCGGTAAACTACCATCCTGGGAAAATGAGTCTATTTCAATAAACAGATCGTCTCTTTATCCCATGAGAATTTGTTGGTTTTGATGAGTTTTGGACTAATGAACTAAGAGACGTAGTGGGACTTTACCAGCGATCCTACCACTATTATATCTGTGTAATTTGGCATCACAAACACTCCTCCAGTGCCTGGAAAGTTTTAGTAAACACTGTCCAAGAACTTCTCTAAATCTTTCTAAAGATTCATAATATGGGTTGCTACTTGCTGAGGGTTTTTAAAAGTCAGACTACAGCTTTCAAAGCACACCACAAGCAAGATCTCCATAATTAAACGTGAGTTTATACGTATTGTGGCTATGTGGTTTTACATACTAATCTTCGGTCACGTGTGCTCACATGTCACGTGTGCTGACATGTACACTCACACACTTACTGTAGAACAGAATAGTTGGTCCAATAACGAACTAATGTTTCCTCTTGTCGTTAAAAACCTCCAACAACCTCTTGAAATTAAGAGGCATCTGCCCCAATGAATGTAACTTATTCCTAAGTTCTGAGCAGTAAGTAGCTATCTATTTACCTACTGTTACGTAGTTTCAATACCTAGGTAACATCCTGGCTGAAAACATACAGCCTCTGGTTTCTTCAGAAAACGAGACAAAATATTTTTACCGAGCCAAATCAAAACATTTTAAACAATTTCACATTACCCTTTACTTCTGTTTCACCAAATGCACTTTAAGTTTTACTATTTAATTAAATTTTACTTTCACTACCTGTTTAGTGTTTAACTTCTAAAATTTTCCCGTTTCCCCAGTCGACACAGATGCCCGCACTCACCAGCCAAACCTAAAGTGGAAAAGCAGTGTCTTTTAACAGAATATAAAAATGTTTACACTGGAAAATCGGCGGAACGGGCCATGCCAATCAAACCTCAGGTTTGTTCCCATGTTCGTTTGTTCGTTTGTTCGTTTGTTTATGCGATTGTTTATTATTTTATGTGATTGTTTTTGAAGTACATATAGATAATTTTAAAATTTGTTTCTAAAATGTACTTGTCTCTCTTTTTTGTCTTTATATAAAGATTTCTTTATGGGTATCTTTATTACTTTGTTGGCTGAACTTACATCACAATGTATGATTATGTTTTAATTAATTAACTGTAAATTACAGGTGGTATTGAATCCCAACCCATCTCCGTTCTCAAAAGACACAACTACTAATCTAGCATACATCGCTCACCAGGTTCATCCTCCCATGCAAAGAGAAAAACAGGTTATTAAAAATAGTTTATTTGGAATTTATTATTAACTTTTTGAGGTGTGGTGATGCCATACAGTACCCACTTTACTATATGCTATTTTTGAGTGATTGTGATTGTGATACAAAAACATGCCAAGCTTTTACTTCACAATATGTGGTTAGGCAATTCGGTAAATCTGTCGGTGGACACTTACGGGACGAATAAGGCACGATTAAGTTTACCTTAGGAGTCCGTATATTAATCATGCCTTAAACGTCCCTTAAGTGTGCGTGTGTGCTATCCGTGCCTTCAGTGTCCCTTAAGTACATCCACAGCCAAATTACCGAATTCCCTTTTGTCTGCAATGTTTCAGTTAAAATACCCTTGCTTCAGGTTTGGGTACCCTCCGCAGTGCCACTTGGAGAGCAGCACAACAGTACGAGACCACTTCGTCAAACACGACCACGTGCCCACTAAATCCAAACGACCTGTGAGCAAAATCTTCATATTTAATGAGATGTAAAACTGCAACTTACCTAATTTATAAGATACTAAGATATTCTGTTTTTCATCAGAAAAAATATCTTAGAAATAAAATGAGACAAATCTCTGACACGATGTCTGTCCCGACCCCAGGAGATGTCCATACACCGGAATCCTGGCAAGATATCCGAGCTGACATCCCACCGTGCTGACTACACATTGAAACACGCTGACAAGGTCACCCCAGCAGGGGATTACAGCAGTTTGACGTGTGTGCCAGGCCCTTTCGATAGTGAGTACTTTTTAACGTATTAAATTCTAACATATTCTGCTGACGTATTCTTCTTACGTATTCTTTGCGTCACTCAAAATTCAGTGCAAATCTCACCTACCTTACTCGGGAATATTATAGCGGGTTAATTTATGACTGGGAAAATCAATAACCGGGAAAAATATGGCGGAATTTCCCAAAACCCGCCAAATTATCCCGGTCATGTATTTACCGGTGGCCGACCTTTCAAGTTTTTTTTCAGAGGTCAACAAATTTTCAACCGAAATTTCTGTTTTTGTTACTTGTTAAAGAAGTTATTTCAATTTACAGTTACTGATATTACTCAGAAATAGAAAAAACAGACACGTCTAGTATTTAAAGGAAAATAAATCTATAGCAATAATAAGTCAAATCTTCATTAAAGCGTATTCTCATTCTCATTATCGCTAATGTCCCCTCCATTATCATTATTGATATCCCCCTGCTGCTGACCGTCAAATTCGAAGTTGCATTGTTGTCTTAACAAGACTTTCATTTTGTCCGCTAATGGGGCTACTGCTCTGAAGGTCAGCCGGAGCTTAATTTCCTGCCCACCGCTTGGTATTGGGGAATGTCTTGGCTTTGCATCTTCAACTGCTCCAGTAATCAATCCACCGTGGACCATGAAATAGTGGCACAGTTTACTCACTTCATGGGCAAGAAAAGTGAGAATCACGGTCCACCCTGAAATCTGATTTCTATAACCAAATTGTGATTTTTATAACGAAATTATGGTAGCAACCGCCAATAAAGTTACAGCCCTCCATCCACTGCTTCAAAAGTCTTCTTTAGCACATATGAGACTTCAGGTAAAATATGATGATCACCACCCCCTTGGAACCCCATAATCTGAGTCGGCGGGTTTTTTTATGACTGGTAAAATTTTTGACCGGGAAAAATATGGCGGAATCTTCCAAAACCCACCACTTTATCCCGGTTATAATAATCCCGAGTAAGGTAGTTAGTATTGAAGATAAAGTATGCCTAGTATGTTGATAAAAAGCATTGAATTTATCGTTTATCTATGGATTTAAATGTCCTGAAGCAAAAGCTTATAATATTGATTAAAAATTGCATTTGTTTTTTAACATGATCTCAAGAACATGAGTTTTATTAATTCGTCAATCTAAGCTAGTCCGCATAAATTTGAACAATCGCCATCGTTCTTGATTCTGTGGAAAATAATCCTTTCATCTGTCGCAACTTCACATCACGAAAATTCTAATTTTAACAAGCAAACATGCGAAAAAAAAACTGTCTAGAGCTTAAAAATCAAAATGAATAGCTGCTTGTTAAGAGCGCAACCTTTTTAACAAGGTAAAAACTTCTAGCTTCACTTAAATACACTGCCCTCACTGGGAGTGGAGATGAAGTGTTATTTGTTGATTTGCTTGTCGCTTTTAGATGAGAAAATACTGGGGACACTATATTGGAGCCACGTATCTGGCAAGGTATGTTTTTAGCAGATGATTGTATCATAAATGTGGTCGTGCTCAACGTTATTAACAGCAAGTATGTCACTGCCAAAACCATGACTAATCAAAAATAATGAGAGAAATAAGAATAAACATAATGTTTGTGCCTCTGTCAGATTATAAATACATAAGTGGTATAAGTGCGAGAAGAACCTTTTTTTAGCAGCTTTGATAATCAATAAGTATGTACGAACAACTACGAAGAATAACTCAACGAATGGGACTGGTACAGCATGCGACTATTTGGTATGTTAAATGCGTGCCTATCGTTACCAAGAACCGTTAGTCGTAGTGTCGTCGCCTCACGCCTGTACTATGATGAACATTTTATTTAGTAGGCTTTTTGAAACCTAATTCAAGAATCTCATAGTCATTACATGTTTCTATTATTCGAAGTAACGTCATTCATAAACTGGGTTCTATCCAACTATTTCGTTTAATCTGTCTTAAAATCTTAGATCATATATTGATGATGCTCATTTTTCTTTTGTTACGAATCTTTCTTGGCTTTAGGCGAGAATTTTTGACGAGGAATACTGCTTTTAGTTTTATCATTAATTTTTCTTTCGATATATAATAGGGTTTAAATTGCTATTCGATTCCCTGCTATGCCACAATTTACATCATTTCAACGACCTTTTTTTCCATCGCCAATTAATAGCAAAACTTTGGTCTTTTTTAAATCGTACATATAATAGAGAGGATTTCTAATCTAAGACTTTATCTGACTGCACTCCTGCAAACTTGCATATTCTCATATATATCCAGTTAAATATAGTAAAAATTGACAATAAACCAAACCTATGAGAACTTACTGCACACAATACATGAACCCTCCTCACATAGGTTCAACAACCCAGAAGTCAGACTATGTAGAATACCACGCACGGCCCCGCTCTAGTTACACCCCGCACCGAGAATACAAGAAACCCACCGTACCCATGGACGGACTAACAAATCACAAGAGCGACTATGCTGCCTGGGACCTACCCAAGAAAAGTGTCAGGTTAGTGATTATTTCAGCTGGGTTGAGGATTTTGCCCCGTTCTGCTAAGTTCTCGTCTTGAGAATCGAGACACAATTTCTAGTTGAATTGGACAAAGCTGGAATTTTTCATCTCTACACCGTGTTTTCACAGTGATTAAATAACTGCCAAATAAATGCCTCGAATTTTACTTCCCCTAATTGTATACTATCATTAGTATTATCATTACATCCCAGAAAGTCGATACAGTTTGTGCCCACAACGGGTAAAACAGGAACGACCACCTTCCAGAATGACTTCACTGGTCGACCAACTAGACGACCATCACCTTGTCTACCTCAGCAGGGTAACATGGAACGGGGCGAGTTTTACGGGTAAATAACACACTTTTAAATCTTATGTTAATTTCTTAATTGGTTAATTTTTTAATTAATCTGATTTTACGACCTAAAAATGGTCATTTAGTAACAGATCTTGCAACATTCCACAACTTTCTTATCTCCATAGCTCAACTACATTCCGTGAGAACTTTGTAGCGTGGCCAGTGGCTCCCCCCAAACAGCGGGTCCCCTCTGCTCACATTCCTCCAGATGGTCCCCTGGAGAGTAAGACTTGTTACAGGGACGACTTTGGGGCTAAAACCGCTCGACCGGTAGGGTTCACACTTGTGACTGATTGCTAGTTTTTATCATTCTGACGTTTGTAACGGTCACAGTGATGACAATTAATTAATAGTAATAGATAACTGAAATATAGGATAGTTATGAATGGAGATCTTTCAGAGATTAACTGTAAACCCCCAAAAGGTGAGTTGCAAGCCAAGACTGGAGTACAGACGTCCCTCTGGTGCCATGGCAACAAGCACGACCCACCGAGATACATTCCAGGGATGGAATGTGAAACCAGCCACCCCAGCTCAGGACTACCACGTGAGGACCACACCACCACCCTTCCAGGGTCTCAGTACTTACAAGGTTAGTCAGGGTCTCAGTACTTACAAGGTTAGTCAGGGTCTCAGTACTTACAAGGTTAGTCAGGGTCTCAGTACTTACAAGGTTAGTCAGGGTCTCAGTACTTACAAGGTTAGTCAGGGTCTCAGTACTTACAAGGTTAGTCAGGGTCTCAGTACTTACAAGGTTAGTCAATAGTCAGGGTCTTAGAACTTACAAGGTTAGTCAGGGTCTTAGAACTAACAAGGTTAGTCAGGGTCTCAGTACTTACAAGGTTAGTCAGGGTCTCAGTACTTACAAGGTTAGTCAGGGTCTTAGAACTAACAAGGTTAGTCAGGGTCTCAGTACTTACAAGGTTAGTCAGGGTCTCAGTACTTACAAGGTTAGTCAGGGTCTCAGTACTTACAAGGTAAGTCAGGGTCTCAGTACTTACAAGGTTAGTCAGGGTCTCAGTACTTACAAGGTTAGTCAGGGTCTCAGTACTTACAAGGTTAGTCAGGGTCTCAGTACTTACAAGGTTAGTCAGGGTCTCAGTACTTACAAGGTTAGTCAGGGTCTCAGTACTTACAAGGTTAGTCAGGGTCTCAGTACTTACAAGGTTAGTCAGGGTCTCAGTACTTACAAGGTTAGTCAGGGTCTCAGTACTTACAAGGTTAGTCAATAGTCAGGGTCTTAGAACTTACAAGGTTAGTCAGGGTCTTAGAACTAACAAGGTTAGTCAGGGTCTCAGTACTTACAAGGTTAGTCAGGGTCTCAGTACTTACAAGGTTAGTCAGGGTCTCAGTACTTACAAGGTTAGTCAGGGTCTAAGTATCTACAAGGTTAGTCAGGGTCTCAGTACTTACAAGGTTAGTCAGGGTCTCAGTACTTACAAGGTTAGTCAGGGTTTCAGTACTTACAAGGTTGGTCAGGGTCTCAGTACTTACAAGGTTAGTCAGGGTCTCAGTACTTACAAGGTTAGTCAGGGTCTCAGTACTTACAAGGTAAGTCAGGGTCTCAGTACTTACAAGGTTAGTCAGGGTCTCAGTACTTACAATGTTAGTCAGGGTCTCAGTACTTACAAGGTTAGTCAGGGTCTCAGTACTTACAAGGTTAGTCAGGGTCTAAGTATCTACAAGGTTAGTCAGGGTCTCAGTACTTACAAGGTTAGTCAGGGTCTCAGTACTTACAAGGTTAGTCAGGGTCTAAGTATCTACAAGGTTAGTCAGGGTCTCAGTACTTACAAGGTTAGTCAGGGTCTCAGTACTTACAAGGTTAGTCAGGGTCTCAGTACTTACAAGGTTGGTCAGGGTCTCAGTACTTACAAGGTTAGTCAGGGTCTCAGTACTTACAAGGTTAGTCAGGGTCTCAGTACTTACAAGGTTAGTCAGGGTCTCAGTACTTACAAGGTTAGTCGGCAGATGGTTAGTGGCAAGTTGGTATGAGAGCAAATTGGACCTCGTACGTTTGTTATGATATATAAGTTGCCTGTTGCCGTCTGGTAAATTACAATAAAGTACAGCACCCAACTTTCGGTGGATAATGCAGATGGTTTGATCACGTGATAAAACTGTTAATTATCAGGAGCACTACAACGAGTGTGCAGGACTGCCAGCCGGGCTTCTCGCTCCCCCCAACACTTACACTAAGTCAGACAAACCTCTTGATGGGATAACTACTTACTCGGTAAGTTCAGCTCTGTTGTTCTGGAACCCTGTGGAACTTTCTTGATTAGAAATATTCATAAACGACTTTCACACAAGTCTAATTTATTCTGTCATTCTAAGAAATCTATAAACTCACTCAATATATCTCATATTAATATAATTATCTCCAAATCTCGAAACACCTCAAAATCTCTAAACCATCTCTCCTCCTCAGCGAGATTTCAAGAAGAAAGAGAGGACAGTGTGCCTTGTGCCCCGCCTCCCACCCACACCCGACCTACTCAAATCAGGCCACAAATTCTACAACAGCTCTGTTAATAACAAGCTATCTGCTGCAAGGGTCGTTCAACCTACCGTGGCTTAGTCAAACACAAGGATATTTTTTGTAGGAACAGTGTGGTACACAGTGACATTTTTTTGTAGAGACAGGCTCAAAGACGACGGAGATATTTTTGTAGAGATAGCATTATAATCCATACTTGTTAATATTCAGTGTAAAATAGTGCCTGTGTGTTCATATCATGTAAAATATTTCTGGATTTTCATTTCTTACCGTTCTGTACAGTAGGTCTAACATTGATTCTGTTCATTTTATGTTCATTTTCTGTTCATTTTATGTTCATTTCTGTTCATTTTCTGTTCATTTTCTGTTAATTTTCCCTTAAATATAGATAGTATCTAGTAATGCGTTTTAAAGATCTTTACGACCTTTTTTTGCACAGAGAATATTATTTGACTAGATGATGTTTAAACCTTAATTTAGAATTTTGAGTTTCTGACAATGACTTTACGAGAGCTCCTTTAATCTTTAACCTTTGATTACACTCCCGATAGTCCACAACTTAGCTGGAATGTGCAATTCATCTCGTTTTGACATAAAAAAGAAGATAATTTTAGCTGTAATTGGGCTTCTGACTTTAGGTTTAGTTTTCAGAAGTACCTTATTTAGAGGCTGGTTATCTAATTCACCTTGATTGTGGAATTGAGGGGTAAAATATTTTCAATTATTGTGTAGTAGTAGTGTTTACTATCGATGTTTATAAATGCTTTAAGCTGTGTTTTACAAGACAGTGTCTTTAATTAATATTATTATTATTGTACATAGTATTTTATGGTAACATTATATTTTTGTTGACAATCCTAGTTTCTTGTTTTACCGAAGGGATTATATATTGAGCTCCTTGGTTTCACCAACCTAGAAATTGTGTAGATCTACAGGTATTGGTCATTCAAGAAAAATTGAGTAAAAACAGTGAAATTTGGTCGCGGAGAAAAATGTCCTACCGGTAGGACATTTTCATAATTTTCCTTTCATCAAAGTTTTCTCCGGATATTTAGCATCCAATACCTCGATGGTGACTTGTGTCCTTCACACTGACCTCACTGATTGGTCAGTCAAAACTGTAAAATCTCGTTCAAGGAAACGGCAGAAAAGATTCTATTCAAAAATTTTCCAAAATGTCTCCTTCCCTTCTGTTCTGATGATTTTCCGTTTATCAAAGCTTTCTTGGTATTATCTAACTTTCAGTACCTGACTTTTTGCAACACAGTGCAAGTTATCTCAGTACCATCCTCAAATATCACATTTTTATCGGTTGAATCCTAGAATCAAAAACTTTGCAATTAAACTATCGAGCCAAAATGATTTGATCATTGCCCTAAATCGATTTATCAGCGATTTTCGTTAACAAGATTAAGATAGGGGTGCAGCTGAAAATTTTTCTGCTGCTTCAGAAATTGTTGTAAATTTGTAATTCTGCCACCTGATTGATGTGAACTAATGATTGCCCAAACATTGAAATTATCAAGCCACATGTTTATGGCATGGTCAATGGTGCTGAGTCATATCATGAGCTTCTATGTACATCCAAAAACTGCAAAACACAAAACTTTTTAACTTGAAGTAAACTGATTTCTTAGAAGTTCTTGTTTATCACTTGTCTGTCGTAGAGGGCACTTACTTCTATGTTTTTTTCATTAATGGGACATTGGGGAGTAGGGATGGAGTTGACCGCACTCCAGGATCATCAGCCGGATCAGATCCGCGGCAGTGGGACCCCTAGTCCTGTCAAATCCTGTCATTCGACAGGGTTTAATAGAGCTAAGAGGCTGGCACGAAGAGCAAGCAGTTGAGCTTGCTCCCCCCACTGTGACCCAGAGGCAACGTGTTGCATGGGCCGTAAAACGGACTTAAAATAGAATAAAATAAAATCATAAATGTCCGGAGACGTGGTGTAAAATAAAATCAGTGTCCGTAGACGTGGTGTAAAATAAAATCAGTGTCCGTAGACGTGGTGTAAAATAAAATCATAAATGTCCGGAGACGTGGTGTAAAATAAAATCAGTGTCCGGAGACGTGGTGTAAAATAAAATCAGTGTCCGGAGACGTGGTGTAAAATAAAATCAGTGTCCGGAGACGTGGTGTAAAATAAAATCAGTGTCCGGAGACGTGGTGTAAAATAAAATCAGTGTCCGGAGACGTGGTGTAAAATAAAATCAGTGTCCGGAGACGTGGTGTAAAATAAAATCAGTGTCCGGAGACGTGGTGTAAAATAAAATCAGTGTCCGGAGACGTGGTGTTAAATGAAATTATAAATGTCCGAAGACGTAGTGTAAAATAAAGTCGATAACTTTAGATTTATACTCCAAAGCTGAAGTTACTAAAGTCATAGTCTTTAGACATCCGGAAACTGTAAAAGTTTCGGACTCTAGTCCAGGTGTCCGCATTAGTTGGTGAACAGTCGTAAGTCCGTTCCCACTCCTCGGCTGGATCTTCGATGTCAATCACAACCGAATCATTGTGGTGATTAGCAGTGGCATCTATTACCCTAGTGGTCTGGCAACCCACCTCACTACAGTTGTCCTTCTTCGATCTGTCCAAATCAACTAATGTTGAGTTGTTTCTCAAATATATGGTCGATGGAAGTTCGGCGGCTTCCTCGCTCACCTTGATTGCCACCGTATTGATGAGGCGGGCAAACATCATGTATCGTTGTCGGGTTTTCTCCTCAAGATAGTGGAGTTCCTCCATCAGCTTGCTAGCGTAGCTGATAGTAAAGCTCCTTTCCCAGCCAAAACAACAGAACACTGCTGTTCCTCCTCCCATCGTTATGATGCCAAGTAGCACCATAGCAATCAGAAACATTATTGCAATGATTTCCATCTTTATAATTCGTTGTTTATGAAAGGAAAGAATTGAGTAATGGAAATAAGACAGAGAATGTGTGTTGTCATGGCCTTTATATACAGTAAGCATCGTGCACGTGCAGATTTCTTTGGTCGATAGCCAGATTACAGAATTAAACGTGCGTTTAACAAACAATACATTTGTTGGCATGGTAATTTGTCCAGTTTGCACGTGTACTTTCGAATATTTGCTTTTCAGCAATGTCCTAACGACTCTGAAGTTCGAAAGACTGAGAAATATGACTAGATCTCTTGAAAATAAAGATAGCTGGGTAACTTTATGTAACCCGCGATGATAAATTTATGCGCGCGCAAACAATCCCTTAAACCACGCGCCAATGCAACTGCATGATGCAGTCTAGTACAGTATACAGATTGTCCCAAAATGAAAAGAACGGAATTAAAAACTGAAAATTAGAATGAAAATGGGACAATATGTTTCTTCAATTTTCTTCGGATTTTGACTTCCGGTACGTCAATTTGGGCAAACAGTCTATCCAATCTGTTAAATTTGTGTTGAGAAAACATATTCGAAAACGGAAAATGTGAAATGGGACAGAAATTGGGAAATATGCATTTTAATTTTGTTAAACTTTCTGCAGTGAACCTTCCTCCGGCAGAAATCAAACTTCTATTCTAGAATCTCAATCGTGTCATTTGCCATTTATAGTTGACTGACTTATTGGTTGCGGGTGAGAAATTCAGTAAAAACTGTAAAATTGAGGAAATATGGAAATTTCATCTTCAAAACTGAAAATGGGAGCGACTCTCAATGAAAGTTCTCAGGTTTACAAATTGAATTTGTAAAGGACCCTTAGGTAACAAAAAGGATTATATTATTTAACAAAATCAAAATTAGGTATATAGTAGAGTTGACCGTGGCCAGTGTAGTGCCAGTGTCTCCTTAGCTTTTCCAAACAAAAAGAAATGATATTTATTGACTTAAATTACCGTTCGCAAACTCGATAGATGATACCGAGAATGAATTCTGTCGCTAACTTTTCCCATTCTTCAACAATTGATGATTCATTGTACGCTAGATTTTCCGTAAGCAACCCAAAGAGATTTCGACAGATTTCGGCACAGTATTAAATTATGTATGATTTGGTTGAAATCAGGAGCTCTCACAACTGAACCCCATCCTTGTTGTTAGCAACCATCCCTAAACCTCAAACCCATTAGTCTGATGATATGTTAACAGCCCTTTAAAATGTTATATTATTGTTCATGATTGTTGTACATTGAGAATCACTGTTATCGCAACGATTTTTTTTTCAGAAACTAAAACATTTGTGATTAGAATTTTAGAAACAAAATGAATAGAACCAAAATAGACGAGATAACTATCAAGGCTAAAAATATATGCATGTTTCAATCAGGCCATTTGAAAAATATACAATCAAGACAAACGATATACATGAGAATGTGTTTCGAAAATCATGGGCCCATTGTACTTTTATCATATCTATACTCCAAAGCATGGTATAAAAATTTGGACTGAAATACCAAAATAACAAGTCGACTCCAAATATGTGTCCTATTTTGACTAGATCCCAGAACCGCCGACATATTCTCAAACTGCTCTCAGTATCTTGTTCAAGTGAACCAGTCACACATTCGGTCTGAATTGAATTGTCCAAAGCGAGCAGAATTGACATTTTTCCATTGTTGCAATTGTACTGTGTGTAAGTACTAATCAGTCTGGTTTCAATGATAGAAACAGTCCAAGTGGCGTATACCGTGGGAAGACAGAGCAGAGATAATTTTTAGGGATTTGAAAGTGTAACAAGACTGTGAAGGGAAATGTTCTGATATAATACTTGACTGATCACATGAAATCTAACAAGTCAATGTTCACTTCAAACTAAAAGACGTGGTAATATCACCTAGAAACCTAAAAGCCAGAGTTTGACATCGGACATCAACCATTTTCAAATCCTCTGTACATGCAATTGATCTCCAATATGACTTAAAACTATTGAAAATATTTCAACTCTATATATCGAGCAGAAAGATAAAAACGTATGATCCCAATCATATTTCAGACTCAGCCATGCTCAAATGTCACATGTAAATTTCCATGAAGACTCCCAACACTATAAAATAGGTACAACCAGGCTGTGACTGGCTAAAGCTGATCTCACTCTCTATCTCTTTCTCATTTCTTATCAAAAACAGGCGGATCGGAATAAATCGTGTTGATGATGTCGTCAAGAATCTCCGGAATCTCGAATTCGTCATGATTTGAAGGACACGGAGAAATAGTTTTACAATCGTAGGGCACCAAACGGTCGTTAGTCAGACTACACATAACCGGTTCTAACGAATCCTCCTCAATAATCAAATGATCCAGGTCCTTTTCGTAGTCGTCAGCGTCAACTGTTTCAATAAAAGTGGTAATAGGAATATCAAGATCCTTAGGTAGAGGCTCCTTTGGTAGAAGTCTCTTCTCCTTAGCCACCTCGCACTTCATGTCCCTTATCAGGTTAGTAAGAGAAGACTCGGGGGTTGTCATGTCATCTGTCCTAAGGGATTCGAGGAGAGGGGAGGGAGCAGCTTCGCTCCTTTCTATTGTTGGTATACAGAAGTCCTGTTTCATGACTTGTTTCATGATCTCAGCAGACAGCTCCGATTCTTGTTCACCTAAAGGGTCGTCAGGAATTGACTTTTCCGGCGGGGACCCCATAGTCCTTTATCGAGGAAGAGTTGTTGTTCACTGCACTTGATCTCTTGTTCTTTGAGGGCTCTACGTCAGCGTTCTCTGAAAATTAATGTGTCTTTAGGTTTAAAACTAATAATAATATTAATATCATGTTATAAAAATCTAGACTTTATTTAGACTAACACAACAATTTTAAAATGGGTTATCTCAGAATTCATAATTTCGTTAAATTAAATAACTGCAAGTCACAGAATGTTTGTCAAACCCAAGTTCAGATCTATAAAGTCAGTCTTATTAATGACGTCCGGGGAGTCCAAAAAGTCGCTCTGTAGCACTCATGAGTCTGGCCATGTTAAGTTTAGAGGCGTGATTAGAAACTTGTTTTGTAATGGCATTGTGAATAAAGGTCTGTGGTATGTTTTGTCCATTGGTTGAAACTTTTGGAGGAATCTCAAATATTTGGTCTGTTTTGTAGTATTGTAGGTCTTGTAAGAGCTGCTTAAGCTCATTGTCCAGTTGTTGGTCTCTCTTTTCTAGAGCTTGTCCTGTAAGTAGAATAAGTCAGTAATAGTAATCATTCATAAGCGCGTCAAGTTAGTAATCAACTAACAAAGTCAAGTGCAACCGTTTGTCGTTTTGAGTGGAGAAATAAATTCGCAACTCATCCCATATCACTACCATACTAGATGATATACTTGAGTCTGGACACCTTTGGCAGCCCCTAATGGCTCCAAACCGACCCAATGGTTACGTTAGATATGCTATGACCAGTTGTGTTTGTTCAGATATCTAACTTTTTTTTAATCAAGACACTTATTTTACTTCGGAGTATTCCAACAGCCACATTTATTGTTACACAAGTGCAACCAGCCAATTACAGGAAGCCGAAGGATTTGTTTTTAGCCAGTGACGGTTAAGGTAGTGTGTACCATACTTTCTTCGCCCGAGACTTTGCTGCAATGTGCAGCTCCTCATTTAACCCTCACACCCGATTTCTCGAGTATTCGGCTGAGTAGACCGGGGGGCTGCATAGACCACTCAGGATCCTTAGCTAAACGTCAACGACGCTCACCCCACGACCAGGCAGACAGTGGGATTTGAACCCGCAACCTCACGATTGCAAAGCTGGCGTTCTAACCAACTGCGCTACCTAACGTGCATTATCAGGGAATCTTCCGTTGAAATCTCAAGTTTAGCACAGCGAATTATGGGAAAGCCATCACAAACACCACCCACATATTACCACAACACAATCACAAATCTAACTCATGAAAATTATTTTCGGTGACGTACTCAACTCACAATTGGCGCAGAACCCTGATTCTAAACTCTTAGCTGAAATGTCTCCAGAATAAAGAATTTAATGAAATGCAAATCGCCTAGTTATTTCTATAACCATATTAGTCAATAACTATCTTGGTTCCCAACTAAAGGAACCAAGATGAATTGAGACCAGAATTGTTAAGAGATTTAAAACCCTTATACCCGGGGCATCAAAATCTGTTTAAATCCACTTCTATCGGACAAAAAACTCACTAGACAACATTTGCAATATATTATTACCTTAACACGAAATTAGGTGACACTGGGAAACATTAATCAAATATGCTGAACTCAAGAACAAGTCTCAATGTGTAAGGTTCTATGAACCAACCCCAACATGACGTCACAACATGACGTGATGACGTCACAATTTACACGTGATACACCACATGATACACCACATGATACACATGAGCCTTACTCAGGTCCGTCTCTCTCTCTAATCTCGGAGCTAAAGCCTTACTTTTCCATTTATCGAACATGATCCCCAGAGATTCCTTCTTGCACAGGTACCAGCTCTGGGCGTCCAGCGGTTGAGGATGTCTGTCGTCGCTCTTGATGATCTTCGAGCACACGTCGAATGACGTCATCACGTGCCAGCCTTTGAATGACAGTTTCTGAAATAGAGGACGGTTAATTTAGAAATCACGTTGAGTTCGACAGTCAAATTGATTGCGAAGGGAAGTAAAATTTATGTTAGATGGAGTCGGCAGCTGAGGTCACTGAAATAAAAAAATACAACAAGCTTCGTTTAGTTTTCACCTGCAGAATGTGAGCTAGAAGAGACCTGACTTTGATACCCTCGTCACTAGATAAACCAGTCCAGGGGGCTCCGTGCAACTTGAACTCCCAACAGTTCCTGAACGTTTTTATGTTACACACGCGAAAAAGACACTGGAAACTGTAGGATGGTGTCCGTATCACAATCTTAATGAATAAGACTGTGATACGAAGTTATAAAGTTATCTTATTAAGTTGATCCATTAATCATAATATCCCAAATGACCCACCTGAAGTTGCCCTCCCTGACGATGCCATTTGTTCCAAGTCTCTGTGTAATGACAGTCCTGACGGTACACTTCACATCATCAGTAGCCGAGATGAGACGTAATTTATCCTGAAAATACAGTCATTTTTATCAGAGACGTTTCCGATTCAGTTTTTCTTAAGGAATTGACAGATCTATACGTATTCTCTTTTGTAATTTTCCATCAAAAGAGAGCAAAACGACGACTTAAAGAATGTTTTGTTCAAAAACTGACCTCATCATCAAAAGATATGCACATAGGGGACACGTCGGAACTTGCCTCCTTCTTGAACAGGAGTGTTCCCTTATTTTCGAGAGATCTGGTCGCACTGATAAAGTTGTGAATCCTCCACCTGTTCAATGTAAATACTGTGAGGCTTCATCAGCAGTGTTTGTTATACAAAATATTATATTATTTTCATTGCAGGATGCACGTGTTCAGTGCATTGTCGTATCACTCCATTGGGTAGAATTTGAAAGGTTTTGACACCGTACCGCTCGCAGCAGTACTGAAATGCAACATTTTTCTAACTAGCAGTCATTACTACAGGTCCATATCCTATAATATCTAGTGTCCTAGTGACTCAACTCTAGTAATATATTGTTACGAACCCTTTCTTCTGAAGCATAGCCAGCAGAGCACAGATCAGTAATTTGCTGTCAATTCCATCCGTACTGTCCGACCAAAACGGCTTCCCATTCAGCTGAGTAAAAATACGGCAGTCAGTAAATGAGAAAATACATTCATAAAAAAGTTTCTAACGGCCATAGGAATAGGATCCTTATAAAACATTTCCTCTCTGACGACAGATTACTAAATGGTTCATTACAAAAGGTAGCTAAAAGTAGACATTTCGGCACTTTAAAAGTCAAAACAGACGTCTGCTTACAAAATACCACCACTCCTTACAGATCACAGTTAACGATTAATTGATCTGATTAATAAGAATGACCTACCCTGAACTCAATAGTGCCGTGTATTTTTCTCGTTCCTTCCAGTCCTGGTTCCCAACTTTGGTTGATGAAGTTTTCAATATCATTTTGTATATTTGGGTCACTGCAGTGAATCAGCCTCAGTCTGTTTTTGCCTGAACACGGGTCCGGTCATAATGATTAACATTATATCGATAAACTCGGGGTTGTAAATTGAAATTCTTTCAGTTCGTATTGCATGGTACACTAAAAAGGTTTCCTCGAAGGTTAGATTTTCCATAGAAATTTTCCTCAAATGTTGAATTTAAAATGGAAAGGTCCAGGTAATTCCAAGAATATTGAAATGTGTTGCCTTACCGTAGAAACTGATAGAAAGGAAGCATCCGACAAGATCATCAAATTTCTTCATTCTCTTCTGCTTGAAGAATATGGTATCCCTAAAGTTCTTGACTCGGGCTATAGTGCTCACGTCCCAGCCAAGTAAGCCTAATAAAGGCTGTGTTAGTTGATGAAATGTCATCACCTACAACAGCCGTGTTAGTTCAACCGTTGGTTAGTGCAAAAACCCAATGCCAGGAAAAATAATATGTATTTTAGTACAATCCTGAATTGCATAAACACCAAAAATAGCCTTAACTTTAAATGTTGAATAAATATTTATAGTTAAGGCTACATTAAACAACACGACTATTATTTTACTAGGATAATAAATAGTCACTTCATTACCAATGGTGTAGACAAGACGGTGGACCAGAGAACTAGCTTGGATTGAGGCAGACTTCCCATCCGACCAAGGTTCCCCCTTCAGCGTGAATATTGTTCCATATTTGTTCCTGGATACCCTCAGGACACCTGTCATTATGAAGTGTTAATTTGTGGTTACTTGAGGTTACTTGTGGTTACTTGTGGTTACTTGTGGTTACTTGTATCAGCCTAGTGTACTCCTTATTTACTCATTACTTTCTTCTCAGTGTGAGATACAGAACATTTAACAGCTGTACTGTTTAACTATTTGTCACGTGATGGAAGGAGGGTCTGAATGACAAAATGTAAGTTGTTTATTTGTCAGAATTAGCAGGATAATTAGCAGGATAATTAGCTGTGTTATTAGCTAATTAGCACGATCATTAGCATCATTAACAGGATCTTACCTTTAGACCAGTGGTTGCTAAAGATGGTATACAGTTGGTTTATCACGTGTTTGGGGGCGTTAACCACATACACTTTGTTCTTATCCGCTAGAGTTGCGCTGAACATCATTCTCTGTAATACGAACATGGTGTAATGGACTGATATCCTAGCTTGATATTATCACAGTACCAGACACGGTACGTCGGATCAACTTGTTCAGGTAAGATTTTAGACATAGATGAGTGAGGTTAAAAGAATAGCCATACAAGCATGAGGTTATGTTAAGCACCGCAGAGGTTTAAAATAGATCAAATCAAAAGATAGAGTATTAAAAAAGATTAGATAAGAAGGCTTTCATTCAATTTTAAGGGATCGTTTACATATTACGTCAGCACCGAGGCAGAGGGAGGGGGTTGAAAAGGGGGGAAACTGACGATAATGCCATATCTTTTATTATTTACACGATAGCTTTGTGTAAATATGCTTAAAGAGGGGGAACGTTAAAGGGGAGGCTTACTGACGTGATATGTAAACGATCCCTAAAAGCGTGGGATTTCGCCTCGAATAGAGGAGGTATGAGAGATAAGGGCTATTGATCAACTTGGGCCATGAGCACTGGCTCATGGTAGAATTTCGGATTTTTCGTTTCGTAAGAGAGGGTTGTAATAGTGATGCAGATAATAAATAGCGATCAGATCGATCAGATCAGATCAGATCTGATCAAAGTTAGCAGATCATTCAATGATCAAGGATTAGTTTGGAGGATTATGCTAAAAAAGTTAGATCAAGTTAAGATGGCGATGCACAAAAAGTAGTAGCGCTTGCAGCTCAGAATCATGAGTAATTGTAGAGCAGGTCCGACAGCGCCTGCGTGCTGTTCTCTCATGCTCCTTTACCGTCCCCGCTATTTACATTTCGTCGCCCACGAACCGGATCGTCACGATCAGTCATGGCCTTGGTACGTCGTTTTAAGAAGAAAGTGGACAGGTCCTTGCAGCGGGAGAGGTCAGTGGCAGTTTGGACGTCCCATCCAGCTACCTGCATCTCGTCCAACATGTAACAGATTAGAGAGTGCACCTGTGGGAAGTAGTTGTGGTTATTTACAAACTTGTAACTTTAAACTTGTAAAGTTAGTCTGGAATTCAACATTTGGAAACCTTGAAATATTGTATTCAGTCGAAATAGAACTGTCAATGGTTTCCTAATTGATAATTCAGTCAGCCGTTGAGCTATCATCTAATTAAATTTAGCAATGTATTATTTTTTCCTCTAACTTACCTGAAGGGATCGTTGATGAGAAAAAGAGTTCCAGAATGGCAGACCCTTGAGCCGATACTCCCATAGTGTATCTGTCTCTAGTATCTTAGAACCGCCTAAAGATAGACAGTGATCAAGTCAGGGATAGCATCAGAACATGAAATTACAAAACTTTTCCTTCGTTTTAAAAATTAAAAGAATTTACCGAATCTCGGTGCTGTAAATGTGTCAAGAATTTACAGTAAGAATCACCGCATTACCAAAAATTCCATAAAATTGACACAACAAACCTGGTGACCAGTGTTTCTCAACAGCTCGCTGGACGACTTCCTTGAGCTCCTTGGGAGCATGAATAAGACGGATGGATGAACATTCTCTGATTGCCAGGCAACACTGGGTAAGGTAATCCTCTGCAGGGGGGAGATCCAGGGACGAGGTCGTCACTCCCATACTGCATACCTGGAAGATGGTGGTCAATGATTTGGAGACGCTATTATCATGTGCCGGTTTGGTAAGAAACATAAGCTAATTTTAAGGTTTAAAATTTGTAGGCTCCCAGAAAAAGATTATTCCTCAATTCTGCTGACTGCATAATTCTAGCAGAATTCCGATATTTCGAAAACGTTCATTTCAAAGATGTACCGCAATTTTAGAGTTTTCACCATGTATGAGCTCTCGACACGTTTAAAGTTTTAATGCAATTAAGTTTAAAAAACAAATGTCCAGCTCCATGCAGGCACATGGTTTGACACCTTATAATTCATTACAAAATGGGTTGGCTGATGCTTCACCACTCCTGTTTCGTATATTGGTCAAATATAACAGAATATCATTAAACTGCATGCGGCAATTTAAATGAGCCATTTGCTGTATTCCAAGCATATACGATGGAAGCATCTCAAAACAGTTTAAATTGATAAAATTGCAGACAATAGGAAAATTATATTATGCCAAAAGGAAAACATCAGCAAAAAGCAACTCATGGCATAGCAGCCGCCCATGGCGATTGTGATCATTCTAAAAAAAATATATTTTAAACTGCTATATACAGGAACCACCAAGTCTGATCTTTAATAAATCTTGGTGAAAATGTAATAAAACAAGTGACAAACTGTCGGGTGCCATGACGGGATAAGAATCACTGAAAGAGATTTTAAATTGAGTAATTTAAAGTTATAATTTAATCACTTAATCTTGTTCCTTTGGAGAACGACAAAATAATTCAGCAGAACAACTTTGATTCGGTGAATGTTTATTGATGGTCACTTTGTTATAAAAGAGGATTTCTACCATACAAAAGCGTTTCATGCATTACAAATTCATGCCAAAGAAGCAGAAGGGCGAGCCACACGGAAATCAAGCACAAATACCTTGAAGCACTCGCGAAAACACGAACCAACCATTCAAACCAACTACCGTGAAAAAGTTGAAGCAGCATACACCATTTTATTGACAAGAAAACAATAGCCAGACTGATCGCCTTTTATAATTGTGACATGAATTTCTGTTGACTGTCTGACTGAAGCCGGTGAAATGTACTATTATTGTTACTCGAGCATCACCTGCTCGGGTAGACAAAGGCAGCAATACAATGCCAAAATTAAATGAGCTTTAGAACATGATGTATCATTATGTATCATTATCCTGTCCAAGAAAGTATTCATTATCGAGTGTTGGGAAGCACTCCCGTTTCCACACTGTTCGGCACCTCGTCACCCAAATTCCTTCTTCCCCACAAATCACCTCCCAAAGTGCAAAAATTTACCCTTGAGATGATTTTATAAACAAAATCGAATCATTACCTCTTACTGCTTACCTCTGACATGATAACAGCCTCCGTAACAACTTACAACATTGAACCAATCTAAAATAACCTCTATTTTTATATTTCACCCATGCAACTTTATTAAGTGATGAAAAGTTCGGTATTTGTGGAGGAGGGGGAAGATGGGGGACGCGCGACCTGTAGATAGAAGCTTTCATCCCTCTACATTCAACTCATCACTTTGTTACAAGTACTTGTTAAGTTGTTACAAGTTCTTGTTACAAGTTCTTGTTACAAGTTCTTGTTACAAGTTCTTGTTACAAGTTCTTGTTACAAGTTCTTGTTACAAGTTCTTGTTACAAGAATTGGGTAACTTCAGAGAGACAAGTAAATGAAAGTTTAAGTAATTGGGTTGGGTTATAAATGGTCAAGGATTTGAGTCAAGGGCCAAAGTAAGAGGTAAAATGTTAAAACGGAGGGTCGAGTGTCACACAGAAGTAAATACTAAGTCGTATGTTACTATATGCATATTGTATGCATATCTATATTCTATTTATAGATACTCAATCACAGGTTTGACACTCATTTACAGACTGTACTTTCAATACAAATTTAAAAATAAGTTATATTATATGATACCGTCGAATTCAAAAGTGTGCCTAGTCCGTTCTTCTCATCCAGATCACACTTTTACAGTAAGGTGAAATGTAATATACAGAGATCATCAACTAGTGAAATGCAGTGAAATGAGATGTTTTTCATACTTGGGTAGTGGTTATATCAATTACAAAATTCTTGTAACTGTAAGACATCTTGCCTCATCCTTAAATTGCCACCAAACATCGAAGAAAAATATGTAGTGGAGTGAGGAGCATTGAAGTCATTTCGGAGACAATTTTAACTTACAGTCATTAATACAACTTTTTAATAGATCATTAAGACCTTGTTTAAAAGGTAATAGTTAGAAATATGAATTATAAACCAAGCATTCTAATCTTTCAAGGAAAATCATGCAGCAAAACCGGTGAAAACATGTACATGGCACACCAACTTAGTACATCAATATAAGTCATATATATTGTTAATGTAAAGCAGTTTACTTTAAGCATGTATATTCACTATTCAGCAGTATATCTTAACAACATAACTTAACAACACATTTTCTTTATTTAGCCCAGCTGGGCTTATTGGATAGTGGTAACAAATTACATCATCACTAAGAAGACATGTAGATTGTAGCCTGTAGGGAAAGGTTATCATTCATTTCTTTCCCTAATACTATAATTCCTATATTCCAAAACAGCTATAATGCAAACTCAAAATGGCAAAGAGCCACATTGTGCTTTGACGCAAAAAGATAGCTAGCCTAAAAACTCATTGGAAATCAAACCAATTAGCTGGCATGGTAGCAATGCAGCAATAAAAAAACACGACCCTTTATCTCTTTATTTACTTGATCTAGCATGGCCCGTTTGTAGGGGGTACTCTCAGTAATTTCCTATGGTAACACACTTGATCTGTAATCCGATTCCACTTAACTTCCCACGACAACCATGGAAACCTGATCGAACTGACATGATATATCTCGTTATTACAAATGTGTAAGTAATAGGATAAATGAATCACAAAAGACACTAATTCGAAATACAGGTTGGGTTTAAAAGGGATCCAGTTTAAAAACTGGCGTTGCGTTTGTCAGTAAAGTCTACATGATATATTACCAGCAAGCTTCGGGAAAAGCAACATAAAAGGCGTGCAGCCCCGAGTTTAAAACATAACCAACCACCAATAACGTTGAACGACCTCGAAAACCAGTCACGGCAAAGTTAAAAATGATTTACAGCGAGCCTAACTGACGAGCCTGGCCGATGAGCTCACGCCACTTAGCAACTCACAGTCAGGTCTGGACTAGTGTGCATTGCCTCCGGGAATTTTACGGGTTCCGCTACATCACACGAAACAACAAACATACCTCCGGGTAACAATATACAAAACTGTCAGATTACGGGCACATACACGTCGCGAGGATGGCAACTAATTATCTTGTACGTGATGTAATTGTAGGTTTAACAATAGAAATATTCAGGTTCACAGCAACAAAATAGCATTAAGTGCAGCGTACAGCTAGAGAGAATAATGAACTGAGGTAAAGTGCCAGGTCTCTGGTCTGAGTAGCTGAGAGTGTATACTAGAGAACTAGATACTAATATAGTGATATAACGTAACACTATAAGCAATGCTGTAGTATATTGCTGGAGCTGGGACACATGAGGATAAGATACATATATTATTAATATTTCCTGTGACTTTAATTAATGACGTGAGGTAATGATGATTGTGGAGAGAATATGTTACTGTCAGAGTGTATCATCAGAGCTGCGCAGAGATCATGAATCAGGCGATAACAAGTGACTCGATACAATATAGTAAAATCAAATACACTAATATTTAATACACTACAATACGTCAGTCGTAGCATATTTTTAAGTAATAAACATATATAGACGTAAGATGTATTAATTTCTATTACATATACATGGCATGATAAAATTAAGAATACATGTAATATATTCCCAGGTGTGAATGCATTATCAAAAATAATTTACACGAAGTAACGTTTTGACCAGAAAAAATTAAGAACAGTTAGATAATTTTAGTTAACAATCGCATTACTGTCATCTGTGAGTGATAAGGTGCTTATCATTGGACAATGGACATTCATGAGCAGAGTATACAATGTGTGGGAGGTACAAATACAGTAAAACCGATTTAAAAATGATTAAAAATGGTAACATCGCCTGCATTTTTCGATGTACTGATTTATCTAATCGGTAACTTATTAAATTTCATAGAACTTCATGCAAATTTTTTACGATTTAACTTATCGGAGGTTTTTGAGTTTCAACGCGAGAATAAGCAATTACCATTCAAACTGGGGACGGGCCCGAATTAACTAACTAACTAACTAAGTGGACATGTGACATGGATAACATCTCTATTAGCAGCTAAATGTGTTGCCCACAACAAGTAGGAAGATCAAGATAATTCTAATCTTATTTTCAGCAGGTCCGATATGTGCATTTGAGCCATCGTGTTTGTACTTGTAAATGTACTGGCAGACTGCATGATAATGACAAATTCTAATTAACATATAATTTCACAAAATTTTCGCCGCCAAAATTGTGTCTTTCGGCAGCTAATTTAGTTAGAATCAGTAGCACTGGATCTGGCTGAGAAAATTGAGACGGACGTATGACATTGAAAACTAACTGTACTACCCAGTGTACCCTAGTAATGAACTGTTTATTAACATCAGGTTAACTTGAATTACTTAGTACTTAAATTACTTAGTACTTTTTGTGGCCACAACGCACTAGACAGTATTTGAAGGAGAGGTAAAATCCAAATTTACTGTTTAATCGCAATTTCTGACAGTTTCAACTTTACTTTCGCGAAGCCTCGCCCAAAATAATGAACCTGCCTAAACAATTATTGTATAATCAATTAGTCTTAATAATATGCAACCAATCCAGAATAGAGGGAAACTCACAGTCGAGACCTCCGAGACAGACTCATCTTCAAGCTCATTGAACATCATGATGAGGGCGAGCTTTCCTCGAACAGCTTCCTTCTCCAGTCAAACCAGACAAACAGAAGTTTACAATGGCAAGAATAAAGCAAAACAGTGCATTAC